CGCCGCTATCTAGGCGCCCCGAACCCAGACAAGCGCAGTTGTCTAACGATAACCCACGCCGGTTCGTGAAGAAGCGCGCGACTTTTCTTTCGGTATAAGTGCCGCCCGTTCGCACTTGTCTGGTCTCGCATCGGCGGATGGATGGTCACGATGTCATCGACTTCTAGCAACGCTGGCAGTATCGTTCCCGGGGAGAGGGATAGGCCGAGATCCTCCATGGCACAACAGGCTCTTGGCCCATGCCGCTGCCACTATGCATACGGGGTCTCTGCAGTCACCGTCTCGGTGTAAGCGCGCCGCATCCAATAGTCCCTCCGACGTTGCATTCTCCCACTCCCATGGCTTTCCTCCTGGGAGGTGTTGACACGAGGGTCAAGGGCTGAAGGGGCTGCCGCATGTCTCACCGCGGGATTGAGAAATTCAAGGCCAGCCGAGCACGATTGGGCATGCTTGCTGGCACCCCTTGGACGGAGGCATAGAGCCGGTCCAATTGTTCAAACTTGCTCGTCATGATCCTCGTCCGCAAGCTTTTCTGATGGTACACTACTCCTCAGCACTGGGAGGCCGTGCCAAGAAAGCTTGTCCCGAGGTGACATGGGCACAGTTGACAACACGAGGGTTGACGCGGGCCAGGTTTCGCGAGGAAAGGTATGGAGGAAGAAGCGAGAGTTCTGTCAAGCTTGACTCTGTTTGCCTCATGGCTGCGGTAGCCGCTTCGAGCCAAGTCCAGCCCATGGGATCGCGGCCTTGATTGTGAAGTCTAAGGCTGCGCGATATTCCCCTCAGAGTCTCGGTCTTGGCGGGCGAGCTTGCGCACGCAGAAGCTCACCGATTTTGGAAGAGCCCCCAATGCGACCTCAACACCAGACCATCCCAGTCAAGCTGAGCGCTCGCCTACGAACTCCACTAGCAGCGCGGCATTTGCCGTGGCTGGCGTTGAGTCTAATGTGATTCTCCAGCTGAGGTACTGAGCTACCGTAGATGCCCTCCGACTCCCAAGTGAATTGCTGTACCGTAGCCTGTCTACCAATTGGAACCCTCTCCCTCGTCGAACTCTCCGCATGGATGGCGTGCCGAAGGCCATGCCAGATCAGATCATCACCAAGAGCTCCGAGGTGCGACCTTGGCAGACACTGGAGATCTTCATCACACCCCTGTCATCAATTCTCGATGGTTGAGAAGGTTGAAAACGGACGCATCGGCGGCCAAACCCCCCTCCCCTGTGTCAAATCTCCTTCCTTCCACCGTGGCCTCTCAATGCTGCGCGTGGGGTGAACGTTCACGATGCGACACCCTTCGCAGAAGACTGAGCGGGCTGAGCAGGCTGAGCAGGCTGATCTCGCCCAAATTGACAGTCTGAAGGGGGGTTCATCCTGTCCTCCTCCCTGCCGAAGGGGCCCACGCATATCGTCAAGGGGAAAACACAAGGTGGTAAGCGGCACGTCATGGCAGTGTCAAGAGCCTATAGTTGCACTCTCTTATCGTTGTTGTTTACCCGTCTTCCCTGGCATGGGCCTCAGAACAAGATTCGCAACCCGGACCTTGACGGTACCTATGTAAAGGCCAGGCCCCGGGCTATACGGTGTTTGATATAGGGCCAGGGCATGCGACGATTTGTAGCAGCGCGAATCGCAAAAGACCTTTGGCTGCCAGCCAGACGACCGACTGATCTCGGCGCCAACCGACCAGACCTCGTCCGTTGCATCTCCGTTTGCCATTGGGGTGTTCCAAGGATCCAAGGATGACGCTTCCCCGCACTTGGTTCGGCGTTTGCTGTAGCGAACATAGTGTGTAACTATTCTGAGAGGGAAACACGGTCAGAGGTCCAACGCCGCATGAGTTCCTGATATTGATGTCCCAAGTAGAGACTGGAACTTCGCCTCGTGCTAAACACGACCGCGCCGTCGCACGCACCCGGATGGGAATCAATCCCCGACTGGCTAGCCCGCTGCACCAGCGATCCAGGTGTCGAGACTTTGACAGAAACTCTATTCTCCCTTTGCCCCTGATCCTCTGCCACGGACGGAGAGGTTGGGAGCGGCCGGCCGCCCATCACGCCAATGCTTCCCCGTAAACCCGGAGCCGTGCATGCTGTTTTAAGGCCAGTATTTGACTTTTCCTCTCCGTCTTTGCGGACTCTTCTGCTTCAGGAGGCCGTGTCTCTCACACATGACAGTTTAAGCGTCTGGGGTTGCGTCCAGCACCGCCCCGACAATGGTGTAGGCAGCCCTTTGCTGCCGCCTCTTTACACCTGCGTCCAGCCTCGTCTCTTTCCCTGTTTCGCCCAGCGAACAGACCGAATGAGGTTTGATGCAGGTTCCAAGCACGCAAACACTCTCACGCGTTTGTTGCATTGCTGACTGGCGCCCTTTTGGGACCCCTGCGAAACACTGCTGAGCCCGTGCGGTGTCAGTGTCAGGACAAGCATCAAGAATAGCAAAGACGGAGAATAGTGTGTTGATGTGCCTGGTGATTCACAGGGTCTGCAATGGCCCGATAGAGCCCAGCCCAGCCCGATATGTGACTTATTCTCCGGTCATTCCTCATGACCTGACCTTACGGAACCGAACGCACGCCGCTTACTGCGTTCATGGCAAACGTGGGCGTATCTCGAGAAGCATCGTAGCGTCTGCGACGGTGATAGGACGCGGCCGGACACCGCCCCCCCGGTCTCCTCCGTACCTTATCCAGCATCTCGGTCCTACGCTGTAGACCTTGCTAGCACGCCCGCATCCTCGCGTGGGCGGCATGCCCGGATGTGGCAGCTGCTCCTTCAGTTGGACTCATCCAGCACCCCTTGGCCAATACCCCGGATAAGGTGGCTCGTGTGCGCCAACGGTTGACAGGGCCATCTAACGTGCTGTACAGGGACTGGAGTCAGGAAACCAGACAGACCGATGTGCGACGCAGATGAAGGGCTTCAGGTGGCGATGGCGGCAATCAGGAGTAGGCGCCGTAGTCATGGCCATGCAGCGAAATCTTGCTTTCGGGTCAAGCCCGCTACGTTCTCGATCCTCGGCGGTTCCATCTCCACGCAGATAGGCCTAATGGCGAGGTGCCATCGGGGCCTCTCATGTGGTTTTGATATGGGTTGGGTAAGGGGAGGTCGGCGTGTGCTGGCGTTGCATTCTACAAAAAACGGTGCGTGCACATCCTCCACCCTTCCCCCACCGGCACCGAATTGCGAATAGCTTCGTTTTTTTCTGCAACCCCTCAGGAGAGAGGGACCGGTCTGGCACCTTGACCCCAGTTCCATTGTGCAGAGCATGGGTGCGAAATCTTGGTTTTCATGGTTTCGCCCGACTAGGATGGAAACGCCTGCATGCATTTCTAGTCCTGGCATCACGCCGTCCCAAAACATCACCTTTCGCCGGACGACCTAGGCCCGTTCCTCTCCTTCATCCGGATCATCGGAATCCTGGTTCTCAAAGAATCCGTTCGAGAGTTGGCAGGTGTGCGTAGAAGCCGTGGGCCGAGTTGTCTACTTTCCAGGAGTTTCTAGCTCTCAGTTCAGTTAAGGTAAACCCCCCGGCCGGGAGACCTGTATGCACGCTAGCAGGACATGGGAGCGATGTGCTTCCGCGCCCTGGGCAGAGCCTCCATTGCGTTCCTTTTTGTAGAGACAAGTCGCCGATCAACTATCCAGATTCCGATCTCGTCGAGCTTACCGTGCCCACTCCGGCGTCCCTTGGTATAGGGGCCCCGGGTCCCACTACACATACACATGGAGCCCCCGTTTCCTTTTTTCGGCCGTGGACCGGCACCTCGCCCGGTCGATTTGAGGAAGTTTTGTGTCATTCAATAGAAGAGCCCAGGAAGGACGGACTTGTTGATCGAAACTCTTGGAACGGATAGAGGCGGGGATATAGAAATGGCGCGATACTTGCAGCTGTCATGGGGCATCAGGAGTATTGTCAAATAGTGGCACCATATTTTCCCGCCTCGGCCGGGTGCCCATTTTCTCGGCGGGCGCAGCTGGCTCACACAACTCCGGGGACTTAGTAAGAATATGAGTCGTGCCGGCCGGGGCACTCCCTTCGGTGGATTGCCGTGAACAAGGAGGCTCCGACCTTCACGATGCTTCAATATTCTAAGCTTTTCTAATCCGGAGGAAACCCTCCCCCTGGTATATCTGACCTGACACGTGTGATTGAGTTTCCTGAGGTGCTGATGGACAAGCAATCTTCAGCCGCGCTATCCGGCATCAACAAGGTCCTGGCGTGATGAACCACGGCATTCCCAACGCTTCCGTTACCGTGTCGCGAGCATGCAAAGGCATGTCGAACATGCAACACCTCGGGCTTGGGAACGCGATTCACGCTCGCGCCGGAAGCGAAACAGCGAGCTGGGTTGTCTCTGCCCCTCCTTTGCTCATCAACAGCTACCCCGCATGGGTGCTAAAGTATCGCCCAGCTTCAATTTACTTGAATTGGCAGTACGTAAGCTCTGTGCCGCAAAGTGCTGACGAAGGGGCTGATGATGCATGCAATCCGCCGAGTACGTGCCGTACCTAGTCACAGCGGTATCATAACGGTTTGTTACACGCGTCGTCGAGCTCACCTCGCAGGACCGTTCTGACGAGAAAATCCCCTTTAGAGTTTGCAACATGCCATTTGTTTCGTCAAAACTGGAACTTTGACGAAGGTGTTCATTCGCTCTCGCCGAAAAGCTGCGACATGCCACCGGGATCTCTCTTGAGTACGTGTAAGGAGGTCCTTCACATCAGTCGAGGAGGCATCTAACACGTTTCCCGATAGGAACCGCCACAACTAGTGAATACCGGCGGAGCGATGCCCATGATGCTCGCGATGATTCCATTGGTAGCTGTTCATCGTCCATCTCCCACTCTGACTCTTAACCATGCTCAGCCATTAGCCTGCGACCCCAGATCCTATGTCGTCCGATCCGTCACATCCACAGCCTCCAACTCTCCGTCTTACTGGGCCAGCCTTACACGCTCATCTTAACCTAAAGTTCTAGACCCGCCCATTTCCGCAACCTCAAGCCCGCATCCGTCTCACCTCGAAACACCTCGCCTCCTCCGCTTCCTGCTCCGCAAATGTACCTTTAGCTTTCCTTGTGGACTCCGCCCACGGCATCTCATCTAAGCCCCTCAGCCACGCGGTCGCTACAGCTCGGTCTCGGTGTCCGTCCGGCGGCAGATTGACTGCGGCCTTGTGGGTCAGCGCCTCGGGCATCCGGCGGAGCACGTTAGTCGTTACCGAGAGCCAGTGCCGCTCATAGTAGATATCACTGTCTAGCCAGAGGTTCACGGCCGCCAGATACGGGGTATCGAGAAGTCGTAGGATGGTGCTCCATAAATTGACCCATTGCTCAAAGTTGCTGCCTTCACCGGCTTGTCGCCAAAACGATAGATTGATGCGCTGGAACGGGTGGCCGATGGACCCCCGATGCCGGTCCCCGAAGAGGTTTCGTGCCAGGCTAATGTCGGTGATCGTAAAGGCTACGGATTCGTAGATCGACGAAGCACATTCGAGGTACCTTCTCATTGATGTGTAAGCGAAATGTTGCTAGGATAAAGCTCCACAGGTCCTTTATGCCCCGGCGCTGAACGGAAGCCGATAACCTACATTCGCTTGCAGATTAACATCATGGGTAGGAAGGCCGTCCACGTTTCGACATGAACACAGTGACTCATGCGGCCTCTTGCGATGTCTCGCCATATCTCTCTTTCCTCTCTCGCCCCCTCGCACTTCCAATGATCACATCAAGTCGACATTTTGCGTTTATACCAAAGAGGCACCGGCCCGCGCGCATCCGGTACCGTCCAGTTAAAATCCCACGGTTCCTCGCCGTCTACAGTCCTAGTGCTGGGCCGACGGAACAAGCATCGGGAGTGGGCGTATCCGGCCTGCGTGCGGATGATGTGCTGGCTCAGGCCGGCTGCGCGCCAGAGCTCCTGATATATCATCTCTCGAATTTCTTCGGGAGCTTGCCAAAGAAGCCCGTCGCGAGTTAATCATCTACCATAGGTTTCTGTCGGTCGCTGTCATAATGAAGGAAGATACTGCTCCAGAAGTCATCGAATGAAGTGCTGTAGTTTTCGTGAGCCGTGAGAAGGGCTTCTAGTGAGTCACTTCCGCTGAGCACCTTGGAAACGGTAACAACATGAGGGCTCAACGTGACGTTGTCAGGCCGAGGACGGCGTGCCCTGCTCTTGAGCTTTCCAACTAAATGGAGTGACTTGTTTGTCAATAAACGGATGCCCAGACGGCTCGGTTGGCGGTTCTCGACACTCATCTCGGTAAAGGAACTCGCTCCGAGAACGAAAGCAAAAGCCGGTGTAGTTAGACCGAAGTTGCTCATGGTAAGGGTGGATAATACACCTTCAAATGGCAAGGAGACAACAAGTCGTACCCGTGCCAGTCCAGCAAACGATTTTGAACAGGCATTACGCCTAGCCAACAAAAGATGCAGACAAGCAAACGGCATGGGTTGGCAAACAGTTGGATCACGGGCGCCACACCTGAGTGTGGATATCGTGTTTGTTCTACGCGAATCATTTCCTGACAGTCACAGATATTGAGGGCATGGAAAGACAAATTAGGCATTCAAGTTCTGTTTATGGGTATTGGGTCCGATGCTAATCGACAATAAATCCAAGCCTCTCATCCAACGCCGCAAAACATCCGAATTTAACACAAAACACGCTCGCATATTCCCTCGCATCCTAACAGGTTGGTGCACAGTACGAACAAAAGGTTGTTGATGCCGAGGCAAGGCCTTTACTTCTGCTCGGGCTTGCTCTTGCCGGCACCACCGCCGAAGAGGCCACCGACGTAACCGCCGGCACCCTTGAGACCCTCGGTAGTCTTGCCAGCAACGGCCTTGCCGCCGTCAGCCACGCCGCTGCCGGCCTGGTTCAGCGCACCGGAGCCTGGGACGGCGGTGGGGACGTAACCGCCCTCATCGTCCTTGCCCTGGCGCTCGGCGCGGTTGATGCCCTCCTTCGAGGCCATGTCACCGACGGGCTGGAGGAGGCCGCCCTGGCCGACCTGGCCTCCAACGAGGCTATGAACGCCATCCTGAAGGGTATCGATCTGTTCGACGCCGGTAACCTTGGTCTGGCCTAGGGTGTCTGGACATGATGCGTTAGTGGGAGTTCTTAACGACTAGCCAGGGACTAGTGCAAATGTTCGAAACTAGAAGATCGCAAAGAACATCGTGGCTTACCTTTGGTGGCATAGCTGGCCTTGTTGTCCTTGGTGAACCATTTCAGGTACTGGTCCTCAAGCCAAGGAACCCACCTCTCGTACTGCTGGTTGTAGGTTTGCTTCGCCCACTCGGCCATGATGATTGATAGATGATAGTAGTGTCTGAAGTGTACAGAAATGAAGTTCTTGATGCTCGAAAGTCGGCTGTGGTCTGGAATAGATCAACGGGATGAACACCACAAGCGGACGGGAACCACGACGAGGAAGCACCAGCCTGATATACCCCCGTCCAAACTCTGACCGAAGCTTAGCACACACAAACGCACATACACCTTCGCCAGAGTCGTCACTCGCGCATCCCTCTCGGTTGCGCGTATGCATACGTGTGGCTGATGATGCTCATGGATACGTCATACGTGTCTGTGATGGAGGCTTCGAGACGGGATGCCATAGGCCGCCGTGCTGTCAGGCCGCCGGGAGGACCCCCGTCTGGACCCCTGCGCAGGCATCATCAAGCGCAATGACAAAATCCTGGAAGTTGGCAGCCACACCAGAAATGCGTACGCCACGCGCGGGAATCCAAGCACCGGTTCCACATAAGCGAGCAGCCTCTTGGATAGGGTTTCAGATTGTGGCCCTGGTTGTTGAGTGGTGGAAAATGAGTACTAGTCTAACACCACTTGGCTTGTGAGTTTCGTGATGTGGCACGTGGAATGGGAGTACTGCGGAGGACGAGGTGGGAATGAGACGCAAGAAACTGGCTCAGATCGCGGGTTGCGACGTCATCCCGCTGCCAAGTGGGCCTGTGCGGACCGATACCTGTGTGGAGAAACATCGGGCTGCAATGGCTCGGTGGATCCCGGCACCTTCCGGCCCCGATGCTGGGTTTGCCGTATCACGGGCCATCACCGTCTTGATCAGAGACGGATGTCTATCATGGATAGGCTGATACTTGCTTGTCTGCAATTTCTAGATCTCATGAAAACGCCAAGTATTCAAAACCTTGATTTGCCATGTAGACCTTGGTATCACCCCAGCCAGCCAGTCATCCCATTGACTACAAGTTCTCAGAGTCGACTGGATGCTCCCCCATGGTTTGATTTCGAAACTATTGTGTTAAAAGTCAGTTCGACCGCTCTCGCTTTGAATTTGTGTCTCAGTTGGGCTGCGTGCAGAGACAGTTCAGGCATTCTCTATGTCAAGCAAACAAGGCTGGCGTAATGCACGCCTTATCATTCAGCAGCATTCGAATACGACCCTGTTGTATACGAAGTTGAATAGTCATGAACATTTAGTGTCATTGAAAGGTAGGTTCTGAATGCCATTGTTTTCACGACTGAGTGAAATAGTACTGTTACTTTTCATTTCCATCGAGGGTCTCATCCCTGCGACGTGGGACAGAAGTACCATTTGGTTCGACCTGTGGATAATTGTAGTTACGTAGAGGCTTCTGCCTAAAGCGAACTCCAAACCATGCTACATAGACTCGATCTGATAGCAGAGGAGAGCGGGGGGTGTTGAGCGTGATCACTAGCGCTTCTGCTATCAACGCACGCTGTTAGATACCCGTGGCATTGGTGCGCTCCGCTGAAGCTGACACCTCTTAGCGCTCTCGGGCAACATCGAGACTGGGGTTAAGATCCAGCACAGAATTTCCAACTGCCTAATTGAGGCAAGACTGATCCTGATGATTAACGCAGGCCATTTTGATTCGACAGTACCGCTGATTCAATTACTCGTGGCGGTGGCTTTCTGTCATTCTCGTGGAAGGGGTTCAGGATCCAAAATCCTATGCCAAGCAGAAGAAAAAAGCTTGCTACAATGCTTATTTAAACAGATAAACATCGTGTGCAATAGTTTTTGACTTGTCAGGTCTTGCAAGCCCTTTTCTTGCGTTTTCAATGGTTGCCATGAAGGTTCACGCTCCCTGGGCTCTAACGCTCCATCTCTGGGTGTCGCTTACGCAGATAGTTCTGGGAGAACCAATTCCTGCTCCTACTGGCAAGTACAATGTCGGTGCCCAGCGTTTTGTTATTCCTTACTTGAACGAGGAAGACCCCGTGTGGCCGAACGGTGTCGCAACCGAATATCTTGTCACGCTGTATTATCCTACTTCAAATGAGAAGCCTTGTCCGAAGCCGTACCTAGAGGCCGAGCTTGTTGAGCAGTACGCTGCACTGTGGAACTACAACATCTCTCACTTGACGTCGACACTGCGGTGGAACGCCTCATATCTGGAAGAAGGAACAGGCCCAACGCTTCTCTTCGGACCCGGTGGTTGGGGTCCACCGACTGATGGCAACTACATTGTTATCTCTGACCTTGTCTCGCACGGTAAGCTCGCGATTGCTGGATTTTTTGGGCCGGCGCTGACTTCGCGCTTAAGGATACGTCGTGGCTGCATTTGACCACGTCTATGAGCAGCCCTTTGTGCGGTACCCCAATGGCACTGGTGTTTACGGCCTCTCACCAGCTTCCAGTAACTTCCCTAATGAATGGGTCGAGTCGTTGCACGCCACCAGGGTCAAGCACCAACTGCACTTCATTGACTACTTCCCCTCGTTGGTGGCAGAACTCAAGGCGCCCTTCAAGACTGACAGCTTCGGCGCGTTTGGTGTGTCTATCGGAGGCTCTGCTGCTCTGACTATGGCTCTTGAGAGCGACGCCGTCGCTGCCGCCATCAACGTAGACGGTACAAACTTTGGTCGCTTGAACAGCACCTCCGACTCGGACCTGAAAAAGCCATCAATGATTCTTGGCTTCCAAAACCACAATTCAAACACCGATCGCACCTGGAACAATTACCGCGCCTGGCAAACTGGCTGGTGGCGTCTGCTCTCTGTAGATGGCAGTACGCATAGTGACTGGTCCGACCTGACGTTTTGGAAGATATTCGGCACAACACGTTCGATGGGTCCCATTGACGGTGACAGAATGGTCAAAATCTCGAGAACATTTATCAGAGCCTTCTTTGATAAGAATCTGCTTGGTACTGAGCAACCACTTCTGGACACCCCTTCAGAGGACTTCCCTGAAGTGCACTGGGATGAGATACATAATGGAGAGTGACTGGAACAAAGGGTTCTGGTAGAACCGCATAAGGGAATGTAGATCGGGTCAAATATCCTTGAGAGTTGCTAGTATAACAAACCATCCGAGTCGGACCGTTATAACTGCAAAACCCGTGCTTCATATTGACTAATGAATGAGACCCAGCGCTGGAGCAACAGTCTATCCGCCCATAAGGCCCCTCATCTCAATCACAGGGTTGGGATTCGGGTGGTTTTTAGTACTCCAAGTAGTCTAAATCCTCACCACTCTGTAAAGTCAGCAGAAATAGCCTCAAGGTGATTGTGAAGCCGAAATATCAATGTACCAACTCTAGCTGGTCGGTAAACCCAATGTAGTAGGTGATTGAACCTCCAAGCATTGCAACATGTGTAAGAGAAACGACCACTTTGCAGCAACCGAGTGTTCACAACAACTGGCAGGTTAAGCTTAGACGCAAATACTTAGAGAGATTTGATCCAATTAGCTCTACACTATATAGCGTGTAAACTTATAACTGTGATCAACGTAGCTGATAACGAAAGTTGTTCAATGAAAGCACACACATGATAAACAGTACATGTAACAGCAGGATCTCTACCAATAGCCCGGTTTCTCTGCTGACTAGTCGCTTCGTAAAATGACTTTTTGACTTACTGGACACTTGAAAAGACATTTCTTTACTTATCAGCTATTAGCCTCGTCTACGTTTCTCCAGATATTGGAGAACAGTATCCTCACCCTACTCCTTTGTGATCAACTCCCTAACTGCTTCCACTGCTTCCATTGCTTCCAGTCTGCCTCGAAGATCCACAGTATTAGGCTGTCGTCTTTTCCTGCTCAGCATAGACAACAAGGTGGTTCCTATTGTGGTGAACGCTCTCGTAAATCTCACAATACACATTACCTTACTAATGCCTGGTCCTTCAAATCCTGCAACCGCCAGGTACGCAGCGCCTTCGGATTTTAAGACCTCGGTAATGACTGTGCATGCACTCCTATCATGACAGATGTGTATGGCGGGCCTAATCCCCTCACTGACCGCTTGTTGACACTGCAGGTACGGAGGATACATTAAAGAGATAAGCAGCAAAGGCCAGGGTCCGACCAGATAAATTCGCGGATATTCTGGGTAAATAGATACGAACGTAACCATCTATTAACAGTGAGTGACGACCTCTTTTATAGGCTTAGCATGTGTAAATTGAAGGCAGCTTGTTTTGAAACATATATTTGCCAGAAGTAATAGCCTTACAACTGCTGTACGTATGTGTCAGCTTGGTCTGATGCGACCATCGAAATCCGGCTGAGTAGTACGTCTGGTAACATTAGGCATGTAATATTACCCCCGAACCTTGTGGAAGAGAACGATGGATTTGGTGATCAGACCCAAGGCTGGCCCCTGAAATGAAGCGTATAATGAGCATACTATATCAAAGATCCCTTGTCACACTGTCAATCGTAAAGCACTTTGGGTTGGCAGTCATCGCTCTCCTGATCGACAGATAGGCCAGGCAGTGTTGATGATGGAGTCAGATTCTCGGCGTCTGTCAATTGGGCAGCGAAGATACCCACGGAGGGAGGCTGGCGATACAAGGCCTCACCTCAACTCACACATATACAAACTCTCTCTCTCTCTCTCTCTCTCTCCGTATGTCACACATACACTTACACAATACGTGGCCATGCATGTCTGGCAGGGGGATTGTATTAAACGGGAGGCGGCCAGGGTTGCTTCTCAGGGATTCATCGTCTCTGCATACATGATCCTTTAGACATGCACATCATTCCTTCACAGCTTCCTGAAGGTCGCAGGTCCTTGCATGTGCCGGTCGTCCCGGTCCGCCCCTGAACGACCTAGTGGCTCTCTCTGCCGAGTTAACCAAGTGGCAACGCAGCCATTGGTGGTATCAGACAACCGACACACAACCCCACAAGCGATCGCTCCACACAACGGATATAGCCGATCGTCGACTCTAGCCAGAGTTTCTCTCACTCCACCACCAATTTCTACTCTGACACGTCCAGATTGAAGAGACCCTTACAGGAATACTCAAGGCAAAGGTAGTTGTGCAGCCTATCAAGTTCAATGATGAGAAAACTTTATACATGGAAAAGGTAAATGTACAAGGGCGCTGCTTAAAGATGAACCAGCATGCTGATGCCTCTCGAACTTTTCGGCTTGCTTTGCTGTCAAATAACGCACCCAAAAGCAGTACTTGCTTACGGGAAGCCTCTATCGATCTGATCCTTTAGGATCTTCCCGAGACCCGTTGTGAAACTTTCCAAGTGACCAATCGTCTGGCCACGGGTCGGCACGTTAGCCTTGATCGATATGTTGCCACCGATTGGTGGCCTCATAGTAATTAGTCTAATCCTTTCATCAGTTCTATCCGTAAACGATCAACAACAAAAAGCACAGCATGTCCACAACCTAGAGCTAGTTCATCCATTTCTGCGGCCCGTACCTTGTCCGATCCACTATAGTGAGGGGTTTATATCATGGACTTCCATAATGGGGTAGTCCAATGCGACTATAAATTTTATCAGCTCACTCAGGCACAATCCGCCTGTAATGTATTGGTGCTGCTCTGCATTTCGTTTCGTTGTCGCTTAACCGCAGTTGATGGAACCGGTTGTCTTTGGTGCCATCTGAGTTAGGTTGAACAGCGTTGCGTATGTTCCCCCCAGAAAGTAAAATGATCGTGTTTATTACCGGTATTGTTTGTCATCTGCCATATCCCATACGCTCTTGTATTTCAGAAATGGTTGATAAGGAGACGCTTTTGTCTGTGTGTGTGTCGGAGTAAAGTGATCAAGTCCCCACCTGCGGCTAAATATAATCAGTCGAGAGCAAAAACAAACCTGTGCATAAGTCCACTGCCTAGTAAAACCGTCTTTCATCGAGTTATACTAGCTCTTTCCATTAGTAGTTAGTGCTTATCTGTGTATTTGTGCTTTGTGTTTTGTACTTCGTACGTGGATGAATCGTTATAAGACATGTTGCACAACATCGCTGTCTGCCTGTGTGGAGTATGGTACGCGAGCTCCTTCGTTATGCTGACATGACAGTGGCGGCAAGTCTGAGGTCACAAACCGGGATCGTAAAGGTTTCTGTACGACAAGGAGGGCTGTGAACAAACTACACGAGCTCCTTCCTTTGCGGGAACTTCGCGTGTTGAGAAGAACCATGCAGGAGGACTATCAAGAAGACTCTTGCGCGAAGGATTCAGCCGAGGTTTGAACAATAGAGGCCAGGAAGGAACCGAAAACTATATAAACAGACTTCCTCATCATCCCGAACAGAAATTTCTCTTCAGACTCAGACATTCATACACTCACACAATCACACAAACATTCTATTCTTCATCCAATCAACACATTCTCCAGTCAAGATGCAATTCACTTCCGTCATCGTTCCTGCTGCCCTCTTCCTTGCCTCCGGCTGCCACGCTTGGGCACAGGCTGCTAACGGAGTCTGGGTTGCAAACAACGTTTACTACAACATCAGAGGCTGTAAGTAAATTTTCTTTGGACAACAAGCTGAACCGTGAAATTGAGGAGAGCCAGTTTGGACTAATTAATCATCTGTATTCTAGCCACCGTGCATGAGGCTTGCACCACGATGAACACTAATGACGTCCACCCCGGCGGCACCAAGTGCTCTTACTGGACCAACGGTGTTGGCCAGATCTTCGACGGAAGTAAGTGTGCCCCATTCAAGAAAGCCACAGCATTGTGATGAAGATGTACTTACAAAGCGTTGCAGAATGCTCGTACCAGGGCAACTCGGTTCTCTGTATCAAATAAGAGACCAACGTACCGGATGGGATATACAGCCTGTTACTGTAAAGCCATCAATCTGGATTTTGTACGCTTCTGTAGTCACATGTTTAAGGATGCGACGTGTTCGCTACATTCGCTCCCCACAACATACAAGTTTGTAGCTACGAACGATAGCCGATCCTTTACCATATTAAATACAAGGGTTTACCTTAAACCATGAGATCGCCTGGTTATATGTTGCTTCTGCCACTCTGCATCATGTACGGGCTATATGACCATCAGTAAGGCATGTGAGGTGCAACTATGTAACAGAAGTTAGAGATTAGTCGTCGAAAGCCATTTTCAGGTGGCCAAATATCCAATACTTCTAATAGTTGCAACTAAGGTATGAGTTCAGCATCAAATTCGGTACGACATCTTATTATTGAGAGTTCAGCGACTATCCTATTGTTTCTTTTCTTCTTCTCTTCTAGTATCATGGTTCTTATTATCTACATAGCCATAACCCTGCACAGTCTTTGCGTCGAAGACGAAAGAGGGCAACTGCCAGCTAGAAGAGCAGAAATAATACTAAATCTGGCAAAATGAGGAGGGGTCAGAACAGTTAATCCGACAACAAGAGTTATACGATCGATAGAATTTGTTTTTTAAGTTAAAAGTTTTACCCCATGGCAGTCAGTCTGTTTCTGCTGAGTCCACGATCATAGATAACTATATAAATGTATATATACTAGTTAAATGTTCACAACAGTGTTTTATTTTGCAGACAAGGTGCCATTGGTGCATGGAATACCCAAATTCGTAGCACCTTCCAATCCAACACATACCATCTGACCCGCGCTGCCGTCCTAAAGAGCCACAATAATTAGTCCGATTCAATCTCATCAATGAGAATTATCTGCTTCCAAGCCACTTACAGCTGCTGTAAGACTGATGCCAGAGAAATGGAAATCCTGACAATGGGCCGCGTCTTTGCAAATGATATACAACCCTTTGTTCGTTGACTCATCTTAAGCAAAGGGTCGCAAGTTAGCAATCTCAAGCCTCAACTGGGAAGCTGGCCATCAAGTCTGAGCTTACCAAGAGTCTTGCTCCAGCACGGAGTAGAAACACAACTGCCGTCCTTAAGACTCGTTGCAGTGTGTGCGTTGATGTTTTCCCAACGGAAATTCTTTGCGAATGCTGCCAGAGAAGCGTCTTTTCCTGCAGCCCCCTTCTCCTGATCAACGTAGTCCTCGATGAAGTGGATTGGATAGGCCGTGTTTGTAATGGTCATGTTCCGCCAGGTTACGTCGGAAATCTGGCATGTTGTACCAACGGAGCCCTTGAAGCGAGCTCCCAGTAGTGAGTCGTGGATCTCTGCGTTTTCAAACAAGTACCCGCTACCATTTCCAGCAGAGCATGAAACAGAGATACCATGTGTTCCATACGCAACAATATTGCGCATCGTCACGTTGACCGCGGGTGGAGAAACATTGATAATATCGTCACCGTTGTGGCTTGTCCACCCGTCAATAACGACGTTCGAAGCGCTCACGTCAATGCCATCTGTGTTGAAAGGGAAACCATTCATGGACCGCGCATCGAGCAGAGTGTCAGTCATGTAGACGTCCTGTCCTCCCATTGAAAAGCACCAGGCTACAGGATTGAGGACTTTCAGGCCACGAAGTCGAAGGCCTGTGACACCAAATGAGAAGAGGTGAGGGCGTCCATTGTCGCTGCTGTCACCGGCGTTGGGCCACCATTTGTCGCCGTGGGCATTGATCCAACCACCGTCTTGGGCATCAGTAGCCGTGAAGGTGACGCCTTTGCTGTTGCTGACGGTAATCCAGTGGCCCGGATAAATTGTGCGATTTTGGACCACCGCGGAGACGGCACTGGGGCTGTCTGATAGTGTAAGGTTGCCTTGAATTGAGAACTCGACGTTTGTCAAACCTGAGAACGTCAATGGTGTGAGCAAGTTGTATTCTGTGCCAGTGCTAAAAACGATGCGGGAGTTGACGCCGCAAGATTTAACAGTGGATATGATGGTTGGAGAGTCATCGCCGTTGGACTTAGGAACGATACAGGTCTTGAATTGGTCTTTGCCTACAGTCTCTGGTAGCCAGTAGCCAGTGACTACAGTGGCGAGGAAGACAAGCTTGAAGAAGGGAGTCGACATTATGACAACTCAATTGCAAATCGAAGTGCAGTGCAAAAAAAGTCTTTTTAGTATGGATCTCGAGCGGAAACTTATATATTCATCCCAAATGCTTCTGCCTGTTCCAAGCCGGTCCCCGTCACACAAACGAGCTAATAACATGACTACGGCTAGGTTAGATTGGTACATTGAATCGCGGGATGGGATGAATGCTAATAGATACATCAGCTAAGACAGTTATACGCCATTTACATACACCTACTACAAAGAACAGGGACTACTGCAAGGTCTGATGTAGATCGTCAGGTCCTCCTTAAAGTGGTATAGTACTCGTGGCTTAACTATCCACGGCTAATCGGCTTGTTTGACGAGGCATGGGATGGAGAAATTAATTTGTTATAGATGAAAGAGCGGGGTCTGCTCCGGTACCTAGGTATCAATGATCCACAAGAAAAAGCTTATATGCTCCTTACGAATCTAGGATACGGGATCCAGGCAATTCAAACTGCGCGACTCGCCATTCTGAATCGCGGCACAGCAATCTATTTGCCACAGTTAGCCTAAACTTTGGACTGATTTCATCTCATCTGATTATCATCTTTAAATTGGGAGAGCCCCGTACAGCTTCAGCCGAAGCTCCCGCTTAGTCCAGGACGACTTTGCCTCCCAGCGACTCTGCCGCAGTCCCGAGAAGACGCGTGTTAATTGTCACACCTCATTAAGTCTTATGCCCCCCGAGTCCTCAACTTTCAAGGTAGGCTACATGATTTCCACCCTAGAAATCCTCGAGCAAAAGCTGAGTCGCAAGAAGGTTACAGAGAATTCCCGTAATGCCATACGTTGACGAAGTCACATGACTAGAAATGAAATGATGGTATTATGGTTAGCACGTCCTTCAAAAAACCCTAGCGTGATAAGGGCACCGCAAATGATTCCAAAAGCTCGACGGAGATTATAGACCTGACAAGTCCGCAAAGAGTGAGGTTAAGAGGTGCTTGAGCCACTGGCGAACCGACATGTAGACTTCTACCTATGATCTCCGAATTGTAGTAGTCCGTGAGAGCGGAAGAGCGGGCGGCAGCGGTACCCATACCATACTGACGAGGCACTGATAATCACCTACACTAGAGTACTCACCCAGGTTTCAGCGTCATGCATGCAAGCTCGAGCTTGGCTGGTTTTTGACCCTATGATATTGATCTTCGAATATTCCATCTATCCAAATGAACCTAACACGCTGCCTGGGATACTTGTGCTACTGTAGGTGGGTTGGCGATTTACTTGAGCTAAGGTCTGGCAAAGATGAGAGGTGACCCTGGTTCATACAAATGTTACCGCCTAAAACGTCTTACTGCACAGTTATGTGTGCTCTATTTCGACATTAGTTGTTGTGTTGGCTACGCTTGGGGAAACATTGTATGTGAACACTGAGATGGTGAAATCTGGTCCTTTCATGATGGTCAAGCAGGTCACGGAGTAATGGCTCGATTTTGACGAGATTAGAAGCCAAAAGTTTGACAATATATTGATATTGATTTGTACTCCGACTGAGTTTGGCTCAGTAACAAATAACTACCGCCTTGATTCCAAGGCCGAGACAGTCGGAAATTAGACACAGTTGGCTACCAACAAGACCTCTATAACCCTAATGTTCAACGTTTTTTCCCTCTCCTTCTTAACCAAAACCTATATCCCTAATGCAGCGTCTTTCGCGCCTACCTCGAAATGTACATATCAACCTCGTGGGCTTCTCATATCAATATCGCTATCATATTAACTGCGCAGCCATAGGCTTCAATACTTGCTGGGTGGTCTTTTCCTTTCTGGTACTTTGCAATAAAACGAAATGAAATACTGACGGAGGGCTGAGGGTAATATAAAAGCACGTGTTAGTGATCTGCTGTTCAGTAGCATGGTTGACGAGGACACAAAGGCTATAGTAGCAGGACTTGATCGATAAACAAAGTCAGAAATGCTACGGCTTTCGAGTGATCGTATATTTGTGCTTCATGCTGGAGGTGACCACCCAAGTTCTTCCATCGGCCATTGGATCCACGACTTGTGGTTCTCGTCCAGCAACTCCCACGCCTGTGATATCAAATGCGTCGCCCAACCCTGAAGCCACCACTGACTTTCCAGTTTCTTCAAGACGATACAAAAGTGCGCATATATGACAATAGCCTCCTGATCCGCACCTGGCGTCTTGAGCAAGGGCAGAAACTCATCGGAAACGAAGTACTTCCAGATAAAGATGTCCATGATATCCATACCGCGGCCCCCTTCATGCATAGCGAGTGACATAGGATGTCGTAGCTCATCAATCGCCAGGTTATGAATTCTTAGCCTGTCTTCATCAATGACGCTGCCGTTCACGCGCTTTCGAAGATCCTCCAACGCTCCTGGCTGAGCACGCGAATCGTCACGGGCGGCGAAGAATCTTTCTTTCGCATAGGTCAAAAGGGGAATAAGTGGACCCCCATAATTCTTTGAGTTGAGGAGTTTGATGAGTGAACAAGCTCCCGACAGAAGGAAAGTCCAATCCGGGAAAGCGGATTCCCAAACGACAACTGATTCCTTGAGATAACGGCCGGATGCAAGGGCTGAGTTTGGTAAAACATTAGTCACTGACTCAAAGTGAGGTGAACTAAGTCCATAGCCAACATAGTGGGGACAATAAGAGAAACGCCGTCACTTACCAAAAAATATGGTTAGGAGTGAAAAGAGAAATAGATTTTCTGCATTACGCTCGTCAAGAGCACTCATAAGCTTCATTGCTTCCCTGCTGGCTGAACGATGATACAAAAGAGCTTTTGCCACAAGTACTTCTTTCCGCTCGGGTTGTTGATGCGCAAGATGCAGCGCCGAGATGGAAAGCAATGTACGCATTACGTACTCGCATTCTAGTGCCATGCGTACAACTGAGACCTTCCACATCTGGCGGACGAGAGGGTCTGTTGATAGCGTCGAACAAACGGATGTGGTGAAATTGTGTATAAGCTCCAGGTCGGTAAAGTTAAGGTCCTGGTTGACCGGCGATGACAGCCGCGCCGACTGCGCAACTTCATCGATGACGTTAACGGTGCTTTGCAGCGTGATATGTAAGCTGTGCGTGGTCACCGGTGTCGCATTGTTCTTTAAAAAGTCGCAGTAAACCAAGTGCCGGACGCAATTCTGGCACGCTGGCTTCAGCTCGTCACACTTGATAGAGACAAGATGTTAGTTGGTGGAATGAACAACGCACCGCGCTGGGATTACAAAAGTCCATGCGGACTCAATCGTCCACTCAATGTTAAGGGGAGTTAGGGAGTTGCCCAATATCTGACTATGGGAGGTGATAGCGTGGGATAGAGTACTATCGGACTAACCTTTATCTTACGCCTCTTACAAGTTTGGCATCCGAGTTTAGACTTTCGATGTGGCTTCTTCGAGACTTTGGAAGTGTCTATACGCTCCGATAAGACTTCCATCGTGTGTGACGCTGACCTTTGCTCTCTGCTCGTGATTTTAACCGGGATGTGACTGACGGTCAGGGGAGAAAGCTGTAGGGGAATTCGGCTAAAGCAATCCACTGCCGATGCACAGCCAAATTGAGTCGTCAAAGTTTTAACACCAATGATCGGCGATTTGAACCAAGCGGAAACTGCGGGTAGATGCGAGGTCCCGAGGCCACATCGGTCCAGACGGTCGGGCACGCGCCAATGCTGATTTTGACGTTGGGCAAGAGTGATTTCTGCGTCGAATATGACGCGAGAGACGGCATTGTATAAGACCGACGAGCGGAGCTCCGCTCGCAGGCAGTGCTCGTATTGCTCGTTTAGCTATGAGAGCCTCGGGAACCATACTGATTCCGGGGTAAAGCCGATCCATCATCACTAACAACTTCGGTTTCTAACTGGAAAAACCGAGAAACCGAGAAGTCAAAGAATTAGGAGAAGAAACCGAGTAACCCGAGATCCCTAGCGTTGTCTTTAGTGTCTAGGCAAAAAAACTCTAGAAATCAGCTCGGTTCTTGGTTTGCAGCGCATTTGGAGACCTGCGTGGCCGGGTATTAAAGTGCTATTCTCTTGTACTAACGTTGGCCAATTAAACCAATTGCTATTTACACCATTGTGTTTTTTAGCAAGCCTAGCATACACTGTAAATCAATTTTATCGACTAGAATATCCTCGAAGGGCTTCTTCGCTCATTCTCAAAAGAGGGGTTTATTTCCTTCTAGATACTCTATTCAATACACGGACCCTGTCTTCACTATTGAGCATAGAATACGGACATGCACCACAGCATGCCAGAAATGGCGGAAGATGCAGCAGTGACAATATGCCAGATGGGATAATGTTGATTATTATATACATTGCTATGATACTGGTTATAGCCTTACTACTGATAACCGCCTCCCCAGCTATAACCTTCCAGCATCCTAACAAACGAGTAACAGGAGACGTACCATAATAACCGGACTAATAGTCATGGACTGTACTGAAGGACATGTATAGCGTTACCTTATTCAATGGATGAGGCCTGGTTAATTTGATCTGGTTCCATCTCGACCGCTCACACTATTCAGCAAGAGAACCGCAAAGCACGTATTCAATATTGTTTTAAAATTCAACGGAAGAACGGCTGCGCATCATGCATCAAAATATGACTGTTTAACCGAATTGAGACTTGATTTGCCCGTGGGGTCATGCTTATTAAATCTGTCGTGAGTCTGATTGTATCAATGCTTGTTTGGACGTCGCTGCGAATCATCGATCTCAGCTTCCCGGTTTCGTAGAACAGGGCTTAGTCTGTTGAAGCAAGTAAACAATAAGCCCCTTGTGCAAACGAAGGAAATGTGCGATCATTCTTATTATACCACTTTCGAATGTATTTGGTAGAAGATTGAGCGCTGAGAGCCACAAAGCCAACATGTCTGTTACATATCTTTCTTATATCAGTCCATAATCCTGGCGCTGGTCAAGACCGAAAGTCTGAGGACTGGAAGGACTGATCAAATGCAAGTGGGTAAATTTGTCCCTATACGGAGCAACACAGAACCTGCGGAAGAGGACCTGCAGTGACTTAATGATCCCCAGTGCCGCGCTTGGCCAAACAAAGAAAACAAACCATTTGCGACAGGGGTTTTGTTGTAAAGTGTCTGTAACTCATGTGGACTGTAACCAACATGCATGATTGTCTCCAGTCGAGAAGAGGGGTAATGAGGACCAACAATTCGGATCTCCCAAAGTGGACAAATCGCCGCGTAGCGAGTCCAATTCTGATCCGACCACCTGGTATATATTCGGATTCATGTATGCATTGAGTGGTCGCCGCATTCGTGCGTCGACAAGAACTTTCGAGTTTCAGCTGTGTCCTCACCCGCACAATGTCGGATAGCACTAGAATTACTGCTGTAATGGGAGACGGCCCACCCAGCGCCAGTACCCAGGTCCCAAAGAACATTGCAGATGAGATCAATGCTGCCCTTGCCGCAGACGACGTCAGACCTCTCTTGGCCCGCGACAATCTATGCATGCTGACGTTTTGCCCTCAAGACCACGGACGATGGCTCGTCGTCGAGCTACGTGAGTGCACAAGATTGAAGATTTAGCATGTATTACAGAAACTGATTCAGAAATTCTTAGATGAGATATGCTTCATCCACTAAAAGTATAACGAATTCGGTCCTCGAGTACCGGGTGGAAAATGGGCGAAAATACCATGCATACAAGGACGGGAGTAAGTCTACTAACGACTATGGCCAAAAATCGGGAAACCCAATGCTAAGCGGCCTAGAATACGTGGTTCCCAACGACGACCAAGAGTTAGATCGACTCGGTATGCCTCCTTTGTTTGCTTTAAGACATCTTCGTTGTGTGCGTACTGATGCCCGGCCAATATAGACCTGCAGCACAACCTTGTAATCCGGACACTCAACGACCGGCTCGGTACTGCACCACCGAATAACCTGAACTCAAACGTTGGACGGGTCCTTGACGTCGGAACTGGATCTGGGATTTGGGCCATTGATTTCGGCGACGAGCATCCTGAATCTGATGTGAGAAAGTCGTTAGCCATGAACATTCTTGCGCGCTAACATTCAAATAGGTAACAGGTATCGATTTGTCTCCCGTCCAAATTGAATTGTAACTAAACTACTATCCCACAAAGAACCTTCCATTATAGAATACTGACTTAACGTTATAGTGTCCCGCTAAATGTCAAATTTGAGGTTGACGATATTGAGGAGCCGTGGTCATTTTCAAAGCCTTTCGACTACATTCATAGCCGAATGATGACCGGTAGTATCAGTAACTGGGAGACATATATTCGCAGATGCTATGAGTTAGTACTCTGCTTTTTAAATGTGTGGATGGAATTCTGACCAAGAGCCTAGGCACTTGAACCCTGGGGGTTACCTTGAGGTTAACGATGTAGACGCAGTTCCTGTTTCTGACGACGGGACCCTCACTGAGAAATCTTCGTTGATGAAAGCTGTGCGCTTGTGGTCTGAAGCACTGGTCATTCTGGGATCGCCTTTTGAGGATATCAGCCGCCTTGAAGGCGTTATGAAAGATGTTGGATTTGAAGATATCCAAGTCAGCCGTTTTAAATGGCCGACGAACAGCTGGCCTAAGGACCCTAAGTACAAGGAGTTAGGGATATGGAATCATGAGAATCTTTCTCCCAACTGGGAGGGGTTCCTCATGGCCCCTCTGACACGAGCAATGAACTGGAGGAAAGAGGAAGTCCTTGTGCTTGCAATGGAGGCCCGTAGGGACTGTTCGGACAGGAACATCCACGCATACTACAACATGTAAGATTGAGAATCTACCTCCAACTAACGAGCATTTGCTAATTCGTCTAGATGGTCCATCCATGGAAGGAAGCCCTTGAAACCTAGGTAGTTCGTGAACATGACTGAATGTGGTATTCTGATACTTGGCTGTGGTTTGACGACTTGCTCGAACGATGTTGATTGCGGGGGTTTCTAGACTGAGTTCATATCGACTATTTAACATCCTTTATCTTGTGAATTTTACGCTGAAGATGCTTCTAAGATGGCCACCATGATTGATGTTTTACCGACAATCAATGTGCTTTTCACCCCTGTCAACAGTTCCATGCTAAGGACAAACATATCTACATGGACGTCTAATCATAAAATCTGTTCCATTGTTAGTGGTGCTTTGGGTGAGAAGGCCAGTAAAAGTGGGGGAATGGGGGCAGTTTTGCAGCATGCAACAACTGACATGGGGAAGAGACCACATAACCGCCGGCTGTTATCTGCGCCACATACCAGCTGCTATTCCTGGCAGGTATTCATTTTTCCACCGGGGTCGAGATGCAGAAGCACTTGTATCATGCAGCATACGCGTGTTGTTTCCTGCTGAGAAGAGGGGTAAACAAGGACAAACAACTCAGTTGTCCCAAAGAGGGTAAATCACCGCGAAGCGACACAATATTAGGCCTGTTGGAAATTTTCACAAGTATATAAGGTGGCCGAGAGGAGATTGAGTACCTATACTTTGTCTTGGACTTTATAGCGATTGGAAAAAAGGCAAGAGTGCGTTGATACCGTGCAATGGCCGATAACCAAGCAAACAGCAGCCAGGTTGGCAATGCAGACCTAGCCCAGCAAACATCTGCAGTTGACGACAATGGATTCCTTGCAGCCGACGAGGTACGAGTCTTTGTCCGAGTCGTTGACTTCAGCGCATGAACTAATCTCAATCCTTCCCCAGATTTTGGACGATGACAGTTCGGTGAGCCGAGTAGGGAAACCGGAAGCCCAATTTTTGGACCACCTGAATCACAGCACTAATTTGACATTTCTCAGGAGAGTCTTGCTTCGTCAACCACGAGCGTGACCAGCTCTATCCTTGATTACAGGATTGAGAACGGACGCACATACCACAAATACAAGGACGGAAGTAGGTTTATCTGATGAAGTAGGACACGCTTTGAGTGGGACTGACAGACTCAGAGTATGCGATGCCAAATGATGAGAGAGAAAACGATAGACTCGGTACGCTTTCTCGTGCACTTTAGACCCAAGCATTGGAAACTGATCATGGACCTCGAGGTCGGTTTAGACCTGCAACACAATCTTTTCATTCGGACGTTTGACGACCAGCTCGGAACTGCACCGCCTAACGACCGGGAGTTCAAGGTAGGGCGAGTTCTCGATGTCGGCACCGGTTCCGGGATCTGGGCTATTGACTTCGGCGATGAGCACCCAGAATCTAATGTGATTAGACAAATCCTTACCTTCTAAAGAGACCTTGTGCTGAACATTCGTTAGGTCACTGGTGTCGATTTATCGGCTGTCCAACCCGGCTTGTACGGCGCTTCCCCTCCCGGATCGATTTACACGTTTCACAATACTAACTTACCCTGACTGCTAGTGTTCCACCTAATGTTCGATTCGAGATCGATGACATCGAGGAAGAATGGAACTTTTCACAGCCTTTTGATTATATTCACAGTCGGATGATGACGGGCAGCATCCGTAACTGGTCTAGATATGTTAAACAATGCTACGAGTAAGTCTCTTGAAGTCTTCAATCCATGACCTTCTAATCGTTAGTAGTAATTTGAGTCCTGGCGGTTACCTTGAGCTCAACGAGGTCGATGCTATTCCTGTATCGGACGACGGTACGCTTACTGACCAGTGCAACCTTAAGAAGAGCTTCGACTTGTGGGCCGAAGGACTGGCAGCCCTTGGATCGCCTTTTGAGAAATTCTCTCGCATGGAAGGGGTCTTGAAGGACGCGGGATTTGAAGACGTCCATATCCGGCGATTCAAGTGGCCGACAAACAGCTGGCCTAGGGACTCGAAGCACAAGGAACTCGGTATCTGGAATTACGAGAACCTCGCACCTAATCTGGAAGGGATGTTTATGGCATCTTATACGCGAGGATTGAACTGGACAAAGGAAGAGGTGCTTCTAACGACCATGGGTGCTCGCAAGGATTTTGCTGATCGGAATATCCATGCTTACTTCAACATGTAAGACAACCCCAGATCCTTGGCCGCATATCTGCACCCCCAAGAACACGGCTTACTGACTTTACTAGCTGGTCCATCTACGGAAAGAAGCCTTTTAAAACCAGGGAAAGTGAAATAACGTTCGACTGAATTACTAATTAAACCCTGATGTATTCTCCGGAAAGTAAAATTTTGCCCTCGTCTTTCTTCAAAGCGTGAACATATTATTACTTGGAAACTATGCAAAAGGAATATTAGTGTGTGTGGTATCTTTCCGCTGTTCATGCACCTACAGCTGTAATACATGTGACCAGGGTGATTACTTGTATACCTAGCTGGATGGAGTTTAGTCTCGTGTAACAACTCTATTCCCGGAACGAGTGAATCTGAGAAAAGCCACAGAGCTGGTCCACGAATCACTATAACGGTGAGACTATCCGAGAAGATCCGTAGACCCTATTGGTCATGATGTTTGCAGGCTTTCATGTGATTGGGCATATTAGCACCCTTTAGCAAACAATATCCGTATTGAATGAGAACGAATCATCAGAAATGTCGCTGTATTGGACTGGTATCTGAATAAACCCTGATCTCCTAGATGTACGCATTATCAAGGAACCCCCTTCCGTATAGCATAACATCCTCAAAGGGATTGCTCGCCCGTAAAATCTTCCTCCATGGACGCCCCCGATCCGCACTACTCACATACCCCCCTGAAGTCTCATTGAACCTCTGTCTCCCCCTCGCAACGGCCGTGAACTCGGGTATGAACGGCTCCAACTTCTTCGTCCGGACGCCCCCACACTTGCTGTCCTGCGTCTCGATCTCGACCTCATCCCACGCCCAGAACCCGTCTTCGGCGTCGCATGGGAAATTGATTGTTAGCCGCTGTGCGACGGAGGACGGTACGCAGTTGACCAGCTCGCGGAATTCGGTCAGCAACCGGCGGGTGACGGGGCACTCGGCATCGAGCCAGAGGTAGACGTGCGACACCTTGAACTCGGGTTCTGAGAGGATGTGCCACATCGAGGCACCATTGAGGTAGAGGTAGTTGCCGCTGTCCTCTCGGAGGGAAATATTGATGTAGGTCGCCTCGTAAAGGTAGCTGGGCCGCGGGCAGTGGAAGATGCGCTGGAGGGTGTGGCCGTCTGTGATTGTAAGGGTTTTGTGTTCTTTGAAAGTTTCGTGGCATTCGTCGTATCTGGGGTGGCGATCAGATTCGTTACTCGCTTCAGGGAGATGTCAGTAGTCGACCGTGGATGCAACTTACATCCATTTGCAAGACAGAAGGAGAGACATATAAGACTGCGTCTTGTGCGCGTCAATCTCCTTCCCGTCTCGCACGTCCTCCCACAACTCCTCGCATTTCCAGTGGTTACACCATCTCGAAGTCATCCTCTTATACCACTCTGGGTGCGGTTGCACCTCTGCGTTGCTCCCGGACTTCTCGAAAGCCTTCGCAACCCCGATCTGCCGCTCATCCGGCGCTGCATGGTCCGTGATACAGGGCGAGAATATGATCTTTCTGTTGTGTAGGAACGCATGCCTTTCGACTCCGGCAACCACCCAGAACTCTTGATAAATTTGTTGACGAATCTCAGGGGGCAGTTGCTGGAAATAATGAAACTGGTTCAGCGGTTGCGCGGATATATCGTTTTCTGAGTCTTCGGGGATGGAATCGTCGACGACGATAGACTCGTCTTCTTCCATAGTCTTTGTCGTGAACAGAGAGATCGTTGAGAATGAGGACCAGCTTGTCGAAGACCGTCCACTGATGCTCGATTTGTCGCCTGACCGTGTTTTATCCCTTGAAAGCGTTCGTCTGAGGCTACTCAGACACTTCCGAGAGGCCCTGTGCACAAGGTTTGGTCGACTCATTATGATTTGCGAAGACCGCACTCGGTGGCAGCTACCAAGAGGTTTGCCAAGTTCACGATGCCGCGCCCGCACGGGATGGAGTCGATTCAAGTACGTCCCAAATAATGTTGTCAACGCTCACAGGCCTTCGCAGCCATGAGGGTTTGGATGCAAGAAATAGAACAAATAGACTCGGAGAATAAGCAAAAAAGAACAGACAAGGGTACCTCGAAGAATAGGGTGGGTAAGAAGAGGGAAGCCAGGCCTGATATAGATGAGTTATTTGCTTCTACGGTGTCCTGGTGTCTCGGATACCTACTCGCGCCTCAAGGGAAGCTGTAGGCAGCCAACCAAGGCTGTGGAATGTTCAACCGTCCCAGCAACTTGGTAAAAGACTTTGAAATGTAGCCAACCATTGTTGCAGTTGTGGTGACCCAGCCTGCGTTGCAGGGTAGGATGTAAGAAGAAAAAAAAGGACCAACGCCCGCTCGCCCATCTCGCCCCTCCCGTCCTGTCTACTCAAAGGTGCTCCGATGTGTACGCAACGAGGCCAGGATGAGGTAAAAAGATCGTCTATGGCTCTTTGCAAACGAGGGAACCCACACACGTCGTGCAACTGGGTCTCCCTTGAGTTGGGCGGGCTTGAGTGCGGCGTAGGCGGCGCATGGGGGCCCATCATGACCCATATTGGGAAACTCATCTCCAACAGCGCACTCTCGTTCCAACAGCACAACCACCAACCGGGCCAATCCACTCAACGGGGCGATTGAGTTCATAAGCGAAGCCCCGCTACCGCGCCGCGCTTCCTTCAGGGAAAAGATCGAGACCTTGCATCATCTGATGCTGCAAGCGCTGTCACAGCGACGGGATCGCATACCTTGTCGGCCATTGTCAATGTCCATGTTCTCGAGACTCGAGACACAGAGTGGAGAAAAACACATGGCGCGAGACTCTCCACGGATCGTCTTTCCCGCGGTGAGACAAAACTAGCTGCTGTGCTCGCCCCGACGGCATCTCGTGAACTCGTGGCTGGTGTAACTGGGTGGTCGGACAAAAGTTCTCCAGACACCCACAACAGGGCGCTTACTCAATCATGGGTAGGGACATTGAGTGACCCGTGGCATGACGAGTTTGCTTCTGACTTGGACCAGCTGAGAACTCTCAGATGGGATGCTTGAAGCTGATGTCGCCGAGCTAACTGCATTGGCAACACTTGAGGTTGAATGTGACATTCTTGGCCAGGAATGAGGTGTCGGAACTGTCTCGCATGCATGAGACATGCAAAAGATATGTCTTAGTTTGGCCAGCGTGATTCGCACACCATAGTCACGACTATCGCTGAGGGAGGAACCGTGATCTCCGCGCCGTGCATTCCAAGGCCCTAGCTGGGGCGGTTAAATGGGATCGTGTGCTGCAAGGTGGTAATCAAACATGGCCGAGGGTTGAGTGACCACCACCATCGTTGCCTCTGCAGACTGGCTGCATGGTGTCAAAAGCTGTCATTGCCACATTACCGTTGGTGCAGGACATAAACCCAACGCATTGCCCGGGGGACTGTGGCCGCAACGCCGTTAAAAAAAGGCTCGGCCCAGTCCATAGCGGACGTCGGAAAGTCTCTCAGCGGTCTATTGGTGGCGGCGATGATGATTGGCCCCCCTCTCCGTCGACGGCGTTCTTTTTTCCCACACTGGCCCCCCTTCTCTCCACGCATTCGTGGGGACCGTTCGATAAGGCGAGCTCCTGGCTCGCGCTGGACTGGACTTCCATCCCGGGGAACGGGGGACGACGACCGGCCCGTGGACAGGATGCCCGATGCGGTGAAGTGCATCCCCATCGACGTGAATCCCTGGCGAGGCGACAGGTTCTCCGCCTGACTGCACCAACATGCGTGGAGACTGTTGGGGGCAGAAAGCGAGAAAAAGGGTCTTTAGGCCCGTGTGTCCATTTGTTAGAAGCCGTTGATAGGCGGTCCGTGTTGAAATGCATCAAGCTGTTGGAAGTTTGCGTCTTCGACAGGGCCAAGCCTCGGTTTTCGGATCCGCCTACCCCTATTATGGCAGCTAGATGGCGCAAGATCCGTCAAAACAACAAGGATCGTGTGTTTAATAGGACTCCAGTAGTGACTCTCCACCCCAGCTTCGGATGCACTTCCGGACAAAAGTGTTTTTTTGGCTGTCGAACGAGTTGTTGAGGAGGGGCCGCAGTGGTGTTGACAAGCATATCGCAGCGTAAAGCTACGAATTCACCGCATGAAGCATCTAGGCGACCCTGCGGTCATAGCTTCCATGTCATGGATGGGTTACGAGTGCGGTACCTGGCGCCGTCGTCGGCCCGCGATGCAAGTCACACCTCACAAGACAGTATATCCCTGACCAGACCGACTCAAGAATCGGCATGGCCATGCTTGCGAACAACGATAGTGTTCTGTCAAATTCGGGACCTTGTTCGGAACAGATTCAAAAGCCGGCTGAACCCTGGAAGTAGGTACTCTTCTGGGGCCTCGACTGGCCATATTGTTGAGACGTTTCGAAACGGGCTATTCGGCTAATGATTCTATCTCGAAGGGCCGGGAAAATGAAACGGTGTTTGTCTAACTTGGGGTGAAAGTCAATCGGCAGAGGCTGTGAACACAGGAAGCTGGAAGTAACTAGAGATAGAGGAGACGGGTGCCTTTCGACGTTTACACAATCGGTTCCGGTTCTGACGGGCAAAGGTGGGCGATTTGAGACCAATCCTAAGCTGACATAAGCTAGACGACCAATTGGTAGACGATTGAGCCTCCGGCTTCACCAGATCGCGAGCGATCAAACTTGGGCTACAGCGACTTCTAGCACTCGGTCATCTTCTACCGCCGCAATGTCCTGCTATAACGCCGCGCTGTTTATTGGGCCGGTTGCAGCCAGGGCTTTGGGGGCTTTCGGATCACTAACGGATAAACAAGCGATAACGATAAGACATGACAAAAAATCAGACGAAAGAAAAGGCGGGGCAAATGGGGCCGTGACGGAAGCTTGGCGAAGGAAGCCGAACCGCTCGCCTCTGCGCACCTCGAACAAAAAACAACAGCAATTGTTTCTGCCGGTTTATTCCTAGGGCGAGGAATCAGACGAAAACGCCAAGATCCGATCGACAAGTCCGGGTGCCACCCTGAGAGTCTCTGTACGCAACATTGAAGGTCTACAGACACAACCCCTCACTGCACCCTGACAGCTCACATCTCGCCTCAGAGGTTCATGGCGTTTACTCGTTCGTGCTCTCGGGAATCGCTGTTCAAGAGGTAGTGGGCCGCTGCGCAAAGGGCGCCGCCACTACGTCATGAAGTTCGCAAAGGAACTCGAGCAAGACCTTGTACCAGGTGCGACAGCCCGGGGTGTCTCTGTCCCAATTGCTTCTTCCGCATGCTGACTCTAGACTCCTCCAACAGAATGGCGCATCAAGTACCTTAACTACAAGGCCGGCAAGAAGTATGTAAAGGCCGTGTCGCGCGCCATCAATCGCGCCAACGGTAGCCCCTCGAACAACGTCAACAAGGCCGAGAACCGCATCTCCGCCAACCTCTTTTCCGCCCACTCGCCCTTCCACAGTCAGAAATATGGCCACTCCAAAGGCGCGAACCACCCCAATGAGCGCACCTCGTTGCGCGAAGGCTCGGCCCCAGTCGGCTCGGCGTATCAGAAGCCAACGACACCGGCACGAGCGATCCCCGCGGCGGCGCACAACGAGCGACAAGGCCGCAACGATGGGTCAAGCGACATGCAATACGGGAGCTTCATACCTACACCGCCTCAGCAGGAGAGCGTAAACCCTTTGAAACGGAAGACGACCTTTGAGCTACCCGGGCCGGCCATACATGCGCCGTCACATCATAGTGGTCCCAGTCCGCAGGCAGACTCCATGCCAGAGGTGCTGCCGACACGCCAGGCCCTCCCGAGAAGCGCGTCCATGATCGCGGATGAACCTGGAACGGTTGGGACACCTGCCACCGAGCACGAACGCACCCCGTCATCTCTACGACTACCTCACCCGGCGACCGTTGGACCCGGATACAATGCCTCGCCGCGGGGTGGGCTCCGCCGACTGTTCTCGACGCCCCTAAATCGAGTGGGGACAAATTCGGAATATGGTCTCCAGGGAATGGCCTTGGATACTGTGAGACAAAAAGAAAAGGAATTTTTTGAGTTTCTGGACTCGGAGCTGGAAAAGGTTGAGGCATTCTACAAGATGAAGGAGGACCAGGCCGGTGAGCGTCTTGCCCTTCTCAAGGAACAGCTGCATGAGATGAGGAACCGGCGCACCCAGGAGCTGCACGCCCAGAAGCGTCAGGCCGAAATCGACTTCCTGAACGGAGGCAACGGCGACCGCGACGGCCTCCAGAAGGGACCACTCGGTTGGATTGATCCCGTCAAGTCAAAAATCTTCCGCCCGGGGCCGAACTCTCGGGCTCTTTCGAAAATGACACAGACACCCGTCATGCGTCCTGCCGAAGGCGGTGACGCGACTCGCGATTACATCCGAAGGCCCCACGAACATGACGTCCCGTACCGCACCGCCAAGCGGAAGCTGAAGCTCGCCCTGCAGGAGTTCTACCGCGGCCTTGAGCTGCTCAAGTCCTATGCCCTTCTGAACCGGACGGCGTTCCGGAAGCTGAACAAGAAGTACGACAAGGCCGTCAATGCCCGGCCGCCGTACCGCTATATGAACGAGAAGGTCAACAAGTCGTGGTTCGTAACCAGCGATGCCGTCGATGGACACATCAAGGCTGTGGAAGATCTCTACGCTCGTTACTTTGAGCGCGGAAACCACAAGATTGCGGCTGGAAAGCTGCGAAGTCTGAGTCGGAGACCCGGCGACGAGTCCGGCAGCGCCTTTCGGTGTGGAATACTGCTGGGTACTGGGCTGGTGTTTGCCATCCAGGGAGCGGTCTTTGGCGGGCAGCTTCTTTTTGACAAAGATCCAGAGGTTCGATCGCGGACGAGCTACCTCCTGCAGATCTACGGAGGCTACTTCTTGATGCTCCTGCTGTTCTGCATGTTCTGCATCAACTGCGCCATCTGGACGCGGAACAAAATCAACTACCCCTTTATCTTCGAGTTCGATACCCGTAACAATCTGGACTGGCGACAGCTCGCCGAGTTTCCTAGCTTGTTCACATTCATATTCGGTGTTTTCATTTGGCTCAACTTCAGCGAGTATGGAACCAATGAGGTGTACGAATACTACCCCGTAGCCCTCATAGCTCTATCGGCCTTCATTATCTTCTTGCCCGCACCGATATTCATGGCGAGGAGTCGAAGGTGGTTCGCATATGCTCATGTAAGTCTCTTTCGCGAGCCTTTGGGGGACGAAAGACTGACAGCTTCTAGTGGCGTCTCCTGCTTGCCGGCCTGTATCCGGTCGAGTTCCGAGACTTCTTCCTCGGCGATATCTACTGCTCCCTAACATATGCCATGTGTGTGAGTTGACACGATCTGCGCCTCGCTGGATGCCTCAGCTGACGCCCTCTAGAATATCGAGCTGTTCTTTTGCATATACGCCAATGCCTGGGATAATCCGGTGCAGTGCAACTCGAACCATTCCCGGCTCCTCGGTTTCCTGGGCACCCTGCCTCCCATCTGGCGCTTCCTACAATGCCTGCGCCGTTACAGAGACACCAGGAACATCTTCCCTCACCTGGTAAACGGCGGCAAGTACACGATGTCCATCCTGGCCGCCATGTCGCTCTCCATGTACCGCATCAATAACACGCACGGCCAACTGGCCATGTTCGTTACCTTTTCCACCATCAACGCCATCTACACCTGTAAGTCGCCTCTCACCCTTTCCCATGCCACGGTACTAACGAAGCAGCCATCTGGGACCTGTTCATGGACTTCTCCCTCCTCCAGCCGCACAGCCGGCACCGGCTCCTCCGCGACATCACCGGCCTCAAGAAGCGCTGGCCGTACTACTTCATCATGGTGGCCGACCCGATCTTGCGCTTCGCCTGGATCTTTTACGCAATCTTCACCCACGACGCGCAGCATTCCACCATCGTCTCCTTCCTCGTCGCCCTGGCTGAAGTCACGCGCCGCGGCATGTGGACTCTCTTCCGCGTCGAGAACGAGCACTGCGCCAACGTCGCGCAGTACAAGGCCTCGCGCGACGTGCCGCTGCCCTACAACATCGAGCCGCTCGTCTCGCACCACTCGTCTGACATCGCCGAGGACGGTGTCAAGGACAGCAACATCGCCCAGACGACGGGCGACGCGAGGCCCGACGCTTCGAATGCAAGCGGTGCCACGACGGCCCGGCCGACAGAGCAGAGGATGGAGGAGGGTACCCTGCGACACAGGAAGATGAGCGGCATCTTGACGATGCAACGGAGCTTCTCCAAGATCATCGCCGAGGCGCACAGACAGGACTTTGAGAAGAGGAGGAAGCCGATGGATGCGGATACCGAGCAGTTGGAGGAGGCCGGCGGCATGGCGAGCGACGACGACGGCTCGGAATCGGAGGACGAGCATGACGAAGTCCAGTCGGTCGCGTCGGACGAGAACTCGGTGGAGATTCGCCAGGCGGGCAGTCTGGTGCATGACCACGGGGATCGGAGGCCGATGCACCAGTAATGGTAATCAGTAGACATCGATATCCGCGTAAATGATGAGACGATCCTCGAAGTCGTATTACAAGCCGTACTAGGCGTTCAACGTTCACATGTGACATGTATGGCAAACTATTTCGTGACTTGGAACGTATCCATAATGATGCGTCTAATCGAGCTAGTACATAACCTACAAGCAGTCGTAAATCATACCCCGTTCGCACCCTCGATACGCCACGCTTGAACCACCGTTTCTATGTACTCCCCGGAAGCCTCCGCGTCCATATGATGCCAGCCATTCCAGGATATATCACTCACTGCCACTCGGCATCCACCTTCTCCCAGTGGTCCAAGAAGCCCTTGAAGAACTTGACGCCCAGGCCGGGGTCCAGCGCGCCCGTCGTCGCGCGGATCGAGTGCATGCTCAACTGCGGCAGACCGGCATCGGCCGCCCTGACGCCCATGGCGGCGCTCAGCATGGGGCCGACGGTGCCTCCGCTGCGCGTGTCGTTGCGGATCTGGAACGTCTGCGTCGGGGCGCCGCTGAGCTCGCCGACGCGCTGGAGGATTGCGGTAGAGACGGCATCCGTGGTCATGTGGCCGTTGCTGTCGCCGCAGATGGCGATGCCGACGTTGAGGCGCGGCACGTGCTCTTCGAGGTAGTATCCCAGGAAGTTGGGGTTGCCGGCGTGGGTGACGTCTGCAGAGAGCAGGAAGGAGGAAGCAAAGGTGCGGCAGAGGACGTCGGTGCCGAAAGGGACGTCGGCGACGGTGCTGAGGGACTCGACGGCCCGCTCAATGGTCAGGGGGAGGAAGTTGCCGCGCGCGCCCTGGCGGAGGAGGGAGCCGATCTCCTCGTCGTCGAAGAGGGCGACGAGCTTGATGATGCCGTCGTTGGGGTCGGACTCGGCGGCGAGGAGGCCGGTGAGGGCGGCCCAGGAACACAGCTTGTCGTCGATGCGACCGCCAAAGATGAACTCGCGGTCAAGGCCGCCCGTCTGCGCGGGCTGGGAGTCGTAGAGCTCGAGCTCCCAGTTGAGGATCTGGGTCGGGGACGCGAGGCCGAGCTCCTTGGAGATCAGCTTCACAAGCTTCGGGGGCTGAGTGTTGACGAAGGCGCCCTTGGGGCCGAGGGGCTCGACGGGGGTGGAGGAGTCGGAAGGGGACTCGAGGCCGATGATGGGCACGGCCTGGGTCTCGGGGTTGTTCTGGCCCATCATGCCGACGCCAAAGTGGGGCGCAAGCGTGGGGATACGGGCAATGGGCCAGTCAAGGCGGACAAGCTTGGTGGTGGTCTTGTGGGAAGACTCGTCGCGGACAATGACACGACCACCGATGGACAGGTCGCGGTCCCACCAGGTCTGGTTGAGGGCGCCGGCGTAGGGTGCGACGCCGAGCTGGAGGTAGCCGGCGCGCGTGGGCTTGGAGCTGACTGGCTTGAGCTTGGCCGTCAGGGCGTCGATGTGGCCGGCGACCATGGCGACGCCGTTGCCGGGCTTGTAGGCCTCGCCAACGGTGAAGGCGATGAGGGCGGAGCCGTTGCGGGTGGTCCAGTATTTGCCGCCGGGCTGGAGCTTATCGGCCCAGCTCTCACGCGCGGGGAGCTCGGTGAAGCCGGCGGCGGCGAGCTTGTCCTTGAAGTAGGAGACGGCGTGGAAGATTGTAGGGTTCTCGGAGAGGAAATCGACAAACGGCTTGGTGTATGCCTCGGGCTTGCCAGCAGCAACGGCGCAGAGCTTGCAGGCGGACGGGTGGGCGGCACGGGTGGTCTGCCTAACTTCACTGTAGCGAAGAGCGTTCCAGCATGAGTCGCAAACGGGGTTCTCGGCGGGCGACCGGCCGTTCATGTCGGCAAGAAGGAAGGGCTTGGAGGCCGGGGCAGTGTTGGAGCCGGAGGACGGCAGCGTGGTGGAGGCGAGCATGGAGGGCGCGGGGGACTGGGAGCGCGAGAGTGCTTCGGCGGCTTCCATTGCCTGGAGCCGGAGGGAGAGCGAGGAGACGCGGGAGCGGAGAGAGTCCGGGGTGTGTTTGGTCATGGCGGGCGACTCGTCAAGGGGATGTCTAGCTTGAACGGCGGCGCTGTTGGAGTTGGACAGGAGGAAGCGGTTCATTGACTTAGACCAATGCGATGACGCGATTCCTGGGAAGTGGATATATCGTCTTGTGGCGACCTGTAGACGAGAGAGAGAGCGAGACGGAGATATACGGGGGGTGGGTGCGGGAGGTTGTTCGGGGGAGGTTGAGGTTGAAGACAGCTGGAGCTTCCCAAGCAGCCACAAGCACAGGCACAGGCACAGGCACCGATACCTAGGTACGACACGCAGCGGGAACCGAGCGCAGGTACGACCCGCGGAAAGCTCTCATTGGACCCGGCGAATGACTCGACGCCGAAGCCGGTCCGAGTTCTTATCTTATCGGAGTGTCTTGAGTCGGTTGCTATGGGGCCCGAGGGGGAAAACACCATCACTTGGCCGAATCAAGAAGGTCAGAGGAACTTCAACTCGGTTAAGAGTGGTGTCATTCATCTTACCCACATCAATGATGACAACATCAACTTCACCGACGATGTAGATCTAGAGCTTGCTTCGCGTGTCTTTGTCCGACTTTGGAGAGTGTAAGCATTCGGTAAAGAGAGGGTGAGGTCCTGAATTGGAAAGACTAGAGGAGCCTAATAGGTCAATTATATCAAATACCGCAGACCAGGAAGTACTCCAAAAGATAAGAGGAAACGGCGGTGGGGGAGCAAGATGCTGCCTCTTTGGTTTACTTCCTTCTATGGATCAAATGACTTGCTCGAGACCAGGCCATGATCATGACGCCTTGATTGTTCTGAGAACAGATTTTGACTGTCTGTTGCTTTTTCACTAGTTGATCAAGTGAGAGCGGGGGGATATATCCCATTACTACCTGTCTCTAGTTACTAAGCATAACAATAAGGACCCTTGTCGCTGTATATGCGCGTAGAGTCTGTCAAGCAATACTGTTCCGCATGGCATGAGTTCTGTATGACTTCAACCCACCGACAGCTGCAGTCTGGTTCCAGACGTTCCTGTTTCGATATTACATTTGCCCTCAAATTCCTTCCTCGGCCGCACCACAACCGGAATCGGTTCACCGGGAGACTGCAGTGCAGCAAAAACGCCCGCGACCTTGGGCATCCTCCACTCTCTTCCTGCGGGACCCTCGCCCTTGAACCCCGGTTCGACCTCCATGTCCAGCTTCAACGCCATCAACGCGATGAGCGCCATCGCCCCGCCCGTTGCGAACCACCGCGCAGGACAGATGTGTGGCGCAACGCCCCAGACGGGAAACGAGTGAGGTGGTAGGTCGCCTGGCGTCGCCACACCAGGTACATCGGCCTTTCTCTTCATCTTGATGAAGCGGTACGCATCGAAGGATGTGGCGTCGGCGCCCCAAGTCTCTTCACTACGGAGGATGGGAATGCCGTTGAGCTGGACATAGTTGCCCTTTTTGAAAAGTTGAGGAATATCGTCCACCGTGATGATCGTGTCATGAAGAACCTCGCGGATGTGCGCGTGGATCATGTGCAGACGTTGCGCCTCCTGGATCGACGACAGGAGCAATGGCGACGAGGACTTGAGAATGGACAAGTTCAAGGTAAAATTGCCGTCTTCATGCTTCTTTACGGCCTTGCTAACTTCTTTCCGAATCTCTTCGACGAGCCACGGGCGAGAAAATACCTCGAAGATGGCCCACCAGGACGTGGGGACGTAATTGGCGAGCATCGCGATATCGAAGCCGACGTTGCTGCGAGCGATGTCGCGTTGTGATACGCCGTTCTCAGCCATGACGCGTGAGCGGCCCTTGATCAGACCCGAGGCGTTTTCGAGGCCTCCGAGATTGACGTATTCCTCGTACCTTTGGCTGTTGCGGTCGCGAGCCTGCACGGCGTCCTTGGCGAGAAGGTTAGCAATGAAGCCACCACCAAGGAGCACGTGAGCTTTTTCAGAAAACGTCCTTGTCAGAGCAGTCAGTATACGCTGCAACAAATACACGGCGCAATAGTCTTGTCATACCAAAAGTCGGCCTCATGGTCAGGATTCTTGTAAGGGTTCAGGGGCCCAAACATGCCCTCCGTCGATGACAATGTGACAGCATGCTTGACCCACGCGAACAGGTCGATCCGAGTGGCGGAGTCAGATGACTTTGAAGCGTCAACCAAAAGCTTTTCAATCATGTCAAGTTTTACTTGTGTCGCAACGTGGCTCAGCTCGTCAAGATCGGAGCCGGCGGCCAATGTCGCGCGTTGGACTCTGTCGAACTCCTTGGCCTCGGGCCCGCCCTCGAGGTGATCCTGCAGCTTCGCCGACTTCTCGGAGATGCCGCTGAGGCTTTGTGAGGCCTTGACCGCAAAGGGCACGAAGGAGATGGTCTTGGCATTGCGCTGGATAGATGCAATGAACTTGCGGTCCGAAATGACATAGAACTTGAAGTTGAAAATGGGCGCCGCGAAGATCCTGCCCTTGATTTGAGCTCTAGAAGGAAAAGTTAATTGCTACTGACTACGAACACGGCGGGACGACGGATGGGGTAAGTAGCTCACGCGATCTTTGTAAAGTACTTTCCGGCGCCGTACTTATTGAGACCGAGGATGTGACCGATGAGCGGTACTCGGGGCCGGGAGTACTCAGGTTCCCGCGGGTCCTTGGAGAGGAAGACGAACGACTCGAGCAGGTAGCAGCCGACGACGACGACGGCAAAGATCGTACCGGCAAGAGCTGGCAATTCCATCTTCAGTCAGTCGGATGAGACAAACGACAACAGGGACATGAATTAAGATGCAGAATGTGCAAAGCAGCGACGACGCCAAACAAGGGAGCTTTCGCTAGATAAACTGCCAGAAACTCTCCAACCAAACAGGCTAGGCGCGTGCTGGAGAGGATGGATCCGCCTGCTAGACGAGGACTGCAGCCGCTTACATCGCTAAACAGGGGCTAGGTACGCTGACGTGCCAAGCGCCCCGATTTGGGTTCAAGAGACAATCTAAAGGCTGTAATTAAGCTGGGTTGATTGGCCCGTGGGCTCTGGCCCCATATCATTGGTACGAGCGCCCGGGGTTTTGGTCTGATTTCTGACGCCAGAGATGGATTTCTTTGCATCCTGAATATGCTAGCTCCATCCTGCCAGGCAGCGAATTGAGTGACAGATATTGCAGATACCAGACGTACTAAGCAAACCCCTAAGTAGCAACGTGAAGCATTCGGAAAGCATATGCCAGCGGGGACTTGATGCAGAAAACCAAGACAGGGTCAGCCCTTACTGTGCTAGACCCGTTGCGGCACCTAACTTTCCGTTTGGTGGTAATGGCCAATAAACAGAACCGTCGGTCAGTGAGCAGGTCTCCAAGGTTCGACACTGAGAACTGTAAGTCGGCTCCCGCAGCTCCGGAACGCTGCGAAGGAGACAACCTACACGGCACCGGACATCAGCTACGGTAACCTTGGACTGAATACCTAGGGTGGACCGGCCCCACTTATCGGGCTTCTACCCTGTTGTTGTCCGTGAGACGCGAATTAGTTTTCACGCAGATGAACCTCAACATGCATTACATTTTATTCCTGGCTTTAGCCTGAGAGTTCCAGCCAACGCTTCAACTCGTCAAATTCCTTATCTTCTTCTTCTCAGATTTCCTTTATTGGTTCTCTGTTTCTCTATCTATCTCCGCTAATGGTATTCACATATTGCGGTGCTTTCCCTGTTGGTACTGCCCTTATGCTTCCATAACAGGCTGGTAGGAATCACAAGGCAACCTGATCCTTCTCCACATATGTAAGGACACATCTTCGCCTGTAGCGGTCCAGAGTGTTCAAGACATTTCGCTGTGACATACATGATGTAACAATTAAACAAGCCTGCAAAACTTCGATGACCAACGGAATCAAACGTACCACACGAGACGGCTTGGAAGGTGATTGTCTACGTAATTATAGGGAATTCGCGTAAGTGAAATATTCACTTGACCGCACGATTGAAAGTCCTCCACTAAACTGACGGAAAGTTTCCCATTCTTGAGATTGTGAAGACTATCTACAGGTGTTCGTGTTGTCGGCTTAGAACGAGGAGCTTAGTCAATGCTTTGTTAATAGTTCCACGTATTCGGGTATCAGTTCAGTCCGATCGACGCGGAAGAGTTAATGTGACGAGATTGGCCTCGTCTTGAATATCCTGGGGTCTATGGTAATGCATGACGGATCTCGATTATCACGATACTGATTACCTCAACAGCAGAACCTTAACTTATCACTTTTGTTACGCAATTATCTGCTCCTTAGATTTGGAACCAAGGTTACAACTGAAATCTTACTTGCTACATGATAACAGAACCCAACACGAAGGTGGTCGCTCGGGCACGTTATCATCGACCTTTCAAATCGCCAGCATAGTTTCATTGCGGATAGGAAAGATAGGGAGAACTGGGCTCAGACTTTTGAGTGGGGACAGTACTTGCGCTTGTTAACAGCAGGTCTATCCGAGTATTAGTCAGTCCAACTGTGCTAGTAATATCAAAATGAATCCATTGATCATAGAAATCAACCGCAAAATAGCATAATGTTGTGACGTGTTCTTGCAAGCGGGGGTGTAGAGGAGAATAGTTGAATGACGAGACTGTTCCAGTCAGTTTGTCTCATAACAAAACAAAATACGAAGGAGGCGCGGGAATCACGATGGTTGGAAAGTGGCTTGTTCTTTTAATCCACTATTCAGAGCGGTGGTTATGTATGAAAATACTAATCATCGTAAAATCGATTCAAGGCGAAAGTCTAGGAGCCAGCGCTACTTATGCCAAATTCGCTGTCCGGTGGCCAGACTCATTTCTCACGTCGCCCCTAATTTCCCAAACCTTTCACGTTAAGAATACCATTTTGTCTTCCCGCTGGAAGTGTACACCAGCCCGACTCCCCGTTGGGCGGCTGGTACATCCACCGCTCGCCGTTATTGTAGTCTACGAGCATTACTGCTGTATGTGTATTTCCGCCGTCGAAGAAGGCCCACCCGTCGTCTTGGATAACAGCGGAGCCTGCTTGAGCGTTCCAGCTCCAGTGGTTCGGATCGGAATTATAGAAACGGTATCCGATACCCCCTTGTACGATCATTGCGTCGGGACCGTAAGCTTGGCATGGCTGTGCTGAAATGGCGTCGAGAGAGGCGAAAATGCAGATGAGACTTTTGTAGGAGAGCTTCATTTTGGGTAGTGTCAAAACGGTTAAGAGGTGTGGTTCAAACAACGAATGTGGCTTGGGTTATTCCACGAATCTTGCGATGCAGAATGAATTTTGCAAGCCGGGGACAAGTCTACTTATAATAAGTCAAGTTTCGACAATTCAATAAGTACACTCATCTAATAAACCCCCGCACTTCGCCAAATGCAGTAATCTGAATCAAGGGTTAGTTTTCATGATCGAATGAAGATAACAGCTATTGTCGGCCATGAAATGCCTTCTAGCACAACCTAGCCCATTTCATTAGCTTCATCAACAGCCACCCACGGCTCCATCGCCCCAATATGCTGCTCCTCGCAGCTACAAACTTTTCCATCAATAATACTTTCGAATATTTTCAAAGTCACCAGCTTAATCTCGGAGGTTCATAACCTATCCGCAATATGTCCAACACGTGGCCTGTTAGCCGCAGTGGTAGTGGTAGTGGCCGAGGGATGAGATGTAGCATTAGTTGTCATAGACACTTTTAATTAACTACTACCCTCGACTTCATAATCTAGCAATGCAACTTTGCCCTGAAACCACTTATTTTAATCTATATCCTAGAGTGCTGGCTCTTTCTACTGGTCTATCAATCGAATGGCACACCCCGTAGCTTAGACATGGCCTGACTAAGTCTCCGCGGAGTCCGCTCCCGCGACCCTAACGTCCTGTAGATTAAATTTTGGCCCATTTTACTCCGCTGCCTAGGGTTGTAGTTAGAATGATTCCATTTTTATACGTGGATCAAATTGTAGACTAGTAGATCGTGTTGCTGCATTCTCTGAAAACAAGGAAGCCATTCCAGGTCTTACAGAGCCCTTGGTGTATGTAGTCGGACTCCAACCCTGCAGGATGTATTTCATAAGTCAAAGAGTGGGAGGAAGCTAGGTCCTCAAATGATGCCAGATCGAAGCAACACTTGTTTCTATGTACTTGTCAGAGCAGTCTGTAAACAATTCAACTATCGATTCCTCCTAGGAACGACTTGATGCAATTTTTATTGGGCAAGGATGTCCTCGGTAGAAATTTCCAATTATTCACTAATACGAGGGGAAACAACATCGGTCGCCTGCAAAAATACATTGTGTCTACGACCCCAATTTCTATTCGTACCTAATCGCACAATTGCAGATCGCGGAAGTCCTTTCACTCCAGGCAAGCGACCGGCTCCCACTCTACTGTGCACCAGTGTAATAGGCCTCAATGTTAAAAATGTTTGTACCGACTTCATCGGGGAGACAGCAGTCGCCCCCATTATGCTTCCACCACCAGGTAATTCCAGTAGTCTGCGACTTGCTATCAATTACAAGTAGGTTGCAATCATGAGCAGTGCGCATATAGCCAGCGGGCGAAACGAATAGCCCGTCCTTCTCGTGCGAGTACCAATAACCGTCACTACCCTGGTAAGAGAAGTTGGTGCACGAATCGGCAACAAATACGTAGCCCCCTGCATAGCTGAACCTCGAGCCTGTTGAGGGCATGTTCTTATTTCCTCCGGTTGTGCCGCCGCTGGCGTTTGGGTTAGATCCGGCAACACATCGTTCTGCATTGGTGCAGTGCGTCCAGGTCCAGGCGTTAACGTTGCCGATCGCTATGGCAGCAAGAAATAGGGTGGTGGGATTGATGGATACCATTTTTACAGTTCTTGAGGGGTTTGGTAAGAGGGGCTTGATAGTTAAGGTTGGCTTAGATATAGATGTAGAAGTAACACTCAGGAAAGACGTAGAAGATGTTAGAGGCTTTGGGGTCTGTCTTGAAGCTGATAAAACTGATCAATATCATTTGATCTTCAATGCTGAATCTGGGAATCTGCACGGTTTATATATCAGCAGAAACCCAAGCGCCCCATTACAGTCTACTTAGAGACTTGCGAAGGGCTCTGCATTTCGTCTCCTAATCGTCACATGAGTCTACTCTCATCCCATGATGGATCATGAGAAATTAGACCACTCCACTTTATTCTATTCATAGATTGTGTTGTAAAGGAATCAAAGAAATGATGACCCGAGATAAACAAGGCATGACTTGCGACGAACATCAGTGGCAGTCCTTGACGAATACTCCTCATGAATGCAACGCTAGTCCCGAAACACACCAGGGCCCTTGACTTTAGAGATGAAAATCGATAACGATACTAGTTGCTTAAACCCAATTACAGTATCACAAACGATTGTTGTGTAAAGAGCTGCGTAAAGAGCTCCGTAAAGATGGATAGACCGACACGGACTGTACCCCATAAATTCTTCCTAAATCCTTACAGCCCGGCCCACCTCGGCGCCCCGCGGGAATATTTACGGGCGTCGAAACAATTACCAGCGTTTATTTTGCACTTTGGCTACTCATCGTTCAATATGTTATCACCCACGTGTTCATCAACGGGTATTCATGCGACCGCGGAGTTTACGGTTCTAAGATACGGCCATAATACTTCATATGGTACTACATGAGGAAACCCGGGTCCTGGTTTTTCCGCCAGAGACTAACGCGATTCCAAAGATCTCCGCCCGGTGTGGTGCCAGGTATACATGATATCAGCAAGGCCGGATAAGTATATGCAAAGGAAATGCAAATCTAGAGGTCTCTATATAACATCTGCAAATCCTTGTATCGAGGCAATGAACTCGAAGTATCGTGGCTGTAGCTTAGGCGTGACACACTCGGAATCTAAAGCGCTAGCCTGGCTACTTGACACAAAGAATGCGTATGGTAGGGTTCAGGGCTCCGTTTTTGGGGGTTCTGCGAGACCGTTCCAGGTACCCTAGGATACCCGTTGGAAGTATCTTACCACATGCGAGACGTATCTAACTATAACAGGCAGCTAACACCTCCACTAGAGTGGCATAGCGGTGTTAAATCAGAGGTACAACAGAGATAGGGCGCTGGATAGGAATGCTAAGAAGGTTAGCCTATAGTTATGACGCATAACGGCGATTCTATATCCTAGATGCTACGACATACTCAAGCGGGCACGTAGTCTGACTTCCGAGCATAAGCTTCAAGATATGAGATTACTGCATTATTTCGTTCTCGAATATATGGGGCAATGAAGGGCGTTTGTGTCCTTTTAAAAAAAAGTGTTTGGGAACGTTGCTGCTGGGTTTGGCCACGCATGGAATCTGAGTATGTGTGATGTGATCGTTTCATCCACCAACGGCTTGGTACCATCGTAGTTACCCGTGCTAACTATTCGGGGCCTTCAAACTGCATCGAAATGCTCTCGGATCATACACACATTGCTATTTTACATGTTCTTCATGTATTGCCCCCAGACTGAAGTGAGTCGCTACTGGAGACTGCGTCTCTTCCTTCCTTTGTCACAAGCGGCCTGCAATTCCTTCCTAGAAGCAATCCCAGCTTCAGACGCCAACTTCAACCAATGTTTTAGGGATGCTGTGGAAATCACCGTAGACCTAGGATACGACTACGTATGGATTGACAGCCTGTTTCCTTTAGAAGACTCGCCAGACTGGGCCGACGGGCTCCCAGGATGCCCGCGAGTCGGCCACATCTACGAAATAGCATCTTGACCTCTCGGCCATAGAGTCTTCCATTGGCATCTGAGGAACGGTTACCAAGGGAAACGCGGCAGTTCTGGCACCGTGTTTAGTCACGATCTCCAGGCTTGGGTTGGTATACGTGTTTGAAAAGGCGATCTAGACGAGGGATCCACATACCCTAAACATCTCGCGGTTGGGTTATGCAGGAACACACGTTTGTAAGCAATTAACTACCACGCCTATTCAGCTTTCCACTTTGCGTGACACTCGTGGCCTCTGGACTCTGACGCAAAATCTTTTCCGTAGTTTCCTCAAACGTTGCATTCTCTTAAATACTATCTATGTTGGGTTCGTCGCGTCGGCACATCCTTGTAGAGATGAATCTCGGTATTGTCTCTGGCAATATGCTGATTCTGCAGAAGAACCAGAAGCCAGAAACAGCAGACAAGGCGCTTGTGCTTGAGTCTCTTTCATGCTGGTGGCCGGACTCTCTCCATCTTCTACTGCTATATAGTGAGCCCTCGTTTGGAATATGTGGGCTTCTCCTCAAGGAAGCTGCTCCTCGAGAACGGAGCTGATGTCTCTGCAGCAACTAAGGATGGATGGACAGCACTACATGCAGCCTCAGACAACGGATGCACTGATGTGGTCAAATTGCTCCTTGAAAAAGGAGCTAATGTTGCTTCAACAGACAATGATGGTTGGGTACCACTCGACTCAGCCACGTTGCATAAACACGTGGAAGTTACTCAATTGCTTTTCCAACAATGCGTCAACACCACTACTATCAACAAAGACGCTAGAATTTCATTAAATGTAGCTTCACTCCGCGGATGCTTTGACAGAGTGGAGCAACTCGTTAACGAAGGGGCTGACGTTACCGCTGGAGATACAAAAGGACGAACACCACTTCAGTTGGCCTCAAGTAGTGGAAATTCTGATGTAGTTAAGCTTCTTCTTGAGAAAGGAGCCAACGTTGCTGCAGCAGACCAAAATGGAAGTACAGCACTACATGCAGCCTCAGACAACGGATGCACTGATGTGGTCAAAGTGCTCCTTGAAAAAGGAGCTAATGTTGCTACAACAGACGAGAACGGACGAACAGCATTACATGCAGCCTTAGATCACAAACACACCGATGTGGGCAAGCTGCTTCTCGAATCCAAAGCCGACGTCACCGCAGCAGATACGGATGGATGGACAGCGCTCCATTCAGCCTCATACAATGGAGATTTGGATGCAGTTAAGCTGCTTCTTGATGCTGGGGCCGATATTGCTGCTGTAGACAAGGCTAGACGGATGGCACTTCATGTAGCTTCAGGCAACGGGCATTTTGAAGTAGTTGAACTGCTTCTTGAGAAGGGAGCCAAAGTTAATGCAGCGGATATATACGGATGCACAGCACTCTTAGCAGCCTCGGAGAACGGAAATATCAACATAGTCGACTTACTTCTCGATTTCGAGGCTATGATCACCTCCAGAAACAATGAGGGACAAACAGCACTCCACTTGGCCTCAGAGAACGGAGATGACGAAATTGTCGACCTGCTCCTTGAATTTGGGGCCGATATCACCGCTAAAAACAACAAGGGGCAGACGCCACTTCATTCAGCCTCTGGTGCCGGGCAAATCTATGTGGTCCAGCGGCTTCTCGACGGCGCGGTCGACGTCACTACTGCAGATAAAACTGGCAAGACACCACTCCAATCAGCATTATGTAATGGACACATTAATGTAGCCAAGACAATCCTCGAAAGAAATGACACTAAATGAAGCCGGCTCCGAAGACACGTACATTTACTGTTGACTTACACACTGATAGAAGCGTACATATTCTAGATTAGACAGTCATATGTTGGAAAGTCTGTGTGTTTATCATAACCCGAAGCAAACCTAATCATGCTTTTACTCCTTTAGTTGAACTAAGATTCTAATGCGTCACTCATGAGATAGAACTGCGTGTACCGTAACTGCAACGGTCGCACGATGTTGAATTTTAGAGAGTTGAAACCATTGTCAAGGCGATAAGCTATTCTGTTATCGAGCCTCGATAAGCACATCGTCTGTCCGACAAACATACTGAACTGAACTAACTCTATCGAGCAACTGAAATTATCATGGAAGGCAGGAGACTTGCGACAAGGTGTCATCGCTCCAGCTGACAATCAGGTTACTAATATCGTACTTGTTTCCGAGAATTATGGTGCCTAGGCCAAGCAAGACAAACATGTCCCCTGTTTGGATCGCGCGGCATATGTCAACTCTCCTACGTAACGGCCAAGTGAGATTTTGGTGGCCTTGTCGTTGTTACAACCTGGCTGCTCTCCATTTCTGGCTTCAGACTTCATGAAATCCTTTATTCCAAGGCTCTGCCCAATATAATCTGGATTGCGAGCCAAGAGTAACATCACGAGACAATAAATTCATAAGTTCGTTTCAACACAAGATAGTAGCATTCCACTTCAGAGCGAAATCAAACTGCAGACCTATATTCATATCTGAGATCAACTGCTTACGTAACATTCTCCAGCTACTGCCATCTCTCAACTTTCGCTACACGTACCTTTCCCACTATTCCTCGTTAGAAGTCGACTCGCCAGGCCAGAAAAACCACGACAAGACAACCAGAAACTTCAAGAAAGATGCCGTCCACAACGCGCCAGCAATACCCAGAGATGTGTGAGCAAAAGTCCCGCCCAAGATGGCACCAGCAAGAAGCAAAACAGGCGCGCCCACCCTACGGTTCCGCTCAGCGTTGTGGGCGACAAACAGCTCGGCGTCGGAAAACAGGTCGCAGTAGATGCTCGTCAGCACGACGCTAGTGAGGGCGTTGTATTTTAGCGCGCGGCTCGTCACGGCCTGGCCACAGCTTTGGAATGCAATGAGGGCGATGGGTACGAGCACGTTCCACGAGATTTCGTCCTTGCCAGCCTTGGGGCCGAAGGTCAGGATGAGGGCGGCAGCGATGCAAAGGAGCGTCTGCGCGATGAATGACGCGCACAGAACCCAGCGGCGCTTGGGGGAGAAGAGGCGATGGAAGCGGCTGAAGAGAAAGGAACCCAGGCAGAAGGAGCCAAGGGACGTGGCGGACTTGATCCACCGGGTTGACTCAGTTGGCGCGGCAAGGCCGAGGCCAATGTAGACGGTGTTTCCTGGTCGTGGGTGAGCACATTGGAGTGGGAAAGCGTTGTGGGCATTGGAAGGGAGATGTTACCTGTTTGCATTGACACAAAGGAGCCCCAGATGGAGATGGAAGAGCTGTCGAGTAGGCCAGTGATGATGTAGCACGCGAGGAGGACCAAGTCAGCCCAGTCGCGTTTGACGTCTTTGGTCAGCTTCTTGCGCAGAGAATTGGAGGCTGGCTTTCTGCCGCCGCCAAGGAGAGATTGCTCCTCGTCACCAGAAGGGCGAGAGTCGCCGTTCACCACGGGCACCGAGTTAGTGACGGAGCCGTAGTTGCCTTCGGTTGCGCTCATGTTGGGCGAGTTTGAGCAAGGCCACTGATAGTTCTTGAGCAATTGGTCGGGATTTGTTGGTGAGGGAATCTCGTGTGGAAAGCCTCAGCTTAATCTGAAATAAGGATCTCCACTAAGAGGAGCTCTGACCAGGTGACGTTCGTAACGGAAGTTTGTGGATCTACCGCAATAAACTCACGAGTTGATGCGATGGAGCCAGGAAGAAGAAACAAGACTTGAATCTCTGGGCGGATACGACGCGCAATGCTCAGCTGCGAACACTACCGGTACAGTAGGAGAGAAGCTCGGATATTCCGTGGTCCACCCGCGAAAAGTTTCCAGGTTTTCCAGCCTGGTTTATATGGGCCAAGGGCGGAAAGCAATGCCGAAGAAAGCCAAGAACGCGAATCCCCGCTCTCGGCGTTCAAACGGAAGTCGATTGCCATTCGACGGTCCGGGCATCGTCTGTGACTTGGGGCTTCTAGGAAGGACGGGATGGACAGGCATACACATCAAAGAGGGGGGAAAGTGACAGGACGGAGAGGAACCATTGGAGAAACCCGACCTCGACAAACAACACAGAAGGGATGAGATGTGCAGAAGCGCTACAGAGTGAAACCAGGGCCTGACCAGCTTCTTCTCTGGGATCACCGACATATTCCCCGTCCAATCGATGGCCCCGGAGCTACGTTGGAGTTAAGCTCAATCGGCAGGAACCTGCGTCATGGTCATTGCAGACTTCCCCAACGCCGGAGCGAACGATGGGGGGGGGGGGGGGGGGGGGGGGGGGGGGGGGGGGGGGGGGGGGGGCTTACAGGATTCGTCAGGGCTGTTAGATCAGCAGAAAAGAGAGTCAGCGAGAGTGCAGTTCCACAGGCGCCAGGCCGCCTCAGACCCTAGTTTGGTTACTCATCCCCTCGTCTTTAACCCGGAGCTCCAATCTGTGTCCCGCGCACATCGTGCTTGTTCCCCTGCGCCGGCTATCACTGGGGAGCATTGCCTGACTGGTTCATCCCCGCATGGCGGGATATCCACGCTCATGGCTCTGCCGCGTTTCAGCCAGTGAGGGGAAGAGCTGTAGAGAACCTGTCAGTCACGTTTAGGTGGGATGCAGCAGGAATAGCCTACAGCTCTGTGCCTTGTTGAAGCTTCTACCCTGCCATTGCTGCCACAGCTGTGGGGGGTGAGCTTGGGGCTCGGAGGTTCGGCATGTTTGTCGACGTATTGGTTGGTGTGTGTGCGGCAGATGTAGTGCACATGCCGGCTTGCAGCGATGTGCGGGTGAGGTGATGCGCTGATGACTACGAGGTTGACGCCTATGTAAGCTGCAATGTTTACGTACCACACAACTTGGGTTGCTGCGACATGGCGAGGCCGAGGGGGAGGAGGTCAAGGCATAGCATGGATAGGACGGATGAGGAGGTCAAGAAACGGGTATAAAATCGCATCCTCTTCCCAACGTCACAAGCCTGCAGTGATCTTTTTCGTAGACCTCTCCCACTCTCTCGTCTTTTCCCCATACTTTGGAGAGCCTCAGTTGTCTCCTATTGTTTCCCTGTCCCAAGGTTCTTCTTGGCGCCTTAGATCCCCCAGTCCATCGTCACATTCTTCCACAGCAAGCTAGGCCCATCATGCAGCTCACCCAACCCACAACGGCAGCCAAGCTGCTGTTGCTCTGGGCGTTCGTCAGCGAGCTGTGCTCGGCGGCACCGCACTACGACAGCCCGCGCGAGCGCCTCCGACGGGGCATGGACATCCCCGCGAGTTACCGCAAGAAGAGCACCGGCAACCCTTACAGGCCGGGCTTCAAGGATCCCAATGACGGCGCCGTCGACTCCATCGGCGAGGGCCTGGACCCGCTGCCCTTCCGCAACGGACTCGGCGCATCCGTCTTAGGGCCCTGGAACAGCGAGCGCTCGCGCCAGAACCCGGACCTCGTGCGCCCGCCGTCGACGGATAAGGGGAACATGCCCAACATGCGCTGGAGTTTTGCGGACTCACACATTCGAATTGAGGTAAGTTTTCGAAGCTAAGGTGCCAATTGGCACTCTACCAACTCAATTGACCCCAAGAGCCCCGCTACCAAAACTTTGGGAGATTATCACAACTAACACGAATCGCCCATGACAGGAAGGTGGATGGACTCGTCAAACGACCGTCCGCGAACTGTCCACCAGCGTCGAGCTGGCTGGTGTCAACATGCGTCTTGGCGAGGGTGTCATTCGCGAACTCCACTGGCACAAGGAAGCCGAGTGGGCGTACGTGTTGGATGGCGAGGTCCGCGTGACGGCGCTTGACTATGAGGGCGGCAACTTCATGGACGACTTGAAGAAGGGAGGTCAGTATTGGTCCATCCTTGCCGATCAATCCGTCACACCACAATTACTGACACACTCGGCATGCAGACCTCTGGTATTTCCCCTCCGGTGTGCCTCACTCGTTGCAGGGCCTGAGTCCCAATGGCACCGAGTTTCTCCTCATATTTGACGATGGCCGGTTCTCCGAGGAGTCGACCTTTATTCTTTCCGACTGGCTTGGTAAGTAATTCCGGCTCTTTGCTGCACATTCCCGACTTTACGTTTTTCTGCATCCTATAACCCTATACAGTCCACACAACGTGAGGATGGTGTATCATCGTTCTCAGTGACTGATGCGTCCTTCAACAGCCCACACCCCCAAGTCCGTCATCGCCGAAAACTTCCACCTCGAGCCCGAGGTCTTCAAGCACCTCCCCGAGAGTGAAAAGTACATCTTCCAGGGCACCCTGCCGGGCCCTATCGACGAGGAGCGTCCCACGGGAAAGCATGCCAAGAAGTCACGCTTCAACTTTACACACCGCATGCTCGACCAGGAACCGGAGCAGACATCAGGAGGCGAAGTGCGCATCACCGACTCCAAGAACTTCCCCATCTCCAAGACCGTCGCCGCCGCCCACCTCACCATCCAGCCTGGCGCGCTGCGCGAGATGCACTGGCACCCCAACGCCGACGAGTGGTCCTTTTTCATCAAGGGCCGGGCGCGCATCACCATTTTTGCGGCCGAGGGCACCGCGCGCACATTCGATTATGTCCCTGGCGATGTCGGCATCGTGCCCAAGAACATGGGGCACTTTGTTGAGAACATTGGCGATGAGCCTATCGAGATGTTGGAAATTTTTAGGGCCGACGAGTTCCGCGACTTCTCTCTCTTCCAGTGGATGGGCGAGACGCCTAAGAAGCTTGTGATTGATCACTTGTTCAAGGATGACAAGGAGAATGGCGAGAAGTTCTGGAACGAGGTCAAGGAAGCGCAAAAGGATCCCGTCACCAAGTTCCAAAAGACCAAGTCCAGTTCTGATGACGCTCAGAAGGTCGAGGAGTTGTAAACGGCGTATCACATAAATTTCTTGTACTAAATCAACATATAATAACGGGGAATTTTAACATACTCATGCAAGTCACGCGTGATTGAAAACCGCTCATTGATCATCGTGGCAATCAAACGAAAATACCAGTTTTACTACAGCCTACTCCTACACGGCAACAGGATTCGCGGCGTCCTTCAGGGATAAATCAATTCCAGCTCATGATTCGTTCAGCTCGTGCGCCGACTTGATGGCTTTCGACTTGCCGGTATCCAAAACCACGGCCGGATCTTCAGGCTTTCCGTCGCGAGTGACCTCGTTACCGCGCTTTGTCTCAATGGTCGTCCTAGGTTGTTGGTTAGCTTTCCCACAATGTTCACATTGTATTGAATATGCACTTACTTCTCGCCCTTGACGTCGAGCACCTTGCCCTCAGGCTGGCCGTTGCCCCAGTTCCAGCTGACGGTATCACCCTTCTTGGGGCCCTTGGTGGTCTCCTTACCATCACCGCCATCCTCGTCATCATCCTCCAGCTCCTCATCACCATCCTCTTCATCCGCCTCCTCCTTCTTGTTCCCGTTCTTTCCCGACTCCTTGGTAGCTTGGCCCTCGCCCTGACGTGTCTGTCGCTTCTTGCTGGTCCCGTTCTCATCGCTGTTATTCTTCCGCTTGTCACCAGACTTCTCCTCGACCTCCTCGTCAGCTTCCTCGGTCTCGCCGTTATCAACCTGCTCAACCTCATCCTCCTCGTCCTCACCCTCCTTTTTGGACGACTTCCCGTTCGACTTCGCTGCGCCACTCTCTTTTCCTTGCGCCTTGAGGAAGTCGTGACCCCAGTTCTTCAGCGAAGCGTACGACTTGGTCTTCTTTAACTCCTCGGGCGACTTGTCGCTATTCGACTCAGACTCTTGTGCGAGGTGTCGCTTGCTGTCCACTACATTAGTACGAGACATCCAAGCAGATATCGCTGTAGGACAACCACAAAAATCCTACCAGTAAGCCACAACCTTGCGCATGTGGTCGACCTGCTCATCCGTATACTCGTCCTCCTTCTTCTCGGGGTTTGCTTGGAGGATCTCCACAATCTTGCGCCCGCTGTCGTGTCCGACCGTCTCACCGTCGCCGTCGGCATCGTCCTTGGGCCAGCCGGCGCTGTTAGAGTCGCCTGACTTGAGCCAGGACTCTAGCTCCTCAGCCGTCATGTTGACGTACTCGTTAAACTCGGAAACGACCTCTTCCCTGCCTTTGACCATATTGACGGTTGCTGACGGAACGTTCGACTCTATTGTATTGTAAGGTTTGATAGGGGTGTTTGGCTTGGTGACAGGTCGATTCGGGCTGGGAATAGCAGTATCACGGTTTCAATGCAAACGACAAATGATTGTGTGCTCGAATGTTCTCGCGCGAGGAATCAAAGAGCTATTTGAGGGAAAGTCAATTGAGCTACTTCATCTCCCCCTCCACCGCTGCATAGCTCCGCCTGATTTGAGCTTCACACCCAGCCTCCATCTATCCTCCACAAGGCCCAAATGGGGTGCCCACAGATGCGTTCACACAAACCACAGACCGCACGCGGCCACTCCGTCATGGTGTCTCGGGTGAAGGTGGTGTCGTCATAGAAACCCCTTGCATAAGTGGCACAAAATGGCTGGGTGATTGGGTCGTACTGGTACAACCTTTAAGGAAAGGAAAGGAATGGATCGTATCGAGCTACAGCTCCAAGCTCCAAAGTCAAAAAGAAAAAAGAAATGGGAAATAGCTAGAGCTGAGCTGAGCTGAGCTGCAAGGTTTCGCGGTTTCCCCTCATGTCCATTGACCAATGGTTCGATGCCGTTGCAAAGCTCCGAGGGCTGCCTCACCATGTGTGGAGGCTCGAGCCCACCCGTCGCTCATACTCACGAATGTCATCAACTGTCACTGATCTGCGGCGTCATGGCAAATTTTGAATTTTTTCATCTGTTTTTGCATGTCTTTTCTAAAGCAATGGAACGTGCTCAATGACCGCTCTTGGACCTCCAGGTTTCCTGTCTCACTTCAATTCTTCCGCTCCAGGCCAAGCGCCAGGCACGGATTCCTTGTGCTCTCCAGAATCAGTAACGGGTGCAGATTCTGGAGAATTCCCCGCGTCTCAGGCAAACTTGCAGTCGGTCTGGTCCGTCTTGACAACGTCGACGAGGTTCGAGCCTAGCTGGCCGGCGCGCGCGATCCAGGCCTGTCAAAAGTGGTCATGGTTAGTATCCGTGCACTCCCCCTTGCAGGCTGTTGGGCAAACGCTCTGTGTCGTGTTCGGGTTTGACTTACATCAAGGACGGCCTCCTCCGGGTTCTGCTGGCGACTGAGCACGAACAGGGTCGTGAAGTTGTTGGACTGCACGAGCGCAAAGTCCGGGGTGTAGTCTGTGGGCAGAAACATGTCAGAAAACATGGCGAACACGGAAGCTATCAATGCCTTTTCTGCGGCGCGAAACACTCACCCTGGACGACGTAGTTGGGGCCGGCGCAGGAGGGTCCGGGCTGGCCGGGGAACTGGACGCGAAGAACGCCCTTGGCTCCGTACGACGGGTCGGCGGGCGCAGCGGTGCCGAGGATGTTGATGGCGCGACCCCCGGCCTCGCAGGTGTTGTTCACCTTGACGGTGCCATTGTCCTACTCAAGTCAGCCATTGATCCAAATCCTCACGCTCAAGGCCTACGTGAAGCTGTGCTTGCTCACATTCAGAGAGTATTGCGCAAATATGCACTTGCAACCGGCGGTGAAGGGCGCAACGGTGCCGGCGACCTGGTACCAGCGCCCGAGGTAGGCCTCCAGGTCGAAGGCTGCGTCCGGTGTCGGGTAGAAGCACTTCCCGTCCCAGGTAGACTGAACAACATTGGGAATGGTCGGCTCGGGTGTTGTCTCGTTGGTGATTGCGGCTGCGTTCGCAACGGCGGCGCAGGAGAGGATGGCCGTAAGGGTGGAGAGTCTCATCGTGATAGCTTCTCAAGTGTGGATTAGGATTATGTCTGATAACTATTAATAAGTCTAATAACTCTCGGTGACAGCTTCAAAATCGTAGGAAAAAAAGAAGGTTGTCTCAATTGCTATCGTATAGTCTGAATGATGACATCCTGAGGTTCATCCCATCATGCTGCCATTGTTCCTTTTAACCAAGCCATCAACCATCGTGGGATCGTCCCATGACAATGAGGTTTCCTGTAATAATGAGCGCGCCAATGCTGCGCTCGCAGAACTGAGATGTCCGAGGTCCGAAGCCAGCTGGCTAAACCTAGAGAGTCCCTTGTTGGCTCTTGTTGGCTCTCATACTATTCCAGCTGTGCAAGTGGCTCCAGATGACCAGAAAATTTGGTCTTCAAGAAGAAATACAGAATGATGACGACACTGATACCTCTTTGGGCTATGAATTCGTTGTTCGCCAAGTCGGCTGGCTGCGCGGCCCCGCGAACGATGTGGCACCTGTGGTCCCCTCACTTTCACCTCTCCACTGCTGCCTCGGCACTCATCATCCGCAGAAGCACAGGGAGAGACGAACCCCTTCAAGATCCTCTCATTACCTAGCTGCTACTGTACCTGTTATACCTAGTGGGCTTAAAAAGAGCTAGGGGCCGCCGCGCTGATCGACGTTGCACCTTGTCGGTGTGGCACTGTTTTCTCCGCATTACGACGCCGCCAATCGCCGATTTCAGCATTGGATCTGGATTCGTTTGTTTCTTGTCATCGGGGACGCAGGTCCACGGGTGCCAAGGATCCTCCTTCCCGAAAGTTTTGTCTAGTTCTACGGGGCATAGGTGGAAGATGAGTTGACACTTTACTTCCCTGATGTTCGGGATGGTCCAAGTGGATCGTTCTTCACATGGGAAGTAGGAATGAGGACCAAATCCAGCACAGGGAAGTATGTAGATGGATGATCGAAGAAACAAGAAGCAATTTGAGTAATATCGAAATGTGCTGACTCTAGCAAAGTTTGTAGCTTCACGCCGCTGGTGCTGCGTCCCAATCGTTCCCCACGACCAAGTAGTCGTATCCCAGAGTGACATGGAGCGGCTCACGCACAAAGTTGAGCATGTCACCTATGGCCCAAATATTTAGCAACCGAGTGCATACACAGATTGGAGACACCGACTTACCCGAAACCACCCGCAAAAACTCGGGATCCCGCGCGATGCTTTCCCAATCCTCCAGCGTCTCAACCCAAAACTCTGCAGCCCCGTCAAAGTCTAACACAGTACCGCCGAGCCTCTCAGCTTGCTCCCGTAGCTCGGGAGTGATGTGATACTGACCGCTACCCATCAGCATACTGCCGTGTGTACTCGGCTTCGACAGTCAAATACCTGGTTGTAACGGCGAATCTTGCTGGCAAAGGTGCTATTGCTTAGTGACACCTGCATGTGGTTATTCGCCCAGTACGCATGGAAGTACTCGTCCGTGATATCAGGCAGCTTCCTCATAAACATTGTTATCCTGAGGTATCTTCCCCGCTCGGGGGCCGGGCCGATCAAGCTGGGAGCGCTCCTCGATACGGTGGGTTTCTGTTGCGCCATCTCTGAATACAGAGGAAGGGACCGAAGAAAGCCACCACAGAAGAAAAGTTCAATTGAATCGAAGCTTATGTGACTGCAGGCTCTGAATGCGCTTCAGCCTGTGTTGGGATTTATATCGTGTTACCCCATTCCTCAAGGTTGCTTCTCCCTTGTTGAACTCCCTATGTCTCAATTGCGGAGTGTGCGCCAATGGCAGCTGACTTCGGGCCATACTCCGGCACTGTACGGAATGGGTGGGGCCGAGCTCCGGGAAACCATTGAGGTAAGCATGCCTGTCATGGCTCAATGAGTGTTCGCTCTTCCATTAAACCACAACAGGCCCTCTATCTCGGGTCGTTCATTTGGTGTACAGAAGATGAATGGCTTGGGGAACTTGGGAGGGTTCAACGCTGTAATCATCAATGTCTGCCAGGGACACTTGCCAAGGTTCGTTGATTATGAGATTTGGGAAAAACCAGTCTGCCTCTCGTCGCAGATGCACAACAGGAGGATTGAGCACGAAAACCAGAAACCTGGTTAGATGGTTTGATTTAGAACGAATCGAAGTTCCTCCCTTATTCTTACTTCCTTTGAGGGAGGCCGGTGAAATATCGTGCCTACGCAATGTCCTTGCTCTGAACAATGGTGCCGAAAGCATCACCAATTTCGCTCAGTGCTACCTTGGTGAGCTGCGCAGCATCAACGCCAGGAATATCACGATCACCGACTGCATCCTCCGCCACGAGCACATCAAGCCCGCGCTGAGCAGCTTGTCTCGCGGTTGTGGATACACAAACATGGGCCTGCCGTTCGGGTTAGCATCCTCCTTCACTCCAAACCAGTTGCATCCAAAGTACTCACCATGTACCCTGTCAAAACAACCTTCTTCCCCCTCTCCCCCAACCCCTTCAGATGCGTCTCCAAATCTGTTCCTGCGAACGATCCGGGGAAGTTCTTTCTCACAACCTTCTCTCCGTCTTTGGGCGCGAGCTCCTCAAACTCTTCGGCCAGTCGTGTCTTGGGCGTGAACACTGGCGCGCCCTCCGGGGTGTCGTGGATGATGTGCACTACGCTGCCGCCGGCGTCGCGGTACTTCTTGAGGAGGCCGGCGATGGCCTTGCGGGAGGAGGCGACGTCGGCCACGGCGAGCTTGCCCTCGGCGTACTCGTTCTGGGCGTCAATGATGACGAGGGTGCTGTCAGTGGGCGAGGCCGTCGAGGCCGGGGCGCCAATGATTTGGCGGAAGGACGTTGCTGATGCCATTGTTGCAGTGTTGTGTGTGGGATCCTGTGAAGACTCTGCGTATAACTTGAATAATCGATTAAGCTTAATTATTTATACTCGCAGTCAAGATGGGTTCACACATGAAGCAAATCTCACGCGATGGACTATCCGGGCAGTTATATGCGACTCCGCACTTTAGCATTGACTCCCCGCATTTGTCATCGATCGCATCATCCAGCACCGAAGTCGAAAGAAAACTAGCTACGAGTTGCACTAGTACGAGCCCCGCTGATGGGCGAAGGTCACATTCGGCATTGGCTGAAACCAATGCAGGACATTGGGGAGTGATTCAGTGATCATCTAAAGAGGCCTGAACCTGGATGATTCTGGCCTCAAATCGAAACACTACGAAGCAGCGAGCCATAAGAGGTCTAGACAAAGGCTACCTGTCGCGGCTACTTTACCTCCACTTGTTATCCCAGCCAGACTGCTCGATAGCAAAAGCAATAGCCAGCTCAGAGAACCTCGCCATGTGGCCAATGGAGAAAACGCCGGTCTCGTCATCGACCCACATTGTGTCCTTGTCCGTGTGCACATACGGATCAAACTCGCCGGGGAACCCGCCAGCCACAGGGTTGCCCTCTGAAGCGAACGTTGCAGGGAACCCGAGCTTCGTATACGACATGTAGTCGGACCCGGCGCCCGGCATCAGCTCGTAGACGCTCGTCGTGATGTTGATGTACTCCTCGCTCAGGTCTACCGCCCACTTGGTCAAGGGCGCGTCCGCATCCGTCTTGATGAACCCAATGGACTCCGTGGCATTCCTCGCGATGAAGGCAGTCATGTCAAACTCCATCATGGCACCAATGTTCGCGCCCTCCTTCTTCTTGTACGCTGCTACGGCCTGGCTACCAAGCAGCCCGCCCTCTTCGGCCGCGTACCAATGGAACTCGACAGGACCCTCCTGAGGGATATACCCACTCATCGCCAGCACACGGAATGCCTCAAGGATGCTCACGGTGCCGGAGCAGTCGTCATCGGCGCCCGGTGCGGGTAGCAACGGGAACAGGTAGTTGGCCGAATCCTGGTGTGCGCCGATGATGGTCAACGGCTTGGAGAAGTCGCGGACCTTTGGCTCGAACCGGGCGATGATGGAAGACTGCGGGAACTCGTGGGTGAAGTACTCGAGCGAGATGTGTGCGTGCAGCGGGGAAGCCGCGATGATGCCGGCAATGTGGTCGTGCAGCCAGACGGAGCTCTCTTCGCCTGTCGGGCCGCCGTAGTAGCGGTTGTAGTAGCTCGTCATGTGCTGGAGTACATCGTGCATCTCGGCCTGGTTGACTTTGGGGAAGAGGGGCTTGATGAGCCTTTGGTGAGTTATCTTGGGGAGGTCTGCGGTTATGGCGTGGTTAGCTAGATATCTCCTCGAGTAGGATGGTGCTGGTGCCCCCAACAAAGGGACGAGAACGTACTGGCTTTCCCGGACTTTGCGTCGACGGAATCAGTGTAGAGCTCCTGGAAGTCTGTGATGTCGCGGAACTTCTTGCCCTTCCTCCGCAGGCGGAGCTTATCTCCTTCGGTCATCCATTCAGCCTTCTTCTCGCCAAAAACGTGGATCAGGCGAGCCTCGGACATCTTGGCCGCCATCTCCGGCTGCAGAGAGACCAAGGCATCGACGGGATCGGAGTGCTTTTCGAGTGCCGTACGAACGGAGCTGTCGACAGCCCACACGGTTCCTGGAACGACGCCACCATCCTTTACTGAAGGCGCGATCACGACCTGGTCGCTGAGGGAGCCGAGAACCAGCTGCGAAGAGCCCAGCAGGAGCAGTAGCTTGGTTGATAAGGAGTAGCGCATGGCGGCGACGTTACAGTTCTACAATACAGATGGGGATGCAGGATCAACAGGAACAATCAGGCGGCAGATGGAGAGGAAGTTGGGCTAAGAACGTTGTTTTAAGAGCGATACCTCACAAGCAAGGTTGCCAGCGACGTAACCGAGCTTGGAAGGTCACTGCAGAGGGATGGCGCGGCCGCCAAATGATGCAATGCGGCGGCGGGGTTCAAGACTCAGAGATAACAGGGGAGCTGTCGCAAAAGTCCCTAACCAAAGTCCCTAATCAAAGTCCCTCTTTGCGTGTGGTCACAGCTCAAGCTTAACGTTTCTACGGCAACACGGGAAGAGTATCGTACTGAAACGCCCCAATCGGCAGCAAGAACGGCGATTCGCTTATCGGGTTGAGTTGAAATTGCGATAGAGGAATGGAACGAACCCCTGGAGACAGCAAACCTACAACCATTGGCAAACCACAACAGGATCCAATGAGGTGACTGTTAGTTACGTGGATGAAGTCTTGTTCTCTGCAGTGACCTACGAATCTTATGCCCGTCTTACCACGCTAAGACGAGGAATTAGCCCGTAGATGTCACCAATTCCTCCATCCAGAGACCACTACGCCCGGCATGTATCCAGACACCTCGCGAGACTCTTGCAGATTGTCGCTTACAAAACCTGATGGTCAGAGTCCAAACTGAGTCAAGAGAGCCTTGGGCGGCCATTGCCCCTTCGTATCGGGAGCAAGACCGCTCTCAAACGTGTGAGTCCCAGATCCGACCGTCTTCTCTTCGCTCCCATCCGGCAACGAAACCACCGCAGTAGCATTCAACGGAACTGTCAGCTCCAGCACCAGCTTGTCTTCCGACTTGATCTCCCAACGACTCTGAATCTGTCCGTTCGGACTCAGGTACGTAACCTCCGCATGCTCAAGGCCGCCTCCCGGTCGCGGCCTAACCCGAAACCTCTTCCACCCCGCCTCCATCGGCGACAATCCCCCGATGCTGGCATGCATCCAGTTTGCAACGCTCCCAAGTGCGTAGTGATTGAAACTCGTCATTTCGCCAGGGTTGATCGTACCGTCCTCCAACATGCTATCCCACCTCTCCCACACCGTCGTCGCGCCCATGCGGACGGGGTACAGCCACGATGGACACCCTGTCTCCAGCAGCATGCGGTACGCGTGTTGCACATGGCCCGTCTCCGACAGCGCGTGTAAGATGACGGGAGTGCCTGCGAAGCCGGTCGACACCCTGAACTTGGAGTACTGCACCAGCCGTGCGAGCCTCTCCGCCGCGGCCATTCGCTGAGCGGGAGTTTCGTGGAGGTCAAAGAGCAGGGCCAGAGCGAGCGCTGTCTGGGAATCAGCGACGACAAAGCCTGCTTTGGTAATGTATTTGTCCTGGAAGAGCTGTTTGAGGCGTTTGTACTCGGCGGCAAGGTGCTCTGCGTCAGCGGTGATGTTGAGGACGCTGGCGATCTGGGAAATAATGTTTGTGACATAGACGAGGTACGCGTCCGCAACGAGAGTTCCGTCGGTTCTGGCGAGACCTGGCTCGGCTGGAGGTGCGTTGGGGTCGAGCCAGTCGCCCAGCTGCCAGAGAGTGGGATCCCAAAGACCGTCTTCTCCTCGCTTAATGGACTTGAGATAATCTCTCATGCCGGGGTAAGTTTCCTGCAAGACGCCAGCGTCGCCGAACCACTTGTACAGAGTCCACGGAACAAGAACCACGACATCGTCCCACACTGCTTGAGGCATTGCTGGCCAGGGGCCGTCCTTCATCACGTTCGGCACGACGAGAGGGACGATGCCGTTGGCGTCCTTCTGGTCTAGTATAACATCCTGCATCCAGTTACTCAGCATACCTGCGCAGTCGTAAAGGAATGAGGCTGTTGGGCTGAAGATCTGTATATCACCAGTCCATCCCAGACGTTCGTCACGCTGGGGCAGTCAGTGGGAATAGACACGAAGTTGCCGCGCATGCTCCAGACAACGTTGCGGTGCAGAGCGTTGATGTCGTCATTAGAGCAAGAGAAGAAGCCCGTTCGCTGCATGTCGGTGTGCATGACAACAGCCGCAATTGAGTCGAGAGTCACCTCGCCGGCGTCCCATCCGTCGAGCTCGACGTAACGGAACCCGTGATATGTAAAATGTGGTGACCACTCTTGAAGGCTTCGCCCGCCGCCAAAGATGATTGTGTCCGTCGCCTTCGCCGCACGGAGGGGACGCACGCCTAGGGCGCCGTTCTCCAAAACTTCTGCGTGGCGGATCCTGAGGCGGTGGCCGTCGGGCTTTTTCAGAGAATGGACCACAAGTTTGCCGACAAGGTTCTGGCCAAAGTCGACTAAAGTCTTACCCGCAACGTCGGTAAAGACTTTGACAGGCTTGACTGTTTCGGTGATTCGCACTGGGGGACAGGGTGATGCGACTAGGGAGGACTTGGGAAACGGCAAGGTATCGGCGTTGGACCACTGACTCTTGTCATGGTGCCAATCCGTGACCTCGAGGCCGAGGTCGTACGTCTCGCCGTCGTATATGTCGCTACCGACAATCGGCGAGGCATGGCACTCCCAGGAATTGTCCGTTGTGAGCAGGAAGGCCGGGTTCGGTGAAGTCTCACTCAGTATCTCGAGCTGAGCGAGAACGCCGATGCGGTCTCCATAGAAGCAAGTAAGACCATCGCCCCAGAGCACCCGGCCAGCATACCATCCTTCACTCACTTCTACTGATAGAACATTCGGCTGGCCTAGTCTCAATAGAGACCTCACATCAAAGACCTGATACTGAATGCGGTGCTGATATGCGGTCCACCCTGGAGCGAGCCACTCGTCTCCAATGCGAGTGCCGTTGAGGTAGGCTTCGTATAAGCCGAGGGCGGTAATATAAAGTCTGGCACGACCGTCCTTGGACTCGGGGACGTTGAATATCTTCCGGAACCGAACTGGCCGGATACCTCGCTCGTCGGGGTGAGATTCCGACCGTGGGGGTGCGGTAATAGGCTTTGCTTTCCAGTCGTCCTGCGATAGGAGGGCAGCTTCAACGGTTGCCGGATCGGACCATTCTGTGTCTACTTGTCCATCATCGGAGTGCCCTCGAGACTTGACGCGAACCGAGGCGACTTCACCTGACACTAAAGAAGAGTCGGGCCAAGGGACGAGTGTAGTAGAGGTGCTGTCTACGTGAAACGTCTGGGGTTGTTTGGCGCACCGAGTGATCTCGACATCATAAGCTTCCTGTTGCCAGTTCTTTGGCACTGCGTCTGATATGACACGCCATGATAGCCGGGGAGCCGGGGAGGACAACCCGAGCCCAGTCGGGTGATGCTCGAAACGCAGGGATGAGATTTGAAGAGGCATGTTGGTGATTTGTCGTAATTCTAACGTCCATAACCAGCAGAAAGAGCACAATGTCGTCTTATACCACCAAGCGACCCCGGATTCCAGTTTCATGGGGCTGCAGGGCCCAATGTAAGAAGCTGTTTGATCAGATGTGACCCACTTGCTATCGACCGGTAGATGGTGTCGGCTTCCTCTTTCGACTGAGAGTTCGAGGAGCCCCGCGGCCGGTGACATCAGCACCGAAACCCCGAGGTCTCAACCCCGCCGTCACGGAAGAGTCAAGGCCGAGTTGGGCGAAACCACGGCGCGCGACGCAGCAAGCGTTCGCTTCCTGTGCAAAGTGGCTTGTTCTTTACTCGATATATGGTAACTTCCTCTTATGTAAGGCAACCCTTTTTTCTTTTCATTTCTAAACGAGTGTTCGGCAGCCTTGGTTTCAATAGAAGGTTGGTTCTCTGTAGCATTTAGAGGCACCACATCAGAATCTATCTTGGTTCGCCTTCTTGAGCATTAGTTGTGTCTACTCAAAGTTGGAAAGTTTTATAGAAACTCCGGCAACCAAAACTACACCCCGATACATTAAGATACCTCCGTTAACAGCCCTGTCCTCTCATACAGTCGTAGCTCCGTTCTCTCACCAGGGCATCCGCCAAAGACCATCGATGCGGGGACAAACACAACTATTGGACCTTACCCTCGAGCAGACCACGGCCTAGACATCTGTATTCCCAGGATTACAATCCAAAGACCAATCATCAGTGGTCGACTTCCCCGCAGATTCCGCTAACTTGGTCACCCCCGCAGCAATCAATGCACCTTTCCCCCTTGTGCTTGGACAGCGCAAGGCACTAGCCATGGGGCCATTGGACGCTGATGGAATCCTGGAATTTGGTAACCAGGTTGGCATTATTCGATTGGGCAGTGACCCTCTGCAAGGACTCGAAGTCTCCACGATGAGATCCATTCTTTTTCTCCCTCGCGCATGACCTCCCGAAACCTTCGAGCCGAAGGAGACTTTGGTCACCACCACGGTTAATGTTTTAAACATTGTTTTGCTTTGTTCGCCTGTCAAGATAAGATAGTAAGGCGTTGGCTCCCAACTATCATGATGCTCTCGCCAACGACAAACGACGACGCGTTAGCCCCAACGCCTATTAACAGCGTCGAAAGCGTCAAAAGCTCCGGCTCCCAATCTCAATCTCAAACTCAGTCTCACTCACAGTCACAGCCTCTATCTCACTTCGGAGCAGCCGCAACAACCGTGGCCTCGTCAAGGTGGGGTCTTGGTGACCCGACCCCGTCGCAGCATCTTTCCTCCGAGGCCTCGACATCACCGGCCGAGTCGTGGAGGCTCGATGAGTTCGTCACCGATCCCGGCTACCTGGCCTACCAGGAGGAGTTGAGATGTCTGATTTTTAACACGGCCCAGACGGCTGCTCCGACGAGAGAGGGCACGCCTGAGGCCGCTGATGGTGGTTTCGCCGCCGGAGGCTTCGCGGCCCCTGGGACGATCTTGGGCGACGAGGGTGCTGCGCGGCGACAGGCGGGTCAAATCCTGGGGACGGGTCGGAGGCTGGAGTATCTCAAAAACTACGTCGGCGAGGTTGCGCCGTGGGTAAGAAACCGTGTCTGACTTAACCACCGTAGGCTTACACTCGAGCAGCTCGACATGTTTGATAGTGATCGCGCCTTTGGGATTCAAGTGCCCGTTCTCGCACGTAACTCTCCGGCGCTGCTATATGCTGTTCTAGCCTTGTCGGCCAGGCAAATGGAACGAAAAGAGGGTAAGCAAACTTCTTTTGACAGCCTGGAGCTATATCAAGAAGCCATCCGCCTCTTGACGCCCCTTCTCCAATCCCGCGATCAGAAGATCATCCCTATCTGCACGATTTTGTGTTGTCTGGAGATGATGTCTGCCAGTGCACAGGATTGGAGGAAACACTTGGAGGGATGCGCTGCACTTTTTGACTCTTTCTACGTCCACGGGTTCAGCGGCGGCTTGTTGCAAGCCGTCTTTTGGTGTTACGCCAGAATGGGTACGTATGCCATCCACTCAACTGTGTTCTATTCCTGACAAGCCCTACAGATCTTTGTGGTGCCCTCATCTCGGACGGTACGGAGAGCACTCTCCTCACGCCACCCAAGTGGTTGCCAAGCGGCGCTTCCCACAACGAAGCATACGAACTCTTCCATCAATCCAGAACCCCCGATATGCACGCCAACTACGCAGTCTACCTATGCGCCAAAGTCTGCGAGCTTGTGGCCGACAGGACGCGATACTTTGAACTCGGCGACGCCGACGGATGCAACCCCGACGAGCTGACCGAGCGCTGGATCCGGCTCTGGGAAGACCTTCAAGCATGGGCGAGAGACCGACCACCGGAATTGCTTCCGGTCCAGAGCATCCAAAGCAGCCCGTTCCCACAGATCCTCTTTCTTCACTGGGCAGCCATCTCATCGAACCAGCTCTACCACACGGCATGCACGCTGCTTCTGGGATCTATGCCCAAGCCGCTTAACCTAAAGCTCGGCGCTACTGGCTCGGCCATCTGGCATGCCAAATGCATCTGCGGCATATCACTCGCGAACCCCCACCAAGGCTGTTTGAACAACGCAATACAGCCCCTGTGGGTTGCCGGGAGGCTTCTCAGTCACAAATCAGAGCACGCTCTCCTCGTGAGGCTCATCCGCAGCATCGAAGCTGTCACCGGATGGGGACGTGCTGGAGAATCGACGATCTAGAGGCCGCCTGGGGCTACAAAGTACGCAAAGAGCTGAGAATAGCAGACATTTCCAGATGATCACATGCGTTGCAATCATGATAATTACTATATTAAGCGTTACCAAAGGCGGTACACATTTGGACGCCTACATCAGTCCCCAGTCTTCACGGGCCTTTGTCGAAAACCCGTCGACGTTCCACCCCGTCAACGCCTTGACGCGCTCAAAACACTCCAGGATGGCCCTCTGCTGCGGTTCATACGTCATCCTCTGCGCAGCCAGGTACAGCGACGCAACCAGGCAGAGATCCCAGGTGTCTCGCCGGTCGTTGTTCAGCGCGATGCCGCATACGCGCTGGGCGTGCCACAGCGGCGACATGGACGACGACTTCTTGCCCGCTGCTTGCAGCGTACGCGGCTTGTTCTGCAGCAGCAGGAGCATGGCGGTATGGTATAGCTGGTTCGCGAAGACAGCAGCGCCATTGGTGAAGAGAATGATAGGGAAGAGGTTCTCGTCGCCGTCGATTTCGACCATGGGCCGGAACTCCTGGGTCCGGTTGGCGTACCAGGTGCCTAAGGCATCACTGAGCACTGTCCAGCGATGGACGGGGGTTGGAGGAGCGCCGAGATCGGGAGCTTGCCGGGGGAAGCTGCCGGCGCAAAAGTTGACTACCTTGGCGCAGAGGAGGAGCGGCTCGATGGTGTATTGAAACATAGTTTCTGCAATTGTAGAGGAATCCCATGGTTGGGATATCGGGTTAGAGTGAAGTTGTTCAGGGACGGAGATGGGTGCGCCGGTCACAAGCGCCGCTGCGAGTTCTGAGTGAGAGTTAGATTAACCTTGACCTTTCGAGCTGGGTCAGAAAGGGAAAGCTCTCTTACCAAGCCGTACCAACACGGACAAGATTGAGATCGTCTTCGAAGTTGCCTCGGCAAGCGCCATCGTCCAAAAGCTGTCCCCTATCATGGTGGGCAGATCCTGCCATCCGTCCAAGATGCTCGAGGTAAATTGGCACGCGGTCCAGAGAGTCAGGTGGACCAGATCGCCGTCACTGAGGGAGATGCCTTCTGCGTGCATAGGCATCGAACCAGCAAGGGACTGGAGGTATTCAACATCCTTGAAAGACGTTCTCGTGTCTGCTTGCTGTGCTATGGCCGCTACAGCTAGAAGTGAATGTAGAACTCCTGCATTCTCGATTGCAAGTCGTGGAACGTAAAGACCAAAGGTCTGGCCCATATCGCACAAGTCAAGCTCAGCCAACGTTAGCAGAGAAGCGCGTAGCCAGCACAAATGGACCTACCCATGGTGCAACCTGGTATCTGAAGTGGCGAAGCAATTGCAGCAGTCGATCCTGAGAAACGCTACCAAACGTTGAAACATACGTCACTTCCGATCCCCTCCTCTCCCTCGCCGAGTTTGGCGACACGGACATCAGCTCTTGTGGACTCAACCCGATGCCATCCCCACTGACAGCATATGACCCAGAACTGTGGTTTGGCGACTGAACTATGTCTGTACCTTCGTTCCCCAATGAAAGCAGCACGTTGAGTGCGGTTTCGTAAGCCGCATCGTTGTTCGGAGTCTTCCCTGTCGGCTTCCCCGTGATATGAAGTTTGTCCACCGGTGAGGTAATGCCCTCATAGCCGATGCTGCTGACACTATGGGATCGCCAATGCGTAAAAGGTGGCGGATGGTGAGAGAGGGGCGCAAAGCTCGGTTCTAGGGGTGGTGGTTTTGGGACGTTAGGGTCTGAGAGTTGAGGATTGCCTTGAAAGGTCAAAACTGTTGGCGTTGGTGTCTGCGAAGGCGGTACAGATACAGGCGTGTCGGTTGTGTCGGTTGCGATTGTTGCTGGGTTTGCAGGTTTCTGTGGCACAAAGGATGGTGATACGCCTCTTTGGGTATGCTTCGAAGCTCCTGAGCCGACGAACTGGATGACGACATTGTGAGCTACAGAGCTAAAATGACAATGTGTTCAATCCGCAAACCTGCAATCTGGAGTATCTCGGCGTTGAGGCATCACCCGCATTCGGTGATTGCGACACCGTCAAAGCGTTCTTGTTCAGAAATGTGAGTCGAGGGCCATACTGGCACTCAAAGTCCCCGTCGATACAGCGCTGGCATCTCGGCTTTGCCTCATCGCCTGTGTTGTTCAAGATCCATCTAGTCAGTTCCAAGCACTACCGAACATGACTGAGAGGAAGTGAAGGTGTTGCTTCTTCGGTGGGATGATGCGACGGGCAGTCGTCAACGATGATGAACGCAGGCTGAAAGAGACTTACATTTGCGCCGTCGGATCCGACACTTTAGACACCCAGTCCGCGTTCTCTTATGCCGTTGTTTCGAAGATCCGGCTGCATCTCCATTACCAGCACCGCTTCCTAATACTGAATCAGTGCCATCCGTCATTATCGCACTCGGCTCGTGTTAATTCTACAACCGGTGTATGCGTTGGGCCCATTGCGGGAGGGAGGGGATAATTTTGTCGGATCGGGAAGGCGACTAGAAAGAACCCCCAACTAACAGTGGAGGAAACACGCGGAGACATGCGGGCTGGACGAGCATGGAGGGGAAGATGGACCCTAATGAGTTTGGTTGGAGAACGAGGTGTATGGAACAGGGGACGGGTTGGGGCAATTTGGGGTTCACCTCAAGCGATGACGGTTCTGGACATGAGTTGACAGGGAGTCCCGGAGATGTGGATATTCTTGATGGAGATTTATTCGCGAATTCCTACGTTCTGCAGAGAAGCCTCAGCGTCATTGGACTATGGCCGGTCAATGTCCGGAGCTAGAGTCGGTTCAGGCTGAACTGCGCTCAGCTTTGCAGTCTTTCACGATAGATGGCCATAAAACCCATCCCATCTACACTGGCTTAACCACCATCACCCTCATCGAACCCTGTAAAGCACGAGTCAACCTGGGTCGCTAAACGCGGGGTTGCCTGCCCTTTTCCCGCCTCCCGGTGCTTAACATTGCCAGATACGGAAAGCTTAAGCACGCCCGTTATCGAACCCCCGTGGTGATGTTTGAGAAAGTGAATCTGGCCGGATAACACCCCAAGATGGCGGGGCTAGCCTGATGTGTTCCCAGAACCGGGAGCGGGGTTGTCGAAAGCGAGGTAGGATTCTGACGTCCAAGACTATCAGAACTCAAATGTTGTCATTCTTGAACAACCCTTCCTCACTAATAACGCAACTTTTTCCCTTTTCTGTAGCAAGTTCTCTTCCCTCAATATCTATAATCGTTTTTTCAAAATCTTCATAATGGGCAAGGACACTATTACCCTCGCTTCTGGCCGTGAAATGCCCCTCGTAGGCTTCGGCCTGTGGAAAGTTCCCCGTGAGTCCTGCGCCGACACCGTCTACAACGTAAGTCCTAGATTTCCAAAGTGTTACCTCCACTGCATTCAAGAGATGGTTGGTATGGACTGACAATTTCCTTATAACAGGCCATCAAGACCGGCTACCGCCTTTTTGACGGCGCCTATGACTATCAGAATGAGAAGGAGGCTGGCGAGGGCGTCCGCCGTGCCATTGCCGATGGTCTGGTGAAGCGCGAGGACATTTTCATCACCACGAAGCTGTGGAACAACTACCACCGCAAGGAGCATGCCGTCACCATGGCCAAGAAGCAGAACGAGGCCTGGGGCCTGGGCTATATCGATCTGTTTCTCATCCACTTCCCAGTCGCTCTCAAGTGGATTGACCCTGCCGTCAATGAGTACCCTGTGAGTTGCCGCCTCCGCGCTGTCCTTCTCGATAGTCAAAGATGCATAGCTAATTTGTGGAAATTAGTGCTGGTGGATGGACAAGGAGGCAACTATCGTTGAGCCCGATAACGTCCCGATCCGCGAGACCTGGGAGTGCATGGAGAAGCTCGTCGATGAGGGCATCGCAAAGTCGATTGGCGTATCCAACTTCCAGGCCCAGTCCCTCTACGACGTCCAGTCCTACGCTCGCCACCCAATCTCATCGCTTCAGATCGAGCACCACCCCTACCTCGTGCAACCCGATCTCATCGCCATGGCCCAGGAAAACAAGATCGCCGTCACCGCCTACTCCTCCTTCGGCCCTCAGTCCTTCATTGAGATTTCCAATAAGCGCGCCGTTGACGCCAAGGGCCTCTTTGAGGTTGATGTCGTCAAGAAGATCGCCGACAAGCACAGTGTCACCCCCGCCCAGGTCCTACTCCGCTGGGCCACGCAGCGCGGCGTCGCTGTTATCCCCAAGAGCAACAGCCAGCACCGCCTGAAGCAGAATCTCGAGGTCAACGGCTTCGACCTGACTGCTAGTGAGCTCGAGTCCATCTCTGATCTTGACCTCGGTCTGCGCTTCAATGACCCTGGATTCTACCTACCACAGCGCCCTCTGCGCATCTTCGCCTAAGTGTGACATACTACAGAAATCCGCTATAGAGGAATGGTGCCAATGGATGAATTCACAGGAATGGAGAGCAAAATGTCACGGACGGCATGAATAATTACAAAAGCTGCCATGAATTTATGAAATAGATTTCCCCTGCAATTGTCTCATCCCTCTCTCGTGAACTTTCCGTGTCTCCTTTTCTCTTTCATACTTCCGGAAACTTCAATTGCCGGTCAATCGACTTGACCAACGCAATATTGTTAGTGCTCCCAAGTCCACGCGCTGCGTTGATCCTCGGCACTCGGTTCATGAGATACCTCTGCCTCCGAAATCCGGACCCCACCATCTGAACGAATTAGCGGCAGCTAGCATATTCCCCGTCACACCGATCTGGAGCTGCCGCGTGCTTAATACTTCCTAATCAGGCAATTAGTGATAACCATAGATCTCGGTAGGATCAAAAGGGAAATCCTACACACTCAATATGTTCCCCGCATGCTGACCAGGCTCCTCGGAGCTGTGGTGGTTAGCTATATACAATCTAGGCTTTCATGCCAACCAAGAGGAACCGCACGACGGCAAAATTGTCTGTTTGAAGAGACGGCGCGCATGCGAAAGGAGGGAGAGCTTTCAACAAATTCTATCTGGTTGGACTAAGACTTCCTTTTGTCCAACTTTACTCTCAGCTTTCGGCGGTAAACTTGATCCTCCAATTTCTGCTGTGGCGCAACGATACTGAACATAATTTTTAACAATTACTTGACCAACCATAGACACCTCTTGACTTCCTGTTGAATTGATTGAAGGGATCATTCCCCTCTCCCTCTCCCTCTCGGACCATTACCCTGCAAACGCAAAGACTCCCAAAATGGTCGCCACAACAATAGCATCTGGGGCGCCCGTCAATGGCGTCGCGCCCGCAAAGGTCAATGGCTGCTGCGTTGTCGTGACGGAGTTGAAGCAGCGCTCCGCTCCCATCATCGCCGATCAGAAGACTCTCAAAGCACCCCTCCCGAACCCCTCACTGGTCGTCACAGCAGATCACCAGCTTAAGGCAGAGGAAGCACCAGTCCTGGCACCTAAGCCGGGAGAAGCTTTGGTTCACGTCAAGGCGACAGGCGTGTGCGGGTGAGTTCTCAGTTCCCTCCCCATTGGGCCTGAAACCAGTTGCAGTTGAAAGCAGAAAGCTGATATCGATTACGTTCCCAAGATCCGACATCCACTTCTGGAAAACAGGACGCATTGGATCTCTTGTTTTCGAAGGCGACTGCATCATTGGCCACGAAGCCGCCGGCGTTGTCATTCGTTGTGGCGAGGGCGTAAAGAACCTCAAACCTGGCGACAGAGTCGCGATCGAGCCCGGCGTGCCTTGTGGAGAGTGTTTCCTCTGCACTGAGGGCCGCTACAACCTCTGTGAAGATGTCCAATTCGCTGGAGTGTATCCTTACCATGGCACTATCCAGCGGTACAAGTGCCATCCTGCAAAGTGGCTTCACAAGTACGCCGATTCCCGTGAGACTGTAGTCGTGTTGACGATTGCACGATCCACCGTGACAACCTTTCTGATGGGTAGAGGAAGTAAGCTAACCAAGGCCCTCCGATAGGCTTCCTGACAACATCTCCTACGCCGAAGGCGCCCTCCTCGAGCCTCTCAGCGTAGGCATGCATGGCATCCGCACCGCCGGCCTTTCCCTCGGAGTTGGTGCCGTCGTCTGTGGCGCTGGACCCATCGGACTCGTCACTCTCGCTGCCGCTCGCGCCTCGGGTGCCCATCCGCTTGTCATTACCGACATTGAGTCCTCACGCCTTGAATTTGCCAAGAAGCTCGTCCCCAGTGTCATCACGTACAAGGTAAACCCCGCGCTTGGAAACGAGAGCAACGGCAAAGCAGTTCGCAAGCTATTCGGCGACGACGAGTACAGTGCCCCGCGGACGGTTCTTGAGTGCACGGGTGTCGAGAGTAGTATCTGCACGGCCGCGTACACGGTTCGTCGCGGGGGCACGGTCATGGTAATTGGCGTTGGGCGGGAGATAATGAACAACCTGCCCTTCATGCACATCTCTCTTGCCGAGGTGAGTGGCGAACTGCCAACTTCGACGCGGGAGGTAGAAGCAATACTGACGGTTGGTTACAACAGATCAAGCTAGAATTTATCAACAGATACCGCGACACATGGCCAGCGGGCATCGCTTGCCTGAGCAGTGGGATTCTCGACCTGAAGAGCCTTATTTCCCACACCTTCCCGCTCGAAAAGGCCATAGACGCACTTACACTCGTTTCGGATTACAGGAACGGCAGCATCAAGGTGCAGATCGTAGATGATACTGACTCCCCTCTTTTTTGACAAAAAGAGAAAAGTCACGAGTCGTTGTTGAGGGGTGAAGTCCTGTTGGATTGGGTAGTAGGAAGCATAGAATAACTAGCCGCCATAGCGTTGCGGTCATGACGATCAATTGGAAGACGATGATCTTAAACCGTTCTTTCGGCTGATCATTCACTTCAACCAATTGGCATTGCGGCATCACCCCTTTGGCTACCAATGGATGGATGGTTAGCCAGAAAGCTTTCAGCACATTGAAGACTTCTACGTGTCAATTAAATGTCTATATCAAACCCCAAATTAAAAACTCCCTCCACTGCGGTATGCCGTATCCTGCCTCTGTTCCTTAGGAACCCATAGTCCAACACAGTAGGAGGTAGCCAATCCATTTCCACCTGTTGTGGCAAATGACGGAGACCTCCTCAGAAGACTGTGCAATTCCTTCCAAGTTGTTGAGCTAGGAGAATCCATTGTCCACTTGACGTGGCGTTGGAAACCAGCCTTGTCTCTAAGTCCACCTGGAGAATGTCGTTACCAGTGAAGGAGACAGGCGTTCCTGCAGGAATGGCCCTACACAGGATTTTACCGTTAACAGATCCATATCAATAAATATGTCAGACACGAGGCTTACGAGTTTACGCCGGTTGCAACGGCAGTGTACTGCCAGTTGAGAGCAATCTGATCACAGGTGTGTAAGTAGAAGTTCGTAACCTGCGTCACGTTTGTCGTGGTGCTGAGAGGTGTTTTGACGCCTTCCCAGAAGGCATCAATCCCGAATGTTGGAGGACCAAAAGTATCATCCGCGCTGACGAGATTCTGAGAGACAATAGTAGCCACTTCCTCCTTGCCAGAAACCCCGCCGGTGGAGAAAATGCTGAGCCATCGATTAGCGATATCTAAAGCTTCATCATTGCAAAGACATGGCGTTTCATTCCAGCTGGGCAATGAAAAGCCTCGTGATGTTGCAACTAAGGTAGCGGCAGCTACTGATATCAGAGTAAAATAACGCATGGTATTGCTAACAGTAGATTTGAAGCAGCATTATCAAGTACGCGTTCTAGAGGGATGGACGACTTTTTTGTATCGAATGCCAAGATTCAGATTCCCGCTGCGTATAGTATGGCTTCTGAATTCAACCCGAAATTTGATCAAGAAGTTCTTCAGTATCAAAGGAACGTGGAAGCTCGGGGGCTTTCGGGTCGTGCCGCAGGTTGCACAGGAACGTCCACATTCAAGAATGTGGCTACCGACTAAGGCTGAACGCAGCTATTTCTTACGGACGTAATATGAGATTGCATGACTTAGGATAAATCATGTGTTTTCTTGTGTCTTTGGTGCCTCTCAGGGTTCACAATGATATTCAAGTAGGTTGCATTAACTCCATTGCTCTTTCACGTTGATTTAATTTAGTGTCGTCGAAGTGCGATGGAACTCTAAGATAGCGACGCGAAAGACCGCATCCGGAACACAATTCAAGCCTTTCTTGAGTTTAACGACTCTTTGGGTCCTTCGCCATGTGTCTGAAGCTTCAGCACATGTCCAATCGGCCACCCAATCGAAGCGCCGCTTCGCTACCCAAGGAGACGCCTATCGAGCCAAGCAAAGATCAACATGTAACGAAATTCTCACGATTTATACCTCGACAGACCTTATGTATCGACCTGTCTGCTGCGGGGAATTGTCAATGCTCAAGCTATCTGGTGGTCAAGCTTAATTGCTCAGCTTAAGTCTTCCCGCATCCAGGTATCGGCGTCTTTGCTGCGCGCGAGCATCGGTGGGGACCCTTCCATCCCGCCATGCAAAAGTCGGTCTCGGCGGCCGGGTTGGCGTCATGGGAGGAATGATAGGTCATTTCTCTTTTCTCTACGCGTGCCTATGCCCGACAAGCCTTCGGACGTTTGTTGTTGTTGTCATGTTTCACCTGTTAACGTAGTCAATACATGGGCATTCTGCTGCGGACGCCGAACTCTGCGCTCAGGTAGTTCGTCCGAATAAGGTCAATTAACCCGGTCTCCGTCCTACGCAGCTAGAATCCTTCTTGCTGCAGCTGCACCAAGCTTCTCTGCCCTCGTCGGCATACACACGCCTGGGCAGTCAGAAGGTATAAAGGTGTGTGGTACCATTTGCTTGCCCCACAGCCCACAGAAGCAAAGAGAGTTCGACAGGGCAATTGAAAGAATGCAGCGGGGCCGGCTCTTTCCAGGGCATTAGGGCCTTCCCCATTTTCGAGAAATTCAATATAGTGGCGTTTTCTCTCGAGGGCTCTGTTTGATGTCTTTCTCTTGAGGGAGTTCAAAGCGCAGTGAACTGCCCTAAAAAATATATAGATAAATCCCACGCACTAAGACGGTTAGCGTATCTAGTTCTGTTTGCCTTGAACAGGAGCATCATTACACAAGCTGAATAATCAGAGTTTGCGGTTAGGCAGCGAAGAAGCCCTTCATTGGAGTCATCACTTTAGTCAAAGGTTGATCGCTCGCTGTTGTCCCGTCTTCGCTTGCGTATTGAATAATTCATCCCCCGGACCAATTAGATCTGGCTATAAGCCCCAAAACATGATCTTTGGGTGATGGTATCCGAGTACTACCTCATATGCAATGAGAGGGCACATAAAGCCACCCAAATGGTTCGAGATGAACAAAGGCCACCGAGAAGCCAATCGACTTCAAGATCTTGATGTGTTTCTGCAAAAACGGCTAAAGGCATCCTAGCTACGCCGAGCCCGCTTCGCAGTCATGGCGTTCCCATCGAAAAACAGCCCCGTGGCACAGAATCCTTCTAGTTCTCACTCGGTCAACTGTGTTGACCAGTGCAGTACTTTCGAACAGCCGGTTGATGGTCCGATATTCGAAGCTTTTTCTAAGGCCATTCGAGTCATGGAAAGCTGAAGACATGTCTAAATTATTATCGGGAGTTAGTACCTATTTCCTCTCATGCTCTGGACTGTCCTGAGCTAGATGCAAATAGGTTTATCAGTACTCTGGTTTGACTTCGTGGCCGCACTATAGAAGGAAAAGGTATCTCCAGGAAACTCTCTCAGGTTTTGCTTAAAGGTCGCAGATTTCCCTGCCCTGCAGAGTCTGTTCGGCCTGGGTGTTAAATAGGCGGCTTGGCAAGCGGCAAGGGAATTTACTACCCCTTGGCGTGATTGTGCCCCGACGATGGGCTATGGCCAGCCAGTGCTTTCGGCGACTATGTAACTACTAGTTCGAGTGCCGCCTGTTGTTGACACACCCCAAAAGTTGTCTGACAATAATGAGTGGATAGAAAATTCGGAATTGGTATCAGTCTCGAGTCGTTGTTGAATCACAGACGTTGAAAGAAGAATCGCTCCCGCTAATTACAGCACGATCTCTGCGACAAGGCTCCTGGGTCGGCTCTTAAAATCACCCGCAGAAAATTCCCACCAGTACCGTGGTCGCCGCTGTGTCTTGACGGAAACGGCGGGCTGCCATTAACCAATTGGGGGCTGGAGGTTGTTGATTTCACCCGATGCCTGTTCCGCCAAGCCTTCGTGTGTAAGAGACCCCTGCTACACACTATGGCAAAGCAACAAGGGAAATATCTCCATTGCTGGTGAAGAAAATCTCCCCTGGGATAACCACCCTGCTTTTTTCGGTCTTTGTTCAGCTTCTTTGACACTGTTCCTGGCGATGGAGTCTTAGTTTGCCCGCGGATATAAGCTGCACTTTAGGTAGTCAAATCCCCATTCCTCGTGGCGATAACATGGATCCCAGTAGCCAAGGAGGAATCATGCGGCTTATAGCCAATAGCTTTCAGATAGACACGTGTGCTGGGAGGTATCTGGTATGAATGGCCCAAGACCGTCCGTGATCCAACGTGTATATATTCACAAATGAGCAGCACATCCATTGTGATGTTTTCTCTTCCCCCGTCCTCATCCCTCTAAAATCCAACTTGCAAGGATCCACAATCTTCTTCGATAAGCCAATTTCCTATCTTGTCAAGATGCCTTCCCTCGGAAGAGCTCTTCTGCTCGCCGCTGCGGCCATGACGCTGGCCAACTTTGTGGGCGCTCAGCACATTGTCGTCGATGGTGAAACCGTTGGTAATTCACTTCCACTTCCACTTCCACTGCCCACCATCGCCATCATCCATGCTGACTACGTATTCAAGCTGCAAACGAGGACACTGTTGCTCCAGCTGCCGAGGAGTTTCCTGATGCTGACATCCCGGAGGAGACCATCCAGTTGACTAATGCTGTCTTGGCTAACCTCACCAAACTTGAGCTTAGTAACATTTCACTCTTTACTTTTGCTGAGAGCCAACTTACTCAGAAGCGCGCCACGCCCAATAACAAATGTAAGACTTTCCCTGGCGACTTGCTCTACCCTAATGAGTTCGTCTAGAAGGTCTTTGACCTCTTGACCGGTGGTGCCGTTATAAAAACCGTGCCTCTGGGAGCTACCTGCTATGCGGGCGAGCATTATGATGCCGAAAGGTGTCAGTACCTGCTGGATAACTGGAGCAACTTTGATACTCAGTAAGTCATCTCAGCTTACGAGATATCAAGAGAATCGCGACTGACTTTAACTAGCGATGAGCACCCAACCTCAGTCATGTCCCCTCTCTATCAGGGCGCCACGTGCCAGCCTCAAAACGCCGCTAACAACGGCATTTGCGGGCTGGGCGGGTTTCCTCTATACTCAGTAAAGGCGACAAACGTTGCTCAAATCCAGCTTGCTGTCAATTTTGCTCGCACCCTTGACCTCCGCCTGGTCATACGCAACACCGGCCACGACTTCTTGGGCAAGAACACCGGTGCCGGTTCCTTATCCATTTGGACTCATAACCTGAAGGGTATCAGATTTATCAAGAATTACAAATCTGCCGGCGGTTACCAAGGCCCTGCCTTCAAACTTGGTGCCGGAATTCAAGTCTCCGAACTATATGAGGCTGCTGACAAGGAGGGCTATACTGCTATTGGCGGTGAATGCCGCAGTGTCGGTGTTACCGGTGGCTACTTTGCTGGGGGTGGTCACTCTCCAATGAGCCCTGTTGCCGGCCTCGGCTCTGACCAGATTCTCAGCGTCGACATCGTTACTCCCAATGGTTGCCAAATCGCCGCTGATGACAATATTAACAGCGATATATTCTGGGCTGTCCGTGGCGGCGGTGGTGCCACGTGGGGTGTTGTCACATCAATGACCGTGAGAGTGTATCCTAAGACCAAGTTTGCCGGCTTGAGTTGGTCCGTTAATACTGCCGAGAAGAACATTTCTTCCACCGCCTTCTGGTCCGCAATGGAGGCCTATTGGCGCCGGTTCCCTGAGTTTTCCGTCCAGAAGACCTACGGCTACTCCACCCTCTTCCCCGCGGGTAACGGTGCGTTTCTCTGGAGTATGCGCCCCTGGATGGTTCCTGGCATGGCTCTTAGCGAATTCAAAGCCATGGTTGAGCCTCTCGTCCAGGAGTGGACTACTCTTGGCTTCAGTGTCGAGCCGGAGTACTTTGAGCACGACAACTTCTACACTGCTTGGAAGAATCATTTCCCCATGGAGAGTGTCGGAACCGCGGAGGTCCGTACTGCCAGCCGTCTCATCTCCAAGGCTAATTGGGGAGATCTCGTGCTTCTAAACAAGACAATTGCCACACTTAAGGACATCATCAACGAAGGTTCCGCTCTGATCCAGTACAACATCAACGCCGCTGCTCCCGCTGATGCCACTGCAAGTGCCGCCAACCCGGCTTGGCGTGAGGCCCTCATATTCGCCATTATCGGTGGCGGCTAGAGTCCTACGGCCACCAAGGAGGAGGTCAAGGCTGCCAACGTTCGCATTACCCAGGACTGAATGGGTCGTCTTCGCGACATCGCTCCCGGCGGTGGTGGCTACGGTAATGAGGGCGATGTCATGGAGCCTGATTTTGGCCAGGCTTTCTTCGGCTCAAACTACGGCAGATTGTATGAGTTGAAGAAGAAAATTGACCCGTGGGGGGTCTTCTACGCACCTACTGCTGTTGGAAGTGAAGACTGGTACATTGCCCGTCAAGAAGACTGGTTGACTCTGCAGACGGACCGCCTCTGCCGTAAGTAGATGTAGGCTCTGATTAGATGCAAAAAAATAGCAGGGGTTAAAGGGTAGCTATTTTGTATGTACCGAGGTTAATTCTCTACTACAGTTATGTCTCTTTCATTATCTACAATAGCAGAGGCTTAGTAACAAAAATTCCAGCGGCTATACCCAGCTGCAAGTCTCTTCGTACTCCATTTAGCACGTTGCAATCTTGTTGAGGAGTTTTCTTTTCTAACGTTGAGTTTACTGACATGGAGCTCGTTGAAAGTGATCTCAAGTTTTTCTGCTATGTGATAGTTCACATTCTTTCGTCACCTCCTGGGTGACTACCTCTTACATGAATGGGTGCTTGCAGAAATTGCTAGACACAATTAAACACTTTGTTTTCTTCAATCACTTTTGGAGAACATTTATTCAAATCTTAAAGACGCAAACAAAATGTAGTGGTAAATGGTTTTCTAAACTTGAAAGCCTTAGGAATGAAAAGTTCAAAATGTTGAGTATTCCAAGAGCTTGTGCAACCACATTGTCATACTAAATAGCAAAGAACACAGATGGGGTGTGCTGTACCACAAAATCACTGTACAAGTTTGCTTTTGTGCTTCGGTGGGCCCTCGTAGAAGTATTTTCTCACATCTCATCACTTGAATGCCGTAAAGGAATATGATTAGTCTTGACGCCTTACTAATCATACTGGCTTAGCAAGGCTATTTGATGCATTGCTCCGCGCTCAACAGCTATTTTGACAATCCATAACGTTATCGACCCACTGTACCATACAAGACGAATCCTTCCGTAAAATGACAGAATTCATCATTCTGGGCCAATTGTGAACCAATTGAATCGATTGACTTTTGGATAGCATAAACAGATTCGCTCCAACGTGGCTTGAGCCGAGAGACGCATGTTAGATAAAGTATTCTATTTACTGTGGTGCAATGACGAAGCATCGCCCCCTAGAACGTTTGCTTCAGCATTACAAAAGGTACTTGCTAGCCGGACCTAATATTGGGCCGCCTTATGCCACTCTACCACTAGTAGACCGCGAATTGATTTCCGCTCCGTAAGCACTCCCGCAATAAAGGTAGCTGAGGAATGACTTATAAATCATCCAAAGCCACCTACATACAATGATGAAAAGTAGAACGTCGATAACCTGCAATCGATCAGAATGGCGCCCAAGACTGTCTTTGTTAACTCAACCACCCTGCTTCCCACGCAACCCCGCATACCACGCAGCCCAACAACGCGTCACCATAAAACCTACTCCTCTTTTCTAACTATCACAACATCTTCTATTCTACCCCAAACAACGCCATTTTTTGAGGATATCTTTTTTACTATAAGATGAAGCAGTATAGTGAACATGAGCTGCAGCGGGCACTTTGGGATATTGCTGACGGGCTTAGTATCCGCGGGGCAGGTCGCAAATGGGGCATCCCAGAGGCGACTGTACGACAACGTCTCCATGGTACCCAGTCTAGAAATACTGCCTTTGGTAGACTGCAGCGGTTATCTCAGAACCAGGAAGGTCTACTTGCTGAGTGGATATCTAAGCAGGCTGCCCTAGGCTCTGCGTTTTGCCATCAGCAAGTCAAAGGGCTGGCTGAGCGCATGCTGGGCGATGGGCAGCGACCACTTGGGAGGAAGTGGATGCAGCGATTTCTTCGCAGAAACCCATCTATCAGAACCCAGCGATGCAGGGCAATTGACGCTAGGCGAATTAATGGGGCAACTGCTGACATTATCCAGGAATGGTTTCATCGCCTTGATCTGCCAGCAATCCTGCCCATCAAGCCAGCTAATAGATGGAACATGGATGAGACTGGTATCCTCGAGGGCAAAGGAAGCAATGGGCTAGTACTAGGATCGTCAGAGACCAAGTATATCCAGAAAAAACAGCCTGGATCGCGGGCATGGGTATCTCTGATCGAGTGCGTCTCTGCCAGAGGACGCGCACTTCCGCCTCTTGTTATGTATAAGGGCAAGTCAGTCCAGCAACAGTGGTTTCCTCTAGATCTTCAACCCTATGCTAGCTGGAAATTCACAGCAACAGAGAACGGCTGGACAACTGATCAGAATGCCCTAGAATGGCTAGAAAAGGTCTTTATCCCTCAGACTGTCCCAGAGGACCCTTCAGATACTAGACTACTAGTTCTAGACGCCCATCATAGCCATACAACAACAGACTTTCTGTGGCGATGCTTCCGGAACCACATACACCTCCTGTTTCTGCCGCCGCACACATCACACGTCCTCCAGCCTCTAGATCAGTCAGTATTCCGACCTCTTAAGGCAGCCTATAGGAAGTATCTAGGGTACCTAGATATACAAAGCGATTCAACTGTAACAGGCAAGAGGAACTTTATAGACTGTTATAGAAGGGCACGTCTAGACGCCTTGACTATCCAGGTTATTAAAAGCGGCTGGAAACACACTGGGTTATGGCCAGTTGATGTAGCGCAACCTCTATCTAGCCCTTTCGTGTCTAAGGCATCAGCCAGCCAGCCAGCCAGACAGCTAGACGGCCAGACAGCTGGGCAGTCAGGAAGTCAGCAGTGGGATGGAGCTGTATCTATAGTCCCATGGTCAACCCCGCGTAAGTCTGCTGATCTTCAGCGTCAGCTGCACCTATTCAACCAGCTTACGCAAGATACCCGAGAAATCTACACCCAACGCCACCTATTTAGAAAGGTCCAAAAAGGCTGGGACCAACAGGCCTATAGACTGACAGTCCTAGAGCGTCAGGCCCAGGCATTCCAGGCCCAGACGGATAGTCAGCAACAAGGCAGGAGAAAAAGGGTCCAGACGGACCCTAACACGACGTTCGCTAATATCGAGGATATCCGACGGGCGCAAATTGCTGCTGGCGAAGCAGAGAGTAGCACAAGTGAATCCAGTGGATCTGAATTATCTAGTGAAGCAGAAAGTTGCATCTGGGTAGGTGGTAGGGATGAGGAATAATGGATGTTGTTGATGGGTATGGTGATATTGATGGGGGTTTGGGGCTGCGTGGTATGCGGGGTTGCGTGGGAAGCAGGGTGGTTGAGTTACCGGCGCAAACGGCTACATCGGCAACGCCGTTGCACGCGCCTTTGTAGCTGCTGGATGGACGACTTATGGCCTCGTAAGGTCTCTTTCGTCTGCTACAGCGCTCGCCCAGGAGGAGATCATTCCCGTCGTTGGCGCAATAGACGACCGCACCGCCCACGCCACCATTCGAAGCCACCTCCCACCGACCCTCAACGTCATCGTCTCAGTCACGGAAAACATCCTCGACTATATCCCTCATTACCGAAACACCATTCAACTACTTCGGACTCTGGGGAAGCAAGCTCATCAGCCGGCTTGAAACCCCTTGTCATCTTCACCTCGGGCTGCAAGGACTACGGCATAGGCCCACACTATCATGGAGCCCCGGACCTGGCTCCGCATACGGAGGAGTCTCCCATCAACACAATCCCCCTTCTGACTAACCGAGCGACATATGCTCAGAGGATCTTTGATCACTCTGATGTCTTCGCTCCGGTTCTTGTCAGGCCCACCAATGTATACGGTCGAAGTTCGAGCTTTTACAAGGCATTCTTTGACGTCGCGGCTAAGACTGCTGCCGAAGGGAAGCCGCTCCTCTTACCAGCTGCACCAAACACCATCGTCCACGCCCTCCATGTAGATGACTGTGCGGAAGCCTACGTCGCCATCGCTACGCATCCAAACAGGAAAGAGGTCGAGGGGCAAACATTCAACATCTCAGCCCAACGATACGAGACGGTCGACGAAGTGGCGCAAGCTTTGACGGTTGAGTACGGTATTCAGGGCGGCCTCCAATATGTCGACTCCTCTACTCTGAAAGAAGGAGAGGACCCATGGCCGCCGGGAATCATCAGCTTCCCTCAGTGGACCGACTCGACGAAACTGACAAGTCTTACCGGCTGGAAACACCACCGCCCGCTGTTCTCGGAATCGATTCATGTTTACCGTTTGGGCTACGAGGCAACCAGCGTGGCCGGGCATGAGAACATCTCCAAGACCAGTGGGATCCTGCAAGCCTGGACAAGACAGACTCGGCCTACTAGCGCCAGCGCTAAGGGATGAGCATGATGTCGAAAAAGATACTGCAAACGTAGGCGATCATGCACGTTACAGACGATCGTAACAGGGTAGTCAATCAACACAAATGGGAACATTTTAATCCAGTTATAATGCTGACCGAACATGTTTTCCGCGATTGAACATGTGACGTTAGATTCCTATGGTTAATGCAGGTGCAAGAACTGTCCAGCGTGCCATTCCAGGAGCATTGAAGTAACCGGATCTTGAGTTGCGTACCTATGGGTGTCTGCTCGGTCACCATTACTGGCGAATTGATATTCAAATCGGCTCACAAATTGTATATGACTTGTAGTGGAATTCCGAAAACTTGGTAACGGCGCCTTGCGTGAGCCAGATATATCTTCACTGGGTCCGGACATTAGCAAAGATCGAAACGTCGGAACTACTACCGCAATGGCAGAGATGCACGAGCTCAATTTCGGTGTGATCCGGATCGGCTTGAGTTCCAGATACGGGTCATGTCTCGTAGTTCAACCTTTGCAATCACTTGTTTGACAGTGATTCTGACGCAGTTCGTCGAGACATCCGATCAAGAGAGTATGATGCAATTTACCTGAGAAACGTCATCAAATCTTTTGTGGCGGGCATGGACGGGTTCCTGAGTTCCCGAAGACGGCCTCCACTGTATTTCCTTTTTGCTGAGAAATGTCGATATACGTTCGGTCCCGGGGAATTGAGATGGATTAAGAAGTGGTGTGGTGGACGTTGGAGACTGGACGGTGAATATCATGCCCAACTGTCCAAGCTGGGCTCAATGAGGAATAGACCCCACCCCCACCTCCCGGCCACGCGACGTTCAATGCCTCGTGTTTTCAGCATGGATCAACAAGGAGGTTTGCCAGGACGTCGTTCTTCCCGCGCGGTGAGCACGTAACGTACCTCTCAACATCTTGATATTGATGGCTACCGATACCTTTCAAGCCAAAACCAGGATATCCAAAGTAACAGAACGGTCAAAACGTGGGCCAATGGTTCTGCATCCCTGCAACTTTACTTTCAAAGAAAATCACCTGATCTCTCTTGCGAGCTTGCTTAAGTCACATTGACGGAGAGCTAGGTCGTGTTGACGGACGGGCCACTCGGTTGGACTACTATCCACGTGGGCGCTACAATTGTCGGTGTTTAATGGAGAGCGGCAGTCGAGCGTATGGACACAGCAGCCCGTGGCATTGAATGATTCCTTTGAGGAAGGTTAGCCCGGTAGGAGAGGTTTGTGGAAGCAACCCGTCCATTCCGAGGACTACAAGAGCGTTCACGGAACCAACGTTGGAGATCGGATCGTACCGACCGGCCGGAAGCAAAATGCCTGATGCAGGTGAAAGCATGATTGGGAAGCTTACAAACCGACCTTGCCATAGGATTACTCGTAGCTACGATTTCTGGTCGGAGAAAAGTATACCTACTCTACGCTAGGGCTGAGTAGCGGATATTGTGCGGAGCTGCCCCTCCAACCAGGCACTCCTCGTCAACTCCCCAAGAGCGACACAGGCATTGAGGAAACGAAGGCCGAGAAAGGAATGCAACAGAAATACCGAGAATCAACCGTGTCCGAGGTATGTCTTGGCAGGTCGGAGTGGTGGGGCGATTGTGATGATGGAAGTCCGAAGGGTGGGATGGCAGCTCGTATTGACTACTTAGCGCATTGCTCCCTCATGTCCGTGACAGTCTGTCGCGTCTCCCCAGTCCGACCTGAGGGCGTAATGTCGGCGCGGCTTCTTGGTGTCGATGGGCACTGGGAGAGCGTTGGGCACGACAAAGTGATACGTCTTGAACGTCGATCGTTCAAGATGATCTTCTTAGGTCCCGTCAATCTTGTCAAGTTTTCGCGAGACCGCGAGGGGGCCCACGGACGTTTTACGGCGGCCGAACCCCACGCACGCCTGTCGGATCATCGCCGAGCACTGCACATTTCTTTTCGTCTCATCTTGGATCGTTTTCGTCCGGCGTTGGCAACTGACTAAGCGGTGATTCAGGCCCTCGTGGCGGTCTGCCGACGCTTACTGCCGAAGGACTGAGAGGGCGCGTCGGTGTTTGGCGTGGCAAGGACCTGCCATCCACATACTGACAAGCCATGACAAGCCGTCGCAAAACACAGAGATTGGATCTTGGCCTCCCAAGCTGCCCGTCACACAAGCCGACAAGAACTTGCACCAAGACCCAAGGGAACGACCTGAAGTCGACATGAAACATGGAAAGCTCCCGAATGGGGGCCTCTTATCGGCTCCATACACCCACCTCGGCCCCACCAACATGTCAAGTCAGAAACACAGCTTCACGCCATCCCATGATCTCCGGTGGAGAGAAGGGACGGCGGCGATCCAATCGACATGATCTTCCGCCAGATCACCACCCACCCTGTGAGGCTCTGGCTTCCCGAAGGGGTATCGCCCGCTAGAGCCTCAAACCGTCGCGGAACAACATCAGACATCTTGGCATCACAAGCATTACAGATGTCCAGCATCACCGCCGAGGACGAGTTCGTCGTAGGTGCTGTTTTGCGTCTCTTTGGCCGTGAACAGGCCCGCTCTCTTCTCCCCCCTGTGTCTGCAGTGTCCGTTATCATGATTACCAAGGCCCCCTAGAGCCCCCATCAAAGAGTCTTGCTGGTCCGTGGCTGTGCGAGTTTTTCGGAACGTCTATCTGCTAGATTCCAATGCTAATATAATCCAAAAATTAGACTTACTCGAACTTTAAGTTTTGTCTCCATCTTCACACCTTCCCTTTCTTCCCTTTCACAAAACCCTCCCAGTGAGGATTAGCTGTGATTTCCATCGAGACCGGTCTTTACAGTCATTTACAGATATTCTAATCGCATTTGGGGATAGTCACTGTTGAGCAGTGTTCACTTCAGTCGTTCTCGCAGATTTTCCTCCGATTTCCCATTCTTGTCATTCAACATGAGATTCAACTCAGCTTGGGCCTTGATGGCTGCTGCCACGATCAGCGCGATGCCTCAGCCTGTCTCCAAGAGAGACCCCTTCCCTCCTGATGGAACCGTTGTGGGCGGTGTTCCGCACCGTCCTTTTAGGAGTAAGCTTTCTTATTTTTCTGAATAGCATACTGGGCTGTTGGCCACGATATCTAACAACAACCGCAGTCAGGAGACAGGCAGCAGCAGCCCCAGCGACCCCTCAAGGCAACCAACTCATCCCAGTAGTAGTCGGTGGCGCACAAGACACTTTCGTGCCGAACTTGATTCAGGCTCAGGTCGGCGATGTTGTCCAGTTCCAGTTCAGCAACGGTAACCATACCGTAACACAGAGCGCTGAGGGCTCCGCGTGCCAGCCGCTACAGGCACAAAACGCTGCTGCTATTCACAGCGGCCACATCCCTTTCAAAGACGGTCAGGCCATGGTCGGAACCTTCAACATGCCAATTGCGAGTGCCGACCCGATGTTTCTGTACTGCGCTACGGGGCCGCATTGTCAAGAGGGCCAGGTCCTGGTTATCAATCCGTAAGTAGTGGAAGAACTCGGTGGCTTGGAACACGAGGACTTACGAATTACACAGCACCAACGCGAACCAAGTCGTTCAGTACTCCAAATTGGCGGCGGCGGCAAAGGCCAACGTTGACGGAACTACAATCTCCGGTGGATCCGTCGGACAGATTCCGCTGGCAAACGCGGCCTTTGTTCCGGCACCGGCACAACAGGGCGGCGGCGGCGGTGCGCCCCCTGCTGCAGCTCCCGCGGCGCCTGCAGCTCCCGCAACTCCTGCCGCCAACCCTGCCCAAGACCCAGCAGCTGCGCCTGCAGCTCCCGCCGCAACTCCTGCCGCGCCCGCTGCTTAACGAACATTCAAGGTTCTCCGCCGAGCTCAGGAAGCTCACCTGCGACTCAAAACACCCGTTGGTTCGAATACATATTCTTCGTTCCACCGAATGATTTGGTTCGTATAGAGGCGGAGTCTTGTGTGCGAACGGATCGTAGCGAACGGAGGGGGTAATCTAAGTGTATGTAATAACAGTCTTATATATTCGTATATATATCCTACCGCTGCTTGCAGCCGGTTTTCGACGTTGGTTTGATGAAGTGGGCAGTAAAATGTAGAACAGCAGCCCATGTGTTGCTGGACTACAACTTAGGAGATAAAATACAATCAAAATCAACAACGCTAGATGCGAAACACAGGTTCTCTTTGACGATATGTGTACTGCCAGTAGAACTGACGGAAAGTTTTGTATTATTTCTATAACTACATTGAGATATTGTGCGTTGATAGCTTTGTGGCAGCTGCCAAACCTAAAGCTCGACAACAACCTTTACGCCACTGACTCCTTTAAAGAGAACATCAACTGCCTCGTTCAGTCCGCCCAATCCACCATTAATCTTTTGCGAGGGCAAGGCCACAATCTTGTCTTTAGCAATGGCCTGTGTAAAGTAGGTCCCAAAGGCCCACTGCAGTAATTCCGCATTCTTCTCCTCAGCCAGTGGTGCACCCCAGGATGCAAACTCCGCAGTCACGCCTTTGGGAATACCATCTGAGGGTGGCAGCAATCCGTATACCTTTCCACCACCCTGTGCCGCGACAACCTCGGTGGTGATGGCGTATGTGGGCTTCAAGGAGATGGAGTCCACAACGTGGTCGTAGGGCCCTTGCGCAACCAGCTCCTTTACAATCGCATCGTGAGACTGGGTATGATCAACAACATAAGCAGCACCCAACTTTGCGACGAAATCCCTGTGTTGCGGGGAAGTGGTAGTGACGACGTCGTAACCGGCTTGGGTGGCGTACTGCGTCGCAAAGCTACCGAAGCTAGATGTTCCGCCGTAGACCAGAATCTTTTTGCCCTTAGAAGACATTTTGCCGACCGGATCAGGCCTCTCAAGACGAAGGTGCTCTGTGAATAGCCCCACAACGGTAGTGAAGTTGCCGATCAATCCCGCTGGGATGTGGAGGTCGACGCTTTCCGGAACTTTGCTCGTGGTAACATCTCGAGAAACGACATACTTCTGGAAGCTGCTGTACTTGTTTCCGGAGACGCCGCCAGCCTTTGCTGCAGCGACCGTGTCGCTGACTTTGAAGTTGGTAACCTCACTGCCAATGGCTGCGACCTTGCCTCCATAAGATCCTCCGAGGATAGCCGGGTATTCAATGGGGAAGAGAGCAAGTTTCGCCAACTTTGCATCGATCGGATTAAGTGCAATGAGCTCGTTCTTGATGAGAAGCTCGTGCGGACCAGGCTGTGGGGTTTTGACGTCTTGGACCTCCAGTGGAGCTTTGGGTGCGGGTTGAACAGCGGCCGAATGAGACATGTTGTGGTTAAACAGGAGGGCGCTTTGATATTATGAACGTTCTATGGGTATCGGATATCGACCGAATCTAAATATTGTAGTTCAGCTAAGCGCCGAGGGAATTGTTGTCGTTACGGATAAAGATGATCAGAATAACCTAGGCGATAGGTATTCCACCTCCTACATATATGGTGAAGCGGTAGAGACGCACATGCCGATGGCGCCGGATTAATAAGCTCAGTCACGACGTAGACGCAATGAAAGACGCCATATGCAACATAGTTCGTGATGGTGCGTGATTGCTAAGCAAAATGTCGCCAAACCCCGCCGAAACATCCGCAGATGGCAGAACTATTCGTCGGCACGCAGAGAGTCTGCTGTGAAACACAAAATCCTCAGCTGTGCATCGGGCACTGAAGGTTTGAGATATGCGATTGGACTACATGAGACTATCGAAATTGCAGAATGACGAAAGTGCCCAAGCCGGCCGTCTACTTGGGATGCTGCAACCTCGCGAATTGCGGCAAGGCCTTGACGCGAACTTGGTTTATTTATAGCGGCAGATAATTAAAGTTTGCACTATCATGGCAACTGTGGACAGAGACCTTCGTGATTAATTTGATTCAAGTGCATAACCTCAAACGTCAGATCAAGCTTCTGGACGATAATCTTTTCCAAAGTGAGACATTTAGATGTCGTTCTGCAAAAATTCCTCCAATGGCGTGGGTTCAACGTCAAGCTTGTCACCGTTAACATTCTCCATATCCCGTGTCCGTTTTTGGTGTGATACTGATAGCGGTACGCTGCGCACTGGAAAGAACCCTAAGTCAATTACGCTCCTGAGTCTCCATGCGAGTTTCTTTTAAAGATTGTATTTTTATCTGTTCCCCTGCAATGAAGCGCACTCTTAGTGCCCTTGACCTCTACAAATGCATTCATAAAGTCCCTGACCAAGTGAGCTCTAAGCACAGTACTTCGTCATCATCTCTCGTGGTTATCACTGCAACAAACTCAGCTACCTTTCTTTCAGTGGCCCAAGACGTCGGGCTACCTCTGTCTCTCCGCGATCTCATGGATTCCTCTTTGCTGTTCCAATAGACGCTCTTGCCGATCGAACCACAAGACTTTCCTGACATCACTTAGAAGACATTGGTCAAAATCCCGGTGAAGATATCAAGCGGTGAGGCAGGGTAGCTGATCTTAGCCACGCAGCGGGAGGCAACGAACGACGCAAAACTCTCTAGCATACCAAGGAGACCCCGGATTCAGTCATTATCACACGTCTACAAGACGAATTGGCGGACGATGACGCATTGAGCAGTTCTGAGGTGAAGAAGATGGTTGTTGATCTGAAGCTCAGCAGGGAAGATGCCACACGCGGAGATTACTGCACTTGTGTCACGAAGGCGTCGGCTAGAGCCTCGATATTACAGTAGTCGTTGTTCAATACAAAGTCTGCGAGTTTAACGACACATTGAACTGCTATAATTTGCCTGAGAAAGTCGTCTTACTGGACTTTGATGGGTAAATTGTCGACCAACTTCTGCACGATGTTGCATGTTGCGTGAGTGACAAGTATGAGCATATCTTTGCGTCGTGACTTCACCAAACTGAGGATTGGCTGGTGCAGCAGTCCGGGTACAAATGACTGGAAATTTCAATTGGCACTAAGATGAGGGTGGTTGATTTGCAAAGGATAGCTAAGGTAAGCTGATTTGTAGTAACCCATGAAATGTGTTCCTCAACCTCGGAGAGATCCTCTAGTACGGACAAGTATCATGTCTCATGAGTACCTCATGATTGAACCACACGATTGACCGTTGAAATTGCAGAGGTACTTTGTGCCTTTGACAAATGACTGTCACATGACGGGATCGTGGCCTGCAAAAGATTAATCTTTCGTTGCCACATGTTGAGGCACCGCCGATCAACATTCAGGAGTTACAAGACAGCATCGACGAAATATGCTTGGGCTTCGCGCATATGTGACCAAGAAGACTCCAGATAATGGTGACAACATTCTGGATCGAAATGACAACACCGAAATTAATGGCTTGTAACATATTCATTGTATGCGTGGAGGCTAATGCAACTGCCCCTGTCCATCGGATTAAAGTGCAGACTTGGCCAGCCCCAATAAGCAAACGCTTCTCATGTTTGCGGAAGATGCCGCCGTTGTTCCCCCGACAGCCTACATGCTCAGCTTTATGAAAGACAAAGCTAAGGGGAGGCAGCGAGTCAAGCCCAGCCCAAAGCTTATCACAGACCCCCAACAAATTTTCAATCCTACGGTCTCAGTTTCCAATTAAAACAGAGGATGTGTTTTTGAGGTGAATCGTGCTGTTTCTGATTGATTTAAACTGATTAAAACATAGCCTCATAATGGCTGAATAGATTTTGTGATAGACGTCTACAACGGGTATGTCTCTTTCTTATGTATGTACCAGGATACGACTCTGCATGTGTCATCCAATCTCTCTCGTTTCTATAATAAATATGGGTAATTAATCATGCTTCTTCCTCCGAGTCGTGAGGAACCAAGCTGAGGTGGTGCAAATCAGCCCGAACCTGCTTTTTGATCCAGGCAGCATTGCGCCTCTTGAACATCATCTTCGGCTGGACCTGGTTCAAGCAAACATCGACTTTCATGCAAGTGCCTCCAGCACAGCAGCTCTGCTTGATGCATACTTCGCCGTTGCCACAGTCGTTGGTCGTGTCGCAGCTGGATTCGCATTCGTTTGGCTCGGCGCAAACGTCGCGTCCCTCGACGGTCTTAAAGCACACGCAGCCAGACTCGCCGGAGCAGAGGGGAATCGTGGAGTCGCCGCAGTTCCAGACCTTACTGCAGGACAGCGCAGGGCGGGTGACGTTGACAAAGGGTGCGAGGGTCGTGGTTGATACGAAAGACACTGTCGAGGTGACGGTCAACGCTGGGATGGTGGTCGTGGCGGCAGTGGCGCCGAAGCAGGAGCAAGCAGAGCTGTAGCGGGCTGCATCCGAACACGCGGAGGCATACTCAGGGATAGCCTTGGTGGAGATGGAGGTTTCAGCGGCTTGACGCTGGTAAATGGTCTTGGTGGCGTTGGCGGTGATCGTCTCGATGCTGGACTCGGTAACGTAGACGGTACTGATAACGTGTTAGCTGAAGTGACCAAAGACTTGGGTGTAAGGAAACCTACGAGGCACTTGGGGTCTCTGTGACAGCGAGGAATGAGCTGCATTCAGCCATGCGAAGCTCCATGGTAGCAGTGCCGTAGCGAGTGGCCCTCACGGCACGGAGGCAATTGTCGGCATTACAACCCGTGGCGCGGGCTTGCACGGCAGGGACCTCGAGAGCCGCAGGTATCTCCATGGCGCTGTCGGTGTCGACAACGGCAGCCGATGCCGCAACAGCGAAGTACGTAACGATCGAAAACTTCATCTTGATAAAATCAGTGAGTGTGTGCTGCAGCGAATGTAATGCCCGTAGTCAACGACTGAGACTGCGGAGTGAGAAACGGATGATGGATGGAGATCTTGCTTTGCGTGCCTCAGAATCTACTATTCTCTCTCTAACTGACGGGATATGGAGGCGTCCTTATATCTCCCTGGGCTCCCTTGGCTCGAGATCCAGCTGCACAAACTCAGACCGGGCAATACATCATGCAAGGGCGGAGGCAGCCTGGTAGCGCCTCGGCAATCAGGAGGAAAAGCAAACAACTCTCAACCCCCGACGTCTTAGTAGATGATAGCATGCATCTGGCCGTCACTGAGCACCCGCAGAAACCGGCTACGTAAAGTGTTGGAGCAAACAAGACATCGGAAAAAAGCATCTGAGCCCTCCTTTCATTAGTGGCAGATCGAAAAGTGGGAATACGTCCTGAGCTTGGAACGGCTCGCCGCATAACAGTAGAATTGGCTTAGCTCACAACCAGGATGACAGTCGGGTGCTGTTTGTCTGGTCCGAGGACTGGAAGCTGTAGGTGAGCCACAGCAAGAAACGAGTGAATGATCCCCATTCCTGGCGGTTCCTGAGTTGGTGTTGCTGGCTATCCGCCAAGGACCTGCAGTAGCGTGGCGCATCGATGTCAATGGCGCCGTCTCAAGCCCGCCGAAGCCTCCCGCTAAGAAACGACTTGGAAGCTCGGGCAAACCGGGGCTTGCAAATTTACATAATTGTGCGCCTGGAGATGCACATCAGAGTGTCCGTGGGAGATAAGCTTGTCTTCGCGTCGCGTTCCCGCGCAACCACGATCCCTTTGTTCAGGATTGTCCGGAGCTGGCTACGAAAGGTGCGGCTCGACGAAACAACGCTTCGAACACTTCGTCGAAGTTTTCTGAATTGGTGTGGCGGGTTCTTTAGCCACGCCCCAAGAGGCTGATTGACGTCACGATCAAGCGTGCCTTTGACAAGCCGAAAAGCTCTCTCGGGCTGAGAAATCTTGGCCCTTCTGCGGGATGCGACAATCGATATCTCGATGCAGTTTCACTTGAGAAACAGCAATAAGTCAGACCGTTGGAAATCATAATTACACAAACTTCAAACTCGCGGATCTTAAAGACATTCCATTGTCGTAGGATGATTTGCATTCTGCAATCACCGACATGAGGTATCAATCATAAATACACGAACGCTGGGCAAAGAGGCTTGGGTCGCAATCGGCCGATATGGATCCCTCTCAAAACACATGGCAAGCAGCAGTGGCAGGGGGAGGCTGTCCATGACGGGGGAACAAACTAACACCTCGAGCGCGACTCCAGCAACGCGACAGCACGGCCGGCTCGCATCCCTGTCGGTTGAGGATTTCCAGCTCCCCCAGCTTAGCGCAACCGTGTTGGTCCTAACTCTGCGCAAATCCTACCGAAGTGGCCAGAGGCGATCATGGTGAGCCGTTGTGGCTTGGCTTAGCGTGGCCAACAAGTCGGTATGTCGAAAGCCAAAATCACGAGGAGCTTTCTTGGCAGTTGAAAGCGATGTCTTCGGATAGAAATACTGGGTAACATTCGACGACGCGCTCCCTCAGTTTGAGGTACTCGCCTTTTGTGCGGCCCGAGCGGCAGCTAGGAATGATGGGAATGGAGGCGCCCCTTGATAGCTCTTGTCGTATTAGCAACTCGTGAGTGATTGATAAATCCGTTGAGATGAGTCAAAGCTAAAACCAAAAAACCTTATCAAGAGAACGGCACTTACGTGTAATGATGCATTGCTTGCTGCCCCACGTCGATGTCCTCGCTCACAAAGCCACACGGAGGAGCCCAAAATCGAATGTGGATAACACCATCGCGTGGTAAAAAACCACCCAAAACATAATTACAATACCAAGTATTCGCTGGTCGTCATCGATCCAACTACTACCCGTGCCCCGCACCCCCTAACTTTGATCAAAAATCGCTCACCCGCGTTAGCTAGCTTCTTACCCGCAGTGCCGGCAAACAATAAAATACACCACATACAGTCAATCGTCGGTTCCAATGACCGGGCTCTGTGCCTCGAAGAAATTTGAGCCACCAACTTCTTAGTTCCGCAACGGGCTGATTGTCATGACAGCCGGCCAGTCTCCTAATCCTGTGCTTCTTTATCCCTCCGCAAAGACAGTTCTTAGTACCGTGTTTCCAGCCAAGGGCGCCCTCAAATCCGATGATAACAAGAACTCCAGCTGAGGCCCTGCCGGTCTTGTTCTCGCTTGCTCCTCAACGCGTTTTTTTAATCTTGTCTCCTGATGATACCGCTGTCATTCACAAGCGTCAAGTTGATCAGGTGTAGCTGGACAAGGAGCGTTGGATATTTGGCTTTTTGCGGCTCTTCAGGAGTCTTGGAATTATCCACTGCGCTTTGCTGTCCACCTACTTAATACCTCGTCTCTATGATTCAGGCTGTACCAACTGAGGAAGGTTCACAGTGGGTCTAGCGAATTTTTTGTGTATTGATTGGGGTTAGTTTGGCCAAAGGTCAAGGAGCACGTAGGAGAACGGGTATTGAATATTAGTAAGATTAATAACATGTAAGACATGGAGAACGCTGATAGCCATACTGAAAGCAATGGAGGGCCAACTGTCAATAAAGTACGCCAACGACCTCGTTATCCAAAGATAAAAGCCAGAGCGACCACACAAGCGGTGATGGACGACAACATGTACGCTGCGCTGAGGCCGGATTGAATTCCCTCCGTACTCGCCACAACCACTGTGCTCGGCCTGCACGGAGTTGACTGAGTGCCAGTAGGCCCCTATACTAAGCCTGATGCTCCGGGGTACTGTGCCCCTCCGTGGGAGACAGTATTGGAAGAATTAGCACTAGGAGAGCCAGTGGGACACCAAACTGCCCAGACTGGCCACTGAGCTGCCCACCGGCTAAGCTGGCGGAGGATACATTAGCTGGGCTGCCAGGCGTTACACCAGCCGGGGGGCCGGTGAATGGCGGAGCGGTATCATCGTTCTGCCCCGCCTGGAATTCGGGTGCGGCTGGGGGTTTGTCGACATCCTGACCAGCGACACCAAGAGTGCTGCTAGGAGTCCCCAGGGCTCCTCCGAAATGTTGACTGGGCGGCTGGCCTCCGGATGCTGGCCTGTTGGCGCCCAATGAACCGCTTGAGCCGAGATCCATAGGGACAGTAAGGGTGACAATGCTCTTCCCACCAGGCCACACCTGTCGCACTGGGCCTCGTACGTGGCCATGGGCACCTCGGGAATGGCCTGCACTGGGCAGTGGCAGTCTTCGAAGTAGAGTGTGGTGCAGAGCTCGACGGGACTCAGGGCGGTGGGCCTTACAGGATCGACGGTCGTGTAGGTTATGGTGGTGACGACGGAGGTGACGGTAACAAGAGCCCCGTCGGGACCGAAAACAGTGGTGGGTTGACCCGGAGCAAGGGTACCGCTTGGTACCACGGGAAGGGGAACAGTTGTCGGCCCAAGAGGAGTTACGCCGGTCCCGGCGATAGTAGCACTCGGGCCGATGCCCGCCGTGGGTGGTATCACGATGGTTGTGCTGGGACCGACAATGGTCGTCCCGGGTACGACAATGGTCGTACCAGGCACATCTACAAGGACCCCGTAGATAGTGAGCAAGATGTTTGCGGGAACGGCGCTCCTGAAGACCTGCGTCCGAATGTCTCTTCTTACGGGGAAGCGCCGGCTACATGCCACCGCAAAGCTGTGCAGCATTTCCAGGGCAACGGAGGTCACAGTTGATTTCTGGTACAAGAGATGTATCTTCAAGGGACTCGAACCCGTAGCAAATTTTGCTGCAGAGTTAGTCATGAGTTACACGTCATAGTGCGAACGACGTTTACGTACTCGAGGTACACTCCGCCGTGCCGGCGACCTTGGGCCAAGGTGATGCATCTAATAGGCGTCATATTTGGATCCCGTCCAACCTCTATGAAGGTGGGATAACCGGCGGCGGATCCCAGGCAGCCTAGAATGACATGGCCCGCGATTTATGGTACGTTGGTGGCGCTCGGCTGCTTTATTGACGTTGCAGAAGCAAGGGGAAACGTGCTGCTTGAGCTACTCGTTCCGCTTGTGTTGCTTGAGCTGCTTGTTCCGCTTGTGTTGCTTGAAGAGCTTGTGCTGCTTGAGGAGCTGGGAGATACCCGCAAGGTAGTAGACTCTGACGTTGCGAGGCCAATACTAAGCCGGAAGACGCCGAAGCGCTGACGATCGAAGGTTTCGGATCGTATTCTGAATGGCGCGCATGCAAGCTGTGAACCACAAGTTACGACGGAGCAAGGGATTCCACAAACGTTCTGTTAGCTCAAGTATGGTTAATCATTGGTCTAGGTTGTTTTCAGATTTGTCGATTCATCACAATAACAATATAACTCTCTTTACAGCAAGAGAGCCTCTTCAATCTAACCATTTTCCCAGCAGCCTCACTACCAAAACGGTCCAGGAAGACTAGACGCGGAAACGAATATATGCCTTATTTTAGGCAGTGACTTACGATATACCCTCGGATAGAAGTTCCATTGTTACGCTTTCTTTTCGGGTGAATTGGGTATATATCTATAGTGGCTGGCCTGGCACTGTGACAAGAAGAGCACACGTAAAGCTGGTTCCTGTGTATGAACCAAATAATTATTGAACGGCCATCTCGTTCATTTATTTTCATTACTGTTGATGTTCAACTATTATCTGTTGACTCACCCATGTTTCTGGTGCGTTGATTTCACGTCACATGCTGAGTGGTTACATGCATTCCTGAGATACCCTTGCAAAAATATTTTGAGTTGTTTTGTGTACAATGCATGAAAACGCCCCCCCCCCCGTGAAAGCTACCATGATTGAGACTCTAGTTCACTCACGACTTCACATTTTCTCCTCTTTTCAGTATCATCTGAATGGCAGTGAAGCAGATAGCACGCCTTGCATGCCCTAACACCGATATCTCTTTGAATTCTATACCTATTTAGACTTGTACTGTTAGACACTGCTAAGCACTGGTACGAAGAAGCGTTACAAGTATTTGTTTGATCGCCTCCCTGAATGCTTAGATATCGTTGCAGATAAGTGATCTTTGGATATCAGACAACGTCTAACCCAAAGTAGTGGAAGTACCGTCTTGCATATGTCTTAGATCTGTTCCTCGCATTGCCAGTGGGATGACCTTTGTCTTCTCCTAGCATAACCCAATCACCTTCTTGCTCAAATCACACACCTGGAAATGCAAATATTTCATGTATGAGAATTTTTGCTTCTCAATCACCCCCCTCCCCCCCAAATAAAGAAAATAAAAAAGGCTACTCTCTACCTACACTCGCAAGAAATGCGACGCTTGCGGCCTGCACACAAACACATGCAGTGTACTAGCCTTGCAGGTTTCTATCACGAGCCTTGGCACTTGATCTGACTACGAAGCTCTTATAAAAAATCACCACTACAATACGCTATAACCGGTAAACGAGAGGATATACTAGACCTAGGTCTCGTTACCAAGCTACCACATTTATCAGATCTGCTGTTCAGCCTCCTTGTCGCCTATGAAAAACGGAAACACCTTACACCTTTCTCCTAATGAAAAGAATTACCTTTTGAGAATGTTCCAAATTTACACGGTTTTTGACTTGGTAATGCCAGGCGAAACTCAGTAGCGCACATGGGCAGAAGCTTTTCAACCTGTACTTACTATCTATTTTATATGCAATTACACACCGTCTAACCTACCTGTAAGCAACCAGGTTGTTGAATCAAGAGATGCTTTTGCCGGCACCACAGAAACTGGCCGCGGGTTGCAAACCGACTGAATAGAAGGAGAAATAGGACCTTGGCTGAAACCGCGGATCAATGTCGGCTGCAGAGTGAACACAATGCACAATGAGAGAGATGGCAAGGTGGCCCAGTGCTTGGCTATTGCGGCCCAGTGTGATAAGCTCGAGATACGCGAGCAGATCTTAGAAAAACCGCTGCCACTTGGTTACGGTCCGGATGAGCTATGAGTACCCTAAACTTTCATCAAAAAAGTTTTCCTCGCAGCTTTTTTGCGTGCTCACATTTCTTTGGATTGTGTGATAGGGAAGCGGTGGTGACTTATTGATGAATTACTTTAAACGTTATCAGTAATAAGCTGTTCCAAGTTGTTCAAGCATTGTATTTATTTTATCGGCCAGGTTACGTTATAAGCAGTTGTTTTACAGGAACGCTTTCGAAAAAAACGCAATATTAAGATGATTCACTAACAATGCTATTCGTCAAGCTCCGATGGCTTCCCCTCCTCGCTCTTAATCTTCTCCTGCCGAAACGCCTTTCTTAATTCACATTTCCCGATGCTCTTGCCACCGGCTTTGCACTCATCACATACCTTGCCGTGCTTAACGAGCAAGATATGGAGCCCGTACTTGTCCTCGTCCGGGATTCTGACATCCAAGTGCGCGTGCGTCTCGTCTCGAGAGGCGCTCTTGGGACGCCAGCCCATGAGTCCGGTGATCCTCCACACATGGGTGTCAACGGCAAACGATTCTCTCTGCAGACAGAAGAGGAGAACACAGCTGGCAGTCTTTGGCCCAACGCCCTGGAAGCTGATGAGCTCCTGCATCGCTTCTTCATTGCTGGCGTTGAAGAGGTGGTCAAGCGAGTAGGACCCGTACTTCTCCTTCACCTGGTGCAGAATGCCAATAATGACCTTGCTCTTCACCTGGCTCAGCCCGCCGCACTTGATGGCCTCCTGCAGCTTGGGAATCCCGCCCTCGACAATCTTTTCCCACTCGTCGCTTCCGCCGTAGACGGCATCCATGCTCTTCTTGGCACGGGTTGAGTTGGTGTCGCTGGTGTTCTGACTCAGGATCGTCCTTACGAGGGCGTCGAGGACAGACGGTGAGTCACCGCAGCCGGCACGGGTTGTGGAAGCCTTGACCTCAGCGGGACGTTCCCGTTTGCCGTGGAGCTTAGCCAGGATGCGGTGGGCTAAGCGGCACTCATCCGGGGTCGGGTGAGAAAAGTCGGGGAACGGTGACTTGTCGGCGTATTGCGAGTATGCCTTGAGTTTCTTGGACTTCAGGTCAGCGGGCGACTTTGCTACCTTTGTCTTGGCGTCTGGGCTCTCAGTCTTGATTGAATCCTTTTTGATTGGCGTCGATTGGGGGACATTGGCAAGGCCCGATGATGCCGCATCGTCACCGTCTTCAGTCTTGACCTTCTTGGACGGGGTGGGCTTTGAGGTCTTGGTTGCGGCGCGTTTCCTCTTCTCGGGTTGGGGAGTGTTTTCCTTGTCCGATAGATCTCGCTTCGCAGCCCGGGCAGTGCCTTTTGCTGATTTGGTGACACGGTTGCCGGCAGATTCAACGTCCTCCGTTGGCTTTGTGGCGGTTGCAGTGGCGGCCAAACGGGCGCTCGAACGGGTTGCTGTCGCCATTAGAATCAAGGTGAATCGCATACAATAATCAGCCAAAGGAGAAGAGCCCTGATTTATACGTCAAATTGGGTACGTTGAAGTCGATGCAAGTTTTGAGGTCGATTCAAGGCTGCTTGTAACACAGATCCAGGGGCTGGCTGGCACAGCTATGACGACGCAGAAAAAGTACATCGTCGACCTCATCAGCGGCTCTCAGTGGTGATGTCAACGAGTCGGATCCACCCATGATTACGCTAGCCCGCTTCGAGCTAGAGCGGTTCCTGGCCCGTGCCTTTCGTGTAGTGCGCACAGGCCATGTGGTGATGGGAAAGTGGGAAAGGGAGGAGGAGAGAGTTAGGTAGGGTGTCAGGAAGGAACGGAGAAGGAGCCCAACCAACCCACTGGAAGAGAGGTGGAGGGGTGCTGGGAAGGAAGGAACGAAGCATGGAAGGTGGAAAAGAAGGATCCGGCCGTACCCACGTGCACGGAATTCATCTTGATTCCCCATCAACAACCCCAATCCTCAATCAAACATTCTTCATCAGGAGGCCGTTGCTGCGATTTCCATTCCGAGCACTTCAAATCGGAAAAGGGAGCGAGAAACAAAGCAGTCCATTCTGCATTGACCAAATCGACGTAGGTAGGCGACTTGTCTATTTCCATTGCAGGCTGCAAGCAACCGGCCCTCTCACCTCTTCTCCTCTCCTTTGCCCCTCCAATCTATTCGCAAATTAACCGTTGCTTTTTCCTCTTCACTTGGCTGCCCACGCAAGAGACATTGTCCCTTGGCGTTGCTCTCTGCATCGTCGCTTCGAACAAAATTTTCACTAAAAAATTGCAGGCCTGCTGCCGCCTCCCAAGCCCTTCGTCAGCCACTTGAACCGCTCGGAAGCCGACGAATCATCCGCGTCCATATGTTCCGTCCCCATCACTCAATACGTTCCAATAAGAATTCCATGCCGGCTCCGAAGCCCATTCAGCGCCCCCAGGAACTCGGCCTTGTTATCTTTCGCCCATACCGCCGACAACGGGCCCGGAAGCCTTTCCACGCCTCCCCGTCTCCATGCACCGTGATGCCCTCCCCGCATCTTGCATCTGAGAACCCCCGTCCATGTGCATTTCGCCCGTTGGAGTGGGTTATGCCTCCACACCTTACGGACGTAGCTTAACCAAGAGGGTGTGCTGCAGGGATTGCGAACCCTCCAGTTCGTCCCGAACGGGGCATATCTCAGTCATGTCCAATCCTGTAGTGTTGCAGGGCAAGGATATCCTATGCTAGCTGCCTACGACTTGGCGATTATTAACGTCGCTCTAACATCACACACCGGCATTGCATCGCCGAATGAGAGAATCTTCAAATATTTGTCGCCTCGTCAGCGTTGTACGGCCAGGGCTTACTTGCATATGGTGGCATGCGGCGCTATCACCTTTGAACGAATGTTCTACTAGGACGCGCTCGACTTCCATGTCTGATACGCGATTCACAACAGTCAGGTGAGATCTGCATATTGATGCGCCGCCTGGAACCTTAGCCAGGAGAAACAAAAAGCCCATCAGCCACTGGTCAAGTCTGGGCGCGCCGGTCGTCTTGGCGCAAAGCTTCTGTCAGGTTGCCGCTGACAGCATCCAACGCGAACGATAATAGCGAGTGTATTTGCCGCACTGGATTGTGGTCTCGGAACCTCACAACGGTGATTTGCAAATCAATGCAACCCCACCCCCCAAGATTCAACCCATGGGTGGGACAATCCCGAGCCGACTTGCCACTCTAGCTCGCTTCTTTTCCATCTTCACTGCTGCGCTCTGCCTGTCGCAGGTGAACCATGTCGGTGAGCTATCTTAGTAGCCGCTCTCGTGTCCAGCATGACGGAAACAAGCATGCAAACTTCACCATCTTCCAACCATTGGGCAGATATCTCATCGTTGGGGGACCACAGATGTTCACAGTTGCAAATAACTCCCCTTGGCAGTGCTGCGATGCAACCCTGAATGTCTTGGTTATGCGGATCCCACCTCGGAGAATCGCCAAGACCTGAATGCGGTTTAGAACCCAAGCCCAGCTGTTGTTAGCCTATCTTCGTGGGCGCCAACCGCATGCCACCCTCCTGGCTCAAAATGCTGTCGCTCCCTTATTTTCTAGATGCGTTCTTCAACAACTCCCGCCCCTCCTGTCATTGTCACCCATTGCCGTCACCTTTGACGTCAAAGATAAGCCATCGCGTACCTCCAGAGCGGCAAACAGACCTCGATACTTCTTCCGAATCCTTGGGCCCTCCGAATGGAAATGCCATGAGCGACCACACTACTATGGGCGACGATAAGTTTGTGAACGTGGGGCGGCTGGAGGCCGTGAACAGTATAGCCAGTACCAGCACCTCGGAGCTGGAAACTAACCACTATGGCCACCTTACCCTTTGGCAGTCCATCAAGAAGTGGCGTCGTGTCGTCCTTTACTGCGTCGGAATGACATCCGCCATCCTCATGTACGGTTATGACTATGTTATAGTTGGCACCACATCAGCTATGCCTAGCTTTCAGTATGTGTTTTTTCCCTGATACGGCTCTTTGCCGGTCTTGGTGCCGACGTCTTGGGCTAACCAAGCCCCTTACAGGCAAGATTTTGGTCAGCGCCTCAACGACAAATGGATCCTGCCATCACTCTGGCTCGGTCTTTGGAACTTCGTGAGCCCTGGGTGCTCCATGGTTGGCTCCCTGATCGGAGGCATCTTCCAGGACAGATACGGCCGCCGGGCGTCACTCGCTGTCGGTTCTTTCCTGTCAGCCATCGGCGTGGCTGTCTGCTTCATATCAAACCTGTCCCCCGATATCCACACCCGGCGCGGCGTCTTCCTTGCAGGCAAAGGATTCCAGGGCGGGGCCATCGGCATGGTAATGACCACCTCACAAACGTACATGTCCGAGATCCTGCCGCCCAACCTCCGAGGACCACTGCTTGCCTTTTTTCCCATCTTTACCTTGCTCGGACAGCTTACGGGAGCCGCCGTTATCTTTGCGTGCATGAACATGGAAAATGGATACACAATCTGCTTTGCATCGCAGTGGCCGTTCTCCGCCCTCCCGTTGTTGATGGCTTTCCTCATTCCCGAGAGCCCAACATTCCTGCTCCGCAAGAACCAAGACTCAAAGGCCCGCAAGGCCCAGGCGAAGCTGGATGTACAAGGCGCGGTTCCAGAGGATACTCTCGAGATCATCCGGCGGAATATCGAGCATGAGAGACGGCAGACCAAGGCCACCTACATTGACTCCTTCCGAGGCATCAATCTTCGGCGGACGTTGATCATCATGTTCGCCAACTCGCTACCAAACATATTTGGTCTGACCTTGCTTGCCAAATCCAGTTATTTCGTGCAGATGGTCGGCATGAAGGCCAATTTGAGTGTCATCATCCTCATCCTCGGTCTCGTCTGTGGCCTCATTGCAAACATCGTCAGCATCTGGACCCTCTCGAGAATAGGGCGCAGGCGGCTTATCTTAACCACACTGTCGCTCCTGACACTAGTGTGGACCGCCATGGGTATCGCGGGATGCTTCCCAGGCCCTGTAACCGTATGGTGAGTTATTGCACGTGCTTTGGACGTTCCACCACACACTAACATCAGCTTGCAGGTACACTGCCATATCACTGATAGCCGTTGTTATTGTGGCCGGGCTGGGGTTTGGCCCGCGTCGCACGTTGTGAGTGCCGAGACCTCTGCGCTTCATCTGCGTTCCAAAGCCCAAGGGATTGGTTGGTTTACTGCCGGCGCGAACAATGCTATCTTTGGTTTTGTGCTGCCGTACATGTTCAACCCCGACAAGGGCAACCTTAAAGCCAAGACCGGTTTCGTGTTTGCCGGACTTTGTGCTCTCGGGCTTGTCGTTTCCTTCTTCCTGGTGCCAGAGATGAAGGGACGAACGCCGGCTGAAATTGATCGCATGTTCGAGTCGAGGCTACCGGCAAGACAGTTCCGACACTGGACCAACTCATCCGTGGAATTGGAAAATAAAGGTTCGGCTCGAGTTGAGCGCTCTGTTGTGTAATGTTTCTTTTACTTTCCGGCTTCTCCTGAATAAAGATTTTCTGCACATTTCCCTCACTTTGGATCAAATCAGGCTGCGCCTCAGGCGCGCTCCTTGACACTCACCTCGATCCGCAATGAAACTTTTCTTTGTGCACAGCCTAGGTGTTGGTTTTCGTCCGATAATACCTGTTCGCCAAGAGCTGCGCACATACCCCCGAACGGGTTGTCTGTGTCCATCAACTCAGGTTCAACGGTTGATTCCAGTGTTAGATGTAACTTTTCAACTCGAATGACAAGAGTCGATCAACTGCCGTATCTACAAAGAATTGGCCGTCATCGACGTACTACGTCCGCCATGCAAAAGCAGGAAGTCTCATGGCACATTGTAGCGATCCTACGGCGCCATACCAAGAGATCTCTCTTCTGACAGCGCTAGGCCTGCGCTGGTGTCCGCGCGCCCGAACATGGGATTAATATCGTACGTGTAGTTATCACAGTACAACGGTGCATGTTGACGCGCGCTCAAACACATTCTCCGCCAGAGAATGTTCACCATCTGCAAGATCCTCTCGCTCAAACAGTCTCGGTGGCTGTGTGTCGTTTCCAAAAGTCGATGACGTGAGACGATATGGTCAAGCACCTACTGTCTGTAAGCACGTGTGCGAATCGCCAAAAGCAAAGGAAGCCTTCTCTTGACTTGAAGAGGAACAACTGGAAAAGCGTTAGACCCGTCGGCCTACACCCTCCCTTAGTTGAGAAAGAGCCGCTTGTTTACGCGACCTCACGTATCATTGGTGAGGGAGTCCGCACCAGTTTATCCTCTCTGGCCATCGCCCGAAGGTTGCCACTTTCCCTCCAGCAAGAGTTCAACAACAGCCTGCTGCTCGCATCAGTCATACGTGGGTCCAAGCGAGAACGACGCGAACCACATGCCATCAAGCTTGTATCTTACCGGAGAACCTATGCGACTGGGATGTTCCAAGAACGTCTGTTCGAGCTCCCGGTCAGATCGTCTGATGTTGAAAGAAACCAGAACGACAACCCAGCCCAACCCGACTTACCGATAAGACCCAAAACAGAAGACGGCCGCCACTTGGCTACCTTAAACCGGTATGCACCAATGAAGCACGCACGGGTCCCGTCTGTCGGGTACGGGTACGGCATATCCTACCCGACCTAGCTCCATCTAGAGTCGCATTCTACCTGCTAGAACCAAAGTGGTGGTTTTTGGCCAAGCCATCCGTCAAGTTGAGTAGAAGACAGTTTGGCTGGGCGGCCGAGATAACACTGAGCCTTATGATTGCAGCATGCTTTTGTCAGACTTTCGACACCCTAACAGACAGTCGCATTCAGATACAAATAACCCTGATTGGAGCTGAAATACCATTTTCAACGGTGTTGTCAAAGACATTATCAGCTTGATCCGATCCGAACCACTACCGGTAGAGCGCTCTCCTTTGCTGTCTACAACTTAACAAGCTGAGTGATCAGAGTCCGAGGCCCTGATCCCAAGATATCAAACCGCCTATTCCCTCCTACATACCAGAACAGGCGGCACAAACTCTACACACCCACACCAGCTCTTCACCACAACACCAGTTTCAGCCCTGAGCCAACCATGTGGCGTCAGTGAGCGTTATTTCTGCACTGATCCACGCAGCAGCCGCCAATGAAACAAGCGAGAAACCAGCGTCGTGGAAAATGAAGCACACGCCGAATCGTGCCGCAGTCAGGCTGGCAGCTCGGCGACGGTGGGCACTAGCTCGCCCCCCGAGTATCCGACTGCCCTTTTTGGGCCGAACTTGTGATACCTGGTGAGGCTCGGGATAGCTGCAGCCTACGGTGAATATGTGTAAGCCATCATGTACCTCGATATTGTTAGAGTTCCCCTTGCATACGCCAGCGCACGGCAAACCGGCCCTTGGACGTGATTGCCACGTCTAGACGCGGAGAGAAGCACCGACAAGGTATGTGCTGCGAAGGAGATACTAAAGAAGGGCGAGCACCTGCAGTTTGTCTGATTCACTCTTTTCCCTTTCTCCATCTTGCTTGTTCTTCCATTCTTCTTTTGCAAGTACAGCACTGTCTTGAAGCAGCGAGCGTTCAAGATGGCTTACCGCGAACACCATGAGAGCGCCGTCTCGACGTCGACATACTCGTCGACGGCGTACGACCCGGCGTCGTATACCGCCATCAAGGACCCGAAGGAGATAGACCAGCGAGGAGCTTCAGACCCCATGCTGGTGGATGAGTCTGTCAGCCCTCCCGAGTGGAAGCCGTCGAGGCACCAGATGGTCATCATCACAACGCTGTCCATCATGTCCTTTGTCATTGCTTTGGACGCCAACGTGATTGTCACGTCTCTACCGGTAAGTGTTTTGCATTTTTCATTGTTTTTGAACTGAGACGCTGACTGGCGTGTCTTGGCAGTCCATTATCCAAGATATTGGCGGAACCTCTACACAAGCCTTCTGGGTCGGCACCGCGTACTTGATCTCATGCGCGGTTGCGATGCCCTTCCTGGCGTCTCTCAGTGATATCTTTGGCCGACCCATCATTCTGATTGGCAGCTTGGCTTTCTTCACCGTGGGTACAATCCTTTGCTGCGTTGCTGGCGGCATCGCGCTTTTGCTCGGCGGCCGCGTTGTCCAAGGTATCGGTGCTGGAGGCATGTATGTGCTCAGCCTGGTGGTCTTCACCGATATCGTGCCCCTCCGTCACCGCCCAAAGCTTTACGGAATCATGTGAGTATCAATGCCGTCTCTGAAATCAAACAGTCAACTGACCATATGCAAGCCAAATGGCCTGGGCCGTCGGTTCTCTCATTGGTCCCATCATCGGTGGCGCCATTGCCGAGCACACCACTTGGCGATGGATCTTTTATCTTAACTTCCCCATCTGCGGCTACTCTCTCGTGTCCGTACCCATCCTATTGACCTTGAAGCCGCCCACGGCGACCTTCTCTGAGAAGCTCAAGCGCGTCGACTGGCTCGGTGGCTTCTTGTTCATCGGCTCCATGGTGACTTTCCTTGTTGGCATCTCCTGGGGCGGCAACGACTTCCCTTGGCGCAGCGCGCAGACTTTAGTGCCCGTTTTCATCGGCGCTGCTGGTCTGATCGTCACGCTGACGTACGAGCACCGTTATGCGAGGTTCCCGTTCTTGAAGAAGATTCTCTTCACAGACGTGAGCGCTATCACCGTCTATGTTCTCGGTCTTCTGCAGGGATTCATTGTAAGTCGAGCCAACTCCACAAATGTTCATTTCAAAGCATGTGCTAACGGCCAGCTCAGCTCTACGGCCAGCTCTATTACATCCCCTTCTACTTCCTCTCTGTTATGCAGTATAGCCCCACCATGGCTGGTGTGGCTATGCTCCCCGTCACCCTTCTCCTTCTACCGGGCTCTATCATCTCCGGCATCCTCGTTTCCCGCTTCAATGCCTACCGCTGGTCGATCTGGATCGGCTGGGCTCTCATGTCGCTCGCTTCTGGCCTTCTCATCTACTGGGACGTTGACACCTCGCTCCCGGTCCACATCGTCACCCTGGCCATTGGTGGTATCGGTCACGGCTTCGTTCTCAACGCGCAGACCTTTGTCACCGGCGCCATCGTGGAGCCCCAGAACTCGGGCCACGCGGCGGCCATGTACTTGTTCCTCCGCATGTTGGGCTGCGCCATCGGTGTTAACGTCGGGTCCACGACGTTCCAGAACGTCATGGCGATGAAGCTCGAGCGCAAGGGCATCGCGCAGGACATTGCGCAGCGGGCCGAGGAGTATCTCGTGGTCATCAAGACCCTTCCTGACGGCACCTTCAAGGACGCTGTCCTGGAGTCGTACGCCTTCGGCTTCAAGGGCGTGCACGGCGTGTACGTCGCGCTGGCGGTGCTTGCCTTCTTCGCGAGCTTCCTCATCCGCCACTATGACCTGAACAAGGTGCACGAGACGGAGCACCAGTTGCAGGAGAACCGCGTTTCGAGGCTGTTTGACAGCCGTAAGAACCTGAATCTGAACCTGAACTTGAACCAGGACCGCGGCCAGCCCATCCCGTCGTCGCCCATTGATTAATTCTGGGTCGCAGAGGGCTGTGAAGCATTGACGTATGTAGACTGGTGCATGTCGTTAGACACTGGGTCAAGGACATGTTAAACGGGTATCTTGGGAGATACTGACAGGCAAGGGACAGTGGATGAATGGACTGCACTTGGCACTAAGCATGGAGTTTGTGGTACTATAGACATAGGGTATGTTGGATGCCGAGGATGGGAATGGCTTTCTTTTTGAGTATTTCAGAATCTTGCATCATACATTCACTTGCGTCTCATCAAGCTGCTGAGGAATGTCCAAAACTGAGACTGACTGAACTTGATCTCTTGTCTTCATTTGGCTTCTGACAATTCTTTTGCCTCTAATTTGAGGGATGTGCCTGTACCATTCTTTTCACTTGTGCCATACCGTTGAATCTTGAGCATTTTCTGTCCCCAGCAAGTTTATTGATTGAAACCGCCGTCTTTCGATAGACCTGGACATGTGCACCCCGACGGACCATGATTTATGACGGAGTATAACTCTTCCGCCACATCAGGCATGCAATAGAAGAAGCCAATGGCACAACCGGAATATCAAGATCACCTGCAAATGGCTAGAATGAACATGAGGGTAACAGTCTTCCAATTGCATTGTTAAATGTCTTTTTTTCCAGAAAGCATGCCTTGTACGCGTCGCAACTCAAACAAGTCCAAATCCAATTACACCATAAATGCTGCTTCAATTAAAACCCGCCCAACAAAACTGCTACTTCCGACCACTATGGCATCCTTGAAACAAGCCAATTTACTCGCCGTAATACAGGACGGTCTACCATGGACAAAGGGTGGTTTTCTAAGGCCTTCGGCATGTTCATTGGGAAGAAGGATCCCTAATGCAACTACCACACGGCTATGAGCTTTTTTTGGCGATCAGGCGGCCGAGGCCTGCATGTCACGTGAGAACTGTGCCGCTTCACTTTCGACTGGGCGGGGGCTGTTGGGAGGTTATAATGTCGGGAATAGATGCTGACAGCAGTCTGCCAATGTTGTCATCCTAAAACCTTCTGTTTCGAATGGTAATGCAAACTTCTACTCAATCTCCGGCTTCGCAACTGTATCTCAGCTCGAGGTAGCAGAGATCCTCATTTTGGTAATAGCACATCGCGCCTATAGGACTGGAAGCCCACAGCTAACTCAATCGAGAATTCAGATGGAGGACCACCACCAACCAGACCCCAAAAGACGAAGGATCGAGGTGCCGAAAGTTCAGGAACAGAAACCGAACATTAAGAGCTTGACAATACGCGTGGATGAAATCCCGAACGATCAGTCTGATGAGTTGGAGAAGAACCTAAAGGCTATCGTCGACCAGGACGAGGTGCTACAAAAGGCAGTGACTGCGCTGACAGTTCGCTCTGTCGTTCCATTTTATAAGGAAACCGCTTGCGCTACTGTCTCATTTAAAACGTCATTACTGGCAGAGGATCTGGTGAAGCAGCTATCCGAAGCTCGGAAAGACTATCGATACAAGTATTCCCATGATTTTGATGGGTTTACCCCTCTATACCAAGGTCCAAGTACCGCGATCGTCGAGTGAGGAACCTTTCCACATTATACTGTTCTATCGTGGCGAATGTCTGCAGTCACTGACTCGTTGGACTCAGCATTATCGCTGTGCCTGGTCTTGGTAGTCATGCGCTTGGATCCTGGAAAGCACCGGATAGTGATTGCGTATGGCTGCACGACTTCCTCCCCAAGGATCAACCTAACGTTCGGATCTTACTATATAGATATGATACGACGCTTCAGGGCAGTATCAACTAACAGTCAATAGAGGAGCTTGGTCATTCTCTTTTGGAGCATCTTATCAGCTTCCGGCAAGAAGATGATGTAGGTTGTTAATATCCTTGAGGTACAGAATGGCAAAAGCTGACCATCAAGACTACCCATCGCCCCATCATCTTCATAGGCCATAGCCTTGGAGGTTTGTTGATCAAAGAGTTGCTCATCCGTGCTGTGCTTCCGGGGAAAAATAAGGAGTCTGATTTATGTAAATCCTGCTTCGGACTACTTTTCTTCGGCGTGCCGAATCACGGTCTGCGAAATGAAACACTGAACGCCATTGTTCAAGGTCAGCCGAATGAAACCTTCATACAGAGTCTTCAGGTTGGGAGGCATGGCGAGCCGTCAGCTTACCTCAGAAAACTTTCGTCCCGTTTCGCACAGAGCTGTAAGGGCCGTTACCAAGTAATATCATTCTATGAACTGCGGCTCTCTGCAACGCTTGAGGTTAGACACTATAGTTTATGAATTTCAAACGCGGGCTAACTTGTTGTCGAGATTGACGAAAACGGGAGACTGCGCAAGACAGGCGAGCCGTCATTACTGGTGACACAACTTTCGGCTACGAGTACTGGTATATTCGCTATGGCAGACGAAGACAACATTGCGCTAGACACCGATCATTCAGGCCTAGTCAAATTCAAAGACAAAAGCCGGGGAAGCTATCCGATCGTTAAGGGACGGCTTGCCGAACTCGTTGCACAAGCCGCCAGCGAAGTCCCCAAGCGATTTGAAAATCCCTGTATGTCACCACCTCTCCCTTGCAGAGCTTGTAAAGTGTGGTCTTGAACTGATTCTGCAGCTTAGGTCCTCTCAAACAACATCGTAATTCATCTGACGTGATGCAGAGTTGCCTACAGTCGTTGGCATTCCCAGACATGCATAGCCGGCATCACGAAATCCGAATTGCCACCCAGCACACTTGCGAATGGCTTCTAGAGCACGAGACGTTTCAGAGCTGGATCCGATCACATCGTGGCCTCCTATGGATCGCAGGACATCCAGTTTCCGGAAAATCGACGCTCATGAAGCATGCTCGTCAGATGGGCTCAAATGTTTACGGGCCGGATGCCATTACTCTCTCTTTTTTTTCCACGCTCGTGGCGACGACATGCAAAAGAGTTTCCTAGGCCTCCTACGGTCACTCTTACATCAGCTTCTTTTCACTTTCTCAGAGGTTGTTCCTGAAGTGATAACCCATTTTGATCGTCAAACTCACACTGTTGGTGAAGTAGACCAAAAATGGGAATGGCATCTACAACAGTTGCAAGACTTCTTCCAGCGATCACTTCCGAGAGTGTTAAAACGAAGGCCTCTTATACTCTTCATTGACGCGCTTGACGAAGCTGGTGAGGATGTCGCAGACGACATAGTTGATTTTCTCTCCAAACAACTCGAATCGCTTTCATTGACAGGCTTGCGATTCAGTATCTGTCTCTCATGCCGCCACTATCCCGTGGTAATACCCGAAAACAGAATGGCAATTAATTTGGAAGACGAGAACAGGAGGGACATCGCTACGTTCGTTGAAAACCGTTTGTATCCAAAAGATTTGGATTCAGCAACCCGACTGCTGGTATCTGATCTCGCCAATGGAAGTTTCATATGGGCACGCCTTGCTTCTGACGAGGTGTTGAAACTTAATCGGAAAGGATTATCACTGCGCCGCATCCGAGAAGAGATTATGCAATTTTCTAAGGAGCTCAACGGTTTTAATCTTGTTTTGATTCGGACCACAGATGATCGCAAGAAGACCTTAAGGTTGGCGCAGTGGATATGTTGCTCTGGCTTCCCCTTGACAATTGATGAGTTGAGATGGGCTATTGCGACTGACACCGAGGCAAAACAGTCAATCCGAGAATTCCAGGAGTCAGATGACATCATTTCTGACGATTCAAGATTTGAAAGAAGAATCAAAACTCTCAGCTGTGGACTCGTCGAGTTTGTAGAGTCTGACAGGAACACTCGTGTTGTCCAGTTTATACATCAGTCTGTAAAGGACTTTTTCGTTACAGACGGCCTTCGATTCCTCGACGACACTATTCGTGCATACGAATTATCAGTTCCTGCTGCCCACTGCTACCTGGTTCGCTGTTACGTTCGTCATCTCAAAATGGTTATGTTCAATGACATTGAAAAGTTTTGGAACTACCAATGGAACATCGATAATCATACCAATCACGAGCTGCTGGATTTTCCTCTCTTCCAGCGTGCGCTGACTCGTCTTACCTTTCACATGAAGCATAGCGAAGCCGCCGAAACCTATAATAACGGGTTTCTCGGTCTGTTCGGCTGGCCGGATTATAACCTGTTGAACATGTGCGCACACGCCGACCGTATTCTCCAGACATATGCGATATTTTACATCGAGTATTTGAAGGACAATGATCTGACACATATCGCCGCGGGTCTTGGTATGACGAAGTTACTCTCAAGCCTGATTTCAGATATTGGACGTTTCGATATCGATCGCGGAGCTGGGGGGCGTACGCCGCTATCGCTAGCGGCTGAATTGGGCCACGAAACGATTGTGAAGCTACTTCTCGGAACTAACAAATGCAACGTCAACTCAGTAGATGAAGAGGGGCGCACGATATTATCGTATGCTGCAGGGTCTGGTAGTGAGACGGTCGTCAAGCTCTTGGTTGACAATCCTTACGTCAGGGCTGACTGTCGTGACGAAATGGGCCGTACACCACTATTCTATGCCTATGCAAATGGTTACCTGGAGATCGCAGAGTTAATACGCAAGAACACAGAAGGCGACATCAGCTCACAAGATATAGATGGACGGACTGCTCTATCTCTCGCTGCTGAAAAGGGCCTAGAAACTCCCATTCAACTCATGCTTAACTTAAGTTTAAGTATGGTTGACCTGGGTGACCAGGCTGGCCGCACGCCACTCTCCTGGGCTGCCGGAAATGGAACTTGGGAAGCTACCCGGGCGCTTCTTGAGACGAATGCAGTTAACATTGAAGCAAAAGATAATCAGGGCCGCACCCCATTCACTTGGGCTGCTGTCAGAGCTCAAGTGAAAACGAACAAGGGATTTCTCGAAACATGTGAAGTCAATGTCGAGTCTAGAGATAGTCAAGACCGAACTCCACTATCTTGGGCTGTTCGAAGCGGGCATGGAGACACCATAAGGATACTTATTGGCATGGGCAAAGCCAATGTCCAATCCGTGGACAAAAATGGCTGCACACCACTATCCTGGGCTGCTGGATATGGCCAAGAAGAATGTGTCAAGCTATTACTTGAAACAGGAAGAGTCATCGTTGATTCGACAGACATTGAGGGCCATACGCCACCTCCAAGTGCATCTCAATGGAGGCCTAAAGAGTGGTTTTCCAAGGAACATAAGCAGAATCGACTCAACGCTATCAAACTTCTGTTAGAAGTAGGCAAGGCCAATGTCTCTAAGATGCCTGCTGAAGATGTGGACTTTTGGAAAATTTCACAACTCGGCTTGTTTGATGGAATGGCGGTAAACAAATCATGAAGCTGGAGAATGTGTTAATTATCTCAAGGAACGCATTGAGAGCTTAATTACGAGAATTTTAAACCCTTCCATCATTTCTAATCAGTGTGGCGTGCTTGTTTAAGTTTTTAGATGTCTAACACGTAGTTGTATACCTTTGGTGAGTAGGATCAAGAATTTTCCTATTATAAGGCGACGTAACATAAGCTGCCATATACATAGAAAGTCCCTCCTACTTTTTCTTATGACATGATCACATAAAAGGAAGGAAGTCTCTCACATGATTTAGTCCAAGGCGACATTTCAGGGAAAGCCGGTTAGCAACAGCAGGATACATAGAGACAGATTCAAATGGCAGTCACCCATTCAATCCTACGGGTAGCCTTCGTTGACTCTATTCTTTGTCCGATACCAGACTCTTACAGTCATTTCTAACGTGATTACCGGCAGAGGATCTAGCAAAGTAGTTAGTTATCCGAAGCTCGGAAGATCATTTATCGCGGATTCACACGATTTCGATAGGTTTATCCCTCTATACTGAAATCAAAATAACGCAATGATCGAGCAAGAAACCTCCCAATGTCATTCTGCTCTACTATGACGACAGTCTGTGGCTACTGATTCAATTGATGAAGCGTTATTTCTGTGTAAAAGGAGTGGTAGGCTGAACTAAATGAAACTGCTTATAAAATGCATTTCTAAAACTTCAGAGGAACTTAACTAAAAGTCGTCATGTGAAAACTAAAGGATTTGCCTCATGCTGTCTTAGAAGTCTGTCTGGAATCTCTTTTGCCAACTGTGGGCATGTTGGTGGACAGAAAGCGAGTTGGTCACCCAGAGCGTCTGAGAAGAAAGGGATAATTGTTGATGATATCTTAACAGTTCTTGATCCTCTCTTGACTCGTGCAAGTAACATTCTGGTCACGAACTGATCTGCTTTGTCTCATAAAGAATAAGGTGCTCCATTTCTTAAAGGCTGGAGACCATTCCATTGAATCTTTTGACCTTTGAAATGATAGGAAGGACAATACTGTTTAGTATATGTAATGGGCTAATCAATGTCAAATCTCAACCATGCCTTAACAATGCCTCAAAAGCTCCCTTTAATAACTTTTCACAGCTGGATATATATCAACTCTTGCACATCTCCAATCCCCAGACAGAAAGATCAAAGACGAGGACTCCGCGTGTGGATCTCTTCCTGGAGCAAGGGCATGTTGGTCCGTCGGACAATGGTCTCGAAGCCCCTGGCGCTACTGCCGGGGTTGGACGGCTCCATGGTCGCAGTCACCGTCACACAACTCTCCGAGGACCTTCATAGGGATCTGTGCGAATGCGACAGCGGCATCGTGCCGTACGAGTACGACAGCGCGACAAAAATGGGGCCTACCAGGGTCGATTTCGTCGTCGCGGGTACAGCCAACGGAGGGACCTTGGCTGCCTTTCCAACGCCTAGGTCCCTCTTCAACCCTGGACCGTCTATAAAGCACTTGTCGACTCGGGGGAGCTTGGAACCGCCCGTGGATCTGACGGTGCGCTCGACGCAGCCGAGCTTGATTAACAGCAGGAGGTTGAACCATACCCTCTTGAACGCGGTGCTGCCCTTCTCGTATTTGTACCAGTCCAAGCCCGTGATATAGCCACAGGCGTTCATCTCGTCTCAGAGTCTGTCGCCGCCGTCGTCGGCCCAGTTGACCACGTTGTAAATCTCAAAGGTGTGAAACAGGATTGTGTTTTCCTACCCAGAACAGCCAGCGGGGAGGGGAAGCAAGACTCGGCGTCGCGTCTTCATTTACCAGTAGTAGGAATCTGCAGTGGGTATCATCTCAGGCGGCTCAGGCTCGGGCTCTTGCTTGGGCGCGGGAGGGGCAGGCAGCGCCGTCGTCGCTAGTCTGCCGTCGTCGTCGAAGTGGTCGCGGGGCAAGGTCCTGCTTCATTAACTTGTATTATTCTTTTAGAAGCGATTCTATATCGAATAAACTTGGACCAAGCCCTTTACAAGAGCTTTTGGTCTATGAATTAGACCATGTACTGTGCTTTGGTGGATTTTCTCTTCTGCCGCCTCTGTCGCTATTCTTGAGTGTTTTATTGACTAGAAACGAACTTTACGACGGCGCGCTAACAACTACCAACCGGAGATGGGTCGCACCATCTTCGCAAAGGCATCTTGGATTTGGAAACCCGGGATTTCAGTCAAAAACTCGGCGTTAATTCTCCCGCCGCCTTGCTCCGGCCCTGTGGTGTCTTTAAAAACCACCACGGGGCATCTCGTTATAGAAGCCGGAATATGTTTAGCACTGATGACGGGGAACTCGACCCCATCTAGCGTCAACTGCCGCCTCGACATACTTTTGTTGTTAAAGGTCCTCTGGCGGTCACCAGAAGGATCCCACCACAACAAATGAGTTAGCCACCCGGACAACGTGACCACAGCCCCAGAGTCATTCCTCCCGGACTCATGAATCGCACCATCCAGAAGTTCTTTATTACGTTTTCGTCGTGCGGCCAGCTGAAGCTAGCCACCATATACTAAGCACTTTGGACAAGCAGGCGATGCCTGTGGCCTTGGTGCTCCACGAACTTGTCGCGAAGCGCCTCACCGCGCCCTTTGCCATTAAAAAAGAAGCTGAGCTGCACGATAACGGCCAGCCACACGTCGTCTGGCCGCGGGGTCTGGTGCGGCAAAGGGTGGACGCCATCAGGGCGGGGTGGATTGCCGCTCAAGAGGAGCCCCGATCCTTACAGAAGCAACATCACGATGTGACAGGTGTTGTTTGACGAATTACGAGGTTACGAAGGATGACGTTGTGTCCTGGGTTTACCTTACGCTTCATAATTAACATGTTGCACCCCGGAAGCGTCGGGCTACCACGTTGGAGAATTATACAGAGTCGATGGGGGGTGGTAACCATCAAAATCGAGCAAATGGCAGCGTTGTTAAGAGAAAAGCAAGTTTCAGTGAGTTAATCTAGACGTGTGCTTCACTTGTAAAGTTGCAATTACCTCCTCCTATCCGTTTCTGTCCTCAAAAGTCCGGGAGTGCAGGCATATGCGGGATGAAGACGGATAGCCTAATGGCAATATTGACAGGACCAGGCACCAGTACTTCCCACGAGACTTAGGGAAATTGTCTTATGTTAACGCAGAGTCGCCGGCAGGTGTTCGCGGTCTAGGTTGATCCTGTGAAATATCATTACAGAAGGGGACCTAAGGATTATGGTAGAGTAAAGCAGGGCAGTGCTTATGAACGAGAAGATGAATGAGTCGGGTTCATGCGGAGCGAAATGTGAGTGGCTATCTGTACGATGTTGAGCGTTGCGCCAAGAGCATTACGTGCTACTGATACAGACGGTTGTCTCGGCAGGGAACAGTTGCCAAATCACACCATCACAAAGGTTTAATAAAGCTATTTCAATAGACGGTCCTTGCTTGCCCAAACTTTATCCTGTTACCCCAAACCTAGACCACCGCCTGGACCTTGCCATTTGGACACCTTTCGAGGGTTTCAGAGAGACGTGACGCTGGAATTTGGCGAGTTCATCTCAAAGAGACAGGATCAATTCGTCTCAAGAAGTGATCTGTTGCCGAAATGGTTGATTTCTTCGTTGGGGCTGGCATCATCACTCCTTCAAGTCAAACTAAATTGGAGCAGCTAACGACCGACAAATGCTCTCTAATTAGTTCTGTAAGTTTAAGAAAAGTACCAAGTCACGAACGCGAACGGAAATGGACAGGATTTGTCCTGTTTCCATAATTGTTCATCAGAGGAAGTCTTCCCCGACATTTGCTTGTAGTCGGCCATGGCTCCACAGTTGTTGAGCATCCGCATGTATCAAAACTGTAGTCAAAACCTTATTTTCCAACGATGTATCATGCTTGTAGAGAATGAGACCCCTTAGGGTGTGATCAGGAACTCTTGTAAGACTCCATTACACTAAGAATCTTGCATACGTCCCCTTAAAATGTCAGTCAGAAACTGATTTCGTAACCAATTATACGGCTAATGTTGCGGCTGCTGTCAAGAAGACTGCTGTTGCTGTCACTGATATGGCTAGAAGATCAGTCAAAGGTTATTTAAAGCAGAGGTATGTCTCTCGTTTATAAATAACGCTATGCGTGATTCATGATTTTCAGGTAAGATGTTCGAAACCCACACAGCCCTAATATTGCCGACGGCACCCTTAATCTATCTAGTTTTGGTAGACGCACTTGTCACACCGGAATAGAAAGGCTATCCTTGTGATTTGAAGCGGTTCGGTAGACACCCTCAGAGAACATGCTCTTTAAGACTCACTGGAATTCTTATTCCCTGGCACCAAGTTCATCGGATACAGTTTCGCTCATCCACGAACGGCCAGATTCACTCTTTTTGCGCCAACTGGTCAAGATATCGGCTCATAAAGTCTGGCGTGTTGTACTACATCTCTTTTTGATATCCAAGACAATATCTCGAAGCCACACGATCGCTGATCGACTCAAAACTGCACACAGGGTCCTGGATCACCAGAGCGCTGTAGCCTCTAATGCTTGAGACAGTCATCATGTTCAAGCCAAGTCCATTAAGGGCCAGGGCACGACCCAAAACGCTCATATTTCTGGCTTTGGCTGTTTTTCTCTTTTACTCCTCTTGGACGACTTATATCCGCAATGGGAGGAACATTGTCATCTGGCGCCACGGCCACACCACAACACTGCCTGATGAGTCCAGCAACAAGCCGTTGGTCTTGCCACCTGAGCCGTCCAGACCGGAACATTCAGAGATGCCAGACGAAGGTAACTTCAAGCAAGACAGTGAATTACAGACACAGGAAGACAACAAGAAAACGGAAGAGGACGAGAGAACCAAGGAACTGGAAATGCAACAAAACCAGAAAACAGTGAATGATGAGATTGAGAGAAATAGAAAACAAGCAGAGGAGAAGGGGAAGAAAAAGGCAGAAGAGGAGGCGAAGAAGGAAAAGGAAAAGGAAAAAACGGAGGAAGAGAGAAAGAAGAATGAAAAGGAGGCAGAGGCTGCGAGGTCGCATCATGAGCAACAGTTGCGAGATCAGTTCGCGAGGGAGTATGAGGCAGCCAAGAAGTAAGTTTACATTCACTGACTCGCGCATCACGATCAACCGTATACAGGTTACTTACACTTCTTCATGATAGGCTCCCCGGAAGCGGCGCAATCTATGGAAACACGCTCAACTCTTTGAGTCAACAAGACGATCGGCTAGCCAAACATGCGGAACGTTTCAGACCCTCTTCTGCAGAAGAACAGCCCTACGCGAACCAGCGGCCAGTTCATTTCGACCCGTACCCGAACTACAACAGCGGCGAATGGAACAAAACGCACCGCGCCCCATATGTGCCATGTGTAGGCGCGCTTGGCGAACCTGTGGAAGATGTCTTGGTCTTCCAAGGCCACCCACGCGACTTTCCCAAGCCGAGTATGGGCGGCTTTGACGCCCTAGACATGGACGGCAATATTTGTTACGAGCGCGACACGAGACTTGGCCCGTACGGGCTGACCCCTCAGCTGCACAGCAAGACTGGTCTTCCCATCGATTGGGATAGCATCAAATGGGGTGATTTGCAGAAGGAGTGCTCGGAACAGAACGCCGCCCTGTTCGGAAGTGGTAAGCCGAACGTATACCTCACGACAACTTATCCAGACATTGCGGAAAAGTACGGGAAGGAAATGAAGATGGCGAAAAGGCAAAACTCGGGGCCCGTACCTAGGAATGAGATCGACGACGAGCTGCACACTCGGGAGAACGCAGCGCACGAGGCTCGGACGGCGGTTCTGTTGAGAACCTATACCGGCAAGAAATACACCGAGAACGACAAGCAGGTCATCAGATCTCTCATCTCCGAGCTTTCGCTCCGGTCCGGCGGGGAGTATGAGGTGTTTCTACTTTTACACGTTCGCGATGACTCGGTCGATATTTGGGATGACAAGGAGCGCCAAAAGATTCTCGACACGCATATCCCAAAAGAATTCCACAGCATTACCAAACCCTGGAATGACCAGGCCGTCTGGGATGTCTACACGGCGCTTACGGACGCGGAGGAGAAGACTGTTCATCATGCTCAGTGGCTCTCCGTGCAAAAGTTCAGCATCGATCACCCGGAATTCGATTACATTTGGAACTGGGAAATGGACGTCAGAGTTGTCGGCCATAGCTACGACTTCGTGAGGCGCCTGGAACAGTTCTCCAAGAAGCAGCCTCGAAGGGGTTTGTGGGAGCGCAACGAGCGCTACTACATTCCTGAGTTCCATGGAAATTACGACACCGACTTTCGCATGTATACCGAACAAGCGACGCGCGGCAGAAGCCAGGTCTGGGGCCCGCCCAAAGTACCTTTTATCCATCCCGTCGGTCCCAAGCCACCAGTGGCAAGTCCTGAAGATGACCCGTATAGATGGGGGGTCGGGGAGGACGCCGACCTCATCACTCTGGGTCCTATTTATGACCCGGTCAACAGCAGTTGGATCTTTGGGGACAAAATCTGGGGTTACAAGGATGATCAAAATCCCGATCCCAGGACCCTTCCGCGGCGGGCTACTATTGTTACCCAATCCCGCATTTCCCAACGTCTTCTGGATATCATGCATGTTGAAAATCTGCGTGGTAACCATATCGCTTCAGAGATGACTCCTCAGACCGTTGCTCTCTTGCACGGATTCAAGGCCGTTTTCGCGCCTCATCCTACCTGGTTTGACCGTGGTTGGAATGGCACTTTCCTGGATAAATGGTTTAATTCCGGGGATAAGGGCAGCGGGGGTGAGGGTAGTCCTTTCGGCTACGGAAGAGAGCGTAGGTACCAAGGGACTACGTGGTATTACCGTGCTGAGCCTCCCTCGAGGCTGTACAACAATTGGATGGGGTACGTTGATACAGAAATTGGTGGGAGGCTTTGGGAGGTTGAGCATGGGCGGCCTTGTTTACCGCCAATGATCCTTCACCCTGTCAAAGAGGTTGAACCTACGGAACCTGGCTTTGCAACCCGATTCGAGCTCAACTACGGCTGATGGTATGCGGCAAGACCGACAGATCTGAAGACAACAAATTTTTGAGCTATTAGCGCCGTGCCGCTAAGCCGAGTCACTAATTTGGCCTGCCTAAAGAATGGAGTGGCCGCTATGCCACTGAACTCCAACGACGACTCGGTGACAGGACCGTGGAGTCAGTCGCCCGAGAAAGGAGACTCGCTTGTTCTCCTTCCTAGCCGCTGTTGGACACATGCCCAGGGTTCTTCGCAGATCATACAAAGCATGCATCCATGATATATGTCGTAGAGTCACCACTTAGGGTGGAAAAGACATAAGGAAAAACGGCTTAGATTTCTACGTGCAGGATTGCTTTGTCTGAAACGAATAAATACATATCCTGCGTGGTGGATCTGCACAAAGGGACTGGACTAATAGTTAATCTGGGCCCAGCGCAAATCTTATAAGGCTATACGATGTACGTAAAGGTATTATAATATATTCTTTTAGGTAAATTAATAGATTTTAATTATTATATATTTAATAATAGCTATATATAAAAGAATTACTTTAAAAAGATAAATAAGAATATAAATATTTATTTTTAAAGTAATAGATATAAAAAAAATAGTTATATAATATTATATTTAGTTATTAATAATAAAAAAACTACTTTTTTTTTTATTACCTTTAAATAATTTAATTAGATTAATAGCTTTTAATTAGTTAATTAATTATTATATTAAGTATTTATTCTTTTTAATAATATTATTTTCTTTTAGCCTAATAAAAAAGCCTTTTTTTTTTATTTATTTATTTATTATTATAATAATTATATATTTAAGATATTTTTATTTTTATTATATATATATATATTTATTTATATTATAGTCTTTTTATATAATATTAATATTTAAGAATAAATACTTTTAAAGCTTAATAAAAAGGCTATTATATATACTTATACTACTATAGTATATATAACTTAACTTAAAAAGCGTAATAAAATATATAAAAGTAATAAGGAAAGTAGTAATTCCCTTAATTCCTTTAGTAATTAGCTTATAGTCTCTTCTTTTCTTATATATTTATCCTTTAGCTAAGTCCTTTATATCTTAAATAGTATTAATATATAAAAGTAGACTCTTCTTACTAAAGGCTATAGTAATAAAAAAGTTAACAACAAAAAGGATAGCTTATAGCCTCTTTTCTTAGATAACCTCTCTACAAGTACTACAAGTAAAGATAAAGATAATTCAAAGTTACCTTCTTTTCTTAGTACCTAAGCCTACTTTAATATAGCCTTAAGAGCCTAGGCTATAGCCTAAAACAATTATATATTATATTTCCTTATATTTAATTTAAATTTTATATTAACTTAATTAAATAGTAATAAATGTGATAGGGTTTATAGGGGGAGAGAGGGAATTAGACAAGGAGAAAGAGAAAAAAGAAAAAAAGGTAAAGTACTAGAAAGGGGTAAGGTTTCGCGTTTTTGTTTTTATCAGCCTGTAGACATAATCACAGGCCTAATCAGACGTGACTAAGCAGAACCCTTCCAAGTACAAAAAGGGACTCTAGTTAGATACTATTAAAAAGGCATTAGTATCTAATCACTAAGTAAACAAATAAGCTTAATATCTTTAGATAAGCACTTAGATAAATATAAATAAATTCATTACTTTAATATCTAAATAAGACATATAATAAGTAACTATTACTTTATTTCCTTAGGCCTAACTAGACCTCTAAGGTCTAGGAGAATATTCTCCTCCTCTAAAGATCACAATATATATATACATATTACTTAGTAACAAAAGCAAATCTAAACAAACTATAAAACATAAAGGATATACTTTTCTAGTTTACTTATAGCCTTGATTAGGCTAAGGAGAACCTAAAAAGAGTAGTATCTTATAGTCTAGGCGTTAAGGTAGTTGCTTAGGGTAATTAGTTACTCTAGGTATACTTGTAATAATACTAGGACCTTAGTGTTTAGTGTGGTTTATATATTAACTATTTACTTACTAGCTTTCTTTATCTTATATAGTTTTAATAGTACTTTATAATAGAATTAAACTACTAATCTTTTTATTATTTTATTTTAATTTTATAATAAATTTAATATTAGTACCTTAAAAATAGCTTTAAATAATAAAATATATTATTAAAAAGATATAAAGAAAATAATATTTTTAACTTAATTAGACTTAGTCTTAGATATAAAAGTAAGCCTAACCTTAAGAAACTATAATAAATAAGACCTAAAAAAAGCAGAATTTTTTAAAAAAGTAAAAAAATAAATAATTAGTTATAATAATATAATATAGCTAAATAAACCTTTTATATAAGTAATCTTTTTATAAGTAAGTACTAAGTAAGCTTAATTAAAGAAAAAAGCCTATAAGATATAAAAAAAAAAAGAAAAATAATAAAATAAAAATAATACCTTTTACTAAGATTAATAAACTAAGAAGCTTTCTTAGTATAAATTATAAAATAATTATAACTATAAACTAAGCCTAGAACTTCTTAAAAGCTTATTATTATATAAGCCTTAGTCTAATCAGGTTTAATATTATACTATTAATAAAGACTAAATGTTTTAGTATTAATAGATTAGTAGTAATAGAAATTTAATATTCTTTTAGAATTAGCTTAGACTTAATAAGTATTCCTTTTAGAAACTTAATTAAAGATATAATAAACTAATACCTTATAAGAATATATAAAATACTACTTTTAAGTCTAATTAGGTTAATAGACTAAGCTAAGTAATAACTTTAAAGAGATTTTATATGTAATACTTTAAGATTAATTTAAAGTAATTAATACTATTTATATTTCTTATAACTAGCTTATTAAAATATTAGTAATATATCTAAGCTAACCCTATTAATAACTAATATAAGGTAACTTAAAGGTTTAACTAATTAAGTAGTCTTATTTACTAATAAAGCTTTTTAGAGTTACTAAGGCTTTAATAATACTATAAATATTAAGTCTAAGACTAGTCCTAGGATTCTTAACTTTAGAACTACTAAGAGAAGCAAAGGTAAAAACTTAAGCTTAGGCTATTAGTAATACAAAGAGAGTCCTAATTAAGCTAATAAGAACATAAGCCTTTTCCCTAATCTAGCATTAGACTCCTTTACTATAACAGACTTCTAGGCTTAGTAACTCTTAATAGCAAACCTATTAACAATAGTTAACATAAATATAACTAAGAACTAAGGGTCTATTAAGCCTAATTAAAGCAGAACAAATTACCTGTGTTAGTTAACTATTAAGATATTACCGCTAAACACTAAAAGGGCCTTTACCTTTAACAGCTATAATATTACTGATTTCTTTAATAAGTATAAAGCCTTAACTAGGCTTATAGGTTACTTTAATAAAAAAAAGATAAAAGTATTACTATAGTATTTACTTAATAAATACTAAGTAATAATAAAAATTAAAGCTAAAAAAAAGACTTAGTAAAAACTAAGTAAGTTTTTTCTTAACACTTATAAATAACTTAACAAAGAAGTTATCCTTTAACTAAACTACTATATTAAGGACCTTATAAAGAGAAACTTAATTAAAGATAATAACTTAATAGAAACTATAACTTTGTTTTAGAAGGTTAAAAGTATAAAAGAAAAAGTAAAGGCTAAAGGAAAACCTATAATAAGCGCTTAAGAGCTAATTAAGCTTTTTGTTATATAATTTTCTAAAAACATAATTATAATAGTATCCTTATAGATAAGACTTTTACCTATTAATCTATTTAAAAAAAGAAACTTTAGTACCTTTAAGAGGGTAATACTTATATAGGTAAGATAGAAGTTAAGATATAAGGGTTATTATATAGATTCTAATACTTTTACTTCCTCTTTACTAGCTATAGTTCCTTATTCCTTAAAGTAGCCTTTTAGCCCTAATTAAGTTAAGAGTATACTCCCTAAAAAGTCTGTTTTTAAAGACATTAAAGTTATAACTAATCTTATTATAAACAAACTTTTAAAAACAGTAATAGCCTTTATACTTACTATAAAAGCTAGTCTTAAAGCCTAAACTATCTTTAATAATTAACTTATAGTTATATATAGTTATAACGTCTCTATATCTAGTCCTCTATAGCTATATATACTACTAGCTTAACAACTATTCTCCTTTAGTAAACTAAGTTTTATTCTAAGTTATCTTAATTAGTATTAATATAATATATATAACTAAAGAAGGTATTAGATATACTTATAACTTAAAAAGAATAAAGAGGTTAACCTAATTATATTAAACTATAACGTTTATAAGTATAAAGTACTTTAAGAATTAAACGTTAAGATAAATAAAGTTCTTAATGTTAAAATAACAGCACCAGCTAGTTATACAACACGCACGACTCAGGGACACACATTATAGCAGAGGGCACAGACTAGATATTTGGCCCTCGGTTATCTATTAAGGGGATCAAAAGTATATTTATACTGAACTGACTTAGGGATATACAAGATCATATATCTCATGTACAAAAGCCAAGTCTTGTAGTTAAGAAGATAATTATAGAAAATATATCTTTAGTTTACCTTAACTTTAACCCAAGTATAATTATATAAACGGGTTCTCTTAGGAAGAGAGAATCCATTTAACACTAATTAGTAGTTGCTTAGTAATCTGTGCGATTGCTTTGTGTAATTACAGATTAGTAAGAGTAAAGAGATAAGACTTAGGTTTTATAGCTAGGCTATTAGGTAGTCTTATACTTTATATAAGGCAAGAAATCCTTAGGGATACCTAAAGGGTTATACTAAAAAGTCTCTTGTGCTAAAAAGCCTTAATTCTACCTATTATTACTTATTAAGCTAAACCAAGTAGATAAAATAAAGACAACTTTTACTTTACTATTATACAAAATAAATTCCTATTATTACCTACTAAGCTAAACTAGACAAGAATCTTTATTATACTATATATAAAGTACAAAGTGTACACTATAGCACTAAATAAACCAATTTTAACATTATATAATATAAAACAACTACTAAACACAATATAGC